ATCTGTGTGCCAGACTCGATGCGACGATAAAGTGCATACTTCTTGACCCGTGCAGGTGGTGTGCATCCTTTCGAGTTTTGCTCCCTTCGATTGGGCTCGTTCCCCACCTACCTCACCCCATCTTTCGACTTGCCTGGTCTTTGGGGAATGTTTTCCCTCTTTTGCCTCCGCATTACTGTACACTTGTGCAGCTCAAGGTTGCTGTTCACGGCACCGCTCGCGCGCAATTCCTACTGCCCCGGGACAGTTGGAGATGGGACGCCAATGAAGAACCGGCATGATGCTACCGCTTGGGGGCCCTCTTGGAGATGGCTGGCCGGATAGAAGAGAAGTCCAGTCTTGTTGCTGAGGCCTTTTTGGGGTGAACGCTTGCTTTGCTAAGGAGGCCCGATTCTGGCCCTGCACATTGATCGGAGCTCCTGAAGTATATCTTCCCATTCTTCGTGAGCCATCACATCTCAACCAGACTTGAGCCGAAGCTTGAACATGACTGGATCATCCCGAGCCAAGAGTCACCGACTCACTAGTGGTAGAAAATACATAGTTAGTGCACCAGTGGACTTCGTCAATACTATGTAGTGGTTTCGATCGACAAGCTCAGAAAGGTAAACCTTGTCGGATCTTCGTTTTCACGACCGGCTCAATACCATGCAACAGTGCTCTAGTCCCCTAGTACAATAGTGACGACTATTCTCTCGACCGCTAATTCAACCGTCTTCATCCCGGCGTGGAGGCGTGACTGCGATGGAGATCATCCCAAAGCCAAGCCCCCCTCCCTCTCCACCTCGCCTTCCCCAAACGGGGGGTGCGGGTACATCCTTTTTGAGTTTATCGCCTGAGGTTCTGACATTTCACCGGGCCAGCTAGTCGAATATGGTTCGCTGGCTGACCCCCGCCAGGCTGAAACGCCTTGTCTGAAATGAGAACCTTGGTCGCTGGATTCAGATCGAGTCTCCCCCCTAGGCTTTTGTCTATCGGGTTAGGGTGTACTCACGTGCTGTTGTTCTCCCTCTAGCTTCCATTTGGAGGACTGTACCTCTACCGAGTACCGACTCCCGACTCCCGAAGGCGCGTTGCGGATGAGCCTGTCTCGATCTTCTAGATACATGCCGGGTGATTGGATCTTGTCAAGGTGATTCTGTTTGATATCTTTTTCTTCTCGATGTGCTACTATGTAAGTATGTACTCAGTACTGTACTCTCCTACTCTTCTGTCCTCGTCTTCCCTGGTGATTCTCGTTGAAGCACTGTGGAGACACTCGACACGGCAGAGACGGGGCCAATCATGACCGATCACCGTTGGACCCGTTCGTGCTGGACCACTTCCGGATTCCTTCTTCCTTTCTTTTCCTCTCTTGCTCTGTTTTTTTTTTTTTTTTTTTTTTTCCTCTTCTTCTTCTTCGTTTTTCCTTTTTTGGCTCGGTCACCAGATTGTAGGACGGGGGGATGTTCGCTTTTCCGGGGCGTTCTGCAAGGGAAGAGGAACAGCGTGACTCCAACCCCCAAAGGCCCAACTGGAACTGGAACTGGCAGAAAAAGGTAGACTTGAAGGTCCACCCCGTTCACCCGTCCATCCGTCCACCCGTTGTCCCTCTGGTAGCAGCCCCCCCCCCCCCTACGCCTGTAAGCCGGTAGCCCGTCGCCCGTCGCCCATGGCTTGCGGTCGGAAAAGCCCCCCACGAAGTTGAAGCTGAGGTGGAAGACTGGAGGCAGCCACTAGCCACCACACAGTTGCAAAACCCAACCAGTCGTAGCCATCTTCTTGTTGGAGACGGGATTTCCCTCCCCTTTTTTCGATGTGATCCGCTGCCAGCAACACCCGTGCATCCTTCTTCCCCCGTCTGCATATCCGCCAACGGTGTGACTTCACTACTAAACGACCACAAGCACAATGTGACTCGACTCCAATCAGGCATTTTCCAACTCTATAGATTTGTCTTGTTGATAGCATGTATGTCCATGTCCAGCAGACTACCTGCGTCGCGGGGGATTTGAGCTGAATCTGTCGTGCTCTCTTTTATTTCAGAGGTACTCATGACAATAGGAGTTGGTATTCTTTTCGTCCACGATGATTGTATATCCCCCTCCTCTAGTCTATTTCCATCTTGAACCGTCCCGTGGTTTTCCAGTTCGTGGCTATGCGCAACTCTTCCATGCCAGATCGATGGAGCTCCAATTCCACATCCACACCTACACCAAAGTCTATCTACGGCACCAAATAGGATCCCATACCATGACCACCACCGACCACTGACCGGTACTGTGGTTCCCTTTCACAAGCAACACGGGATTCCGTAGCCTGCCCATGCCGAAAAACAAAAACCACAAAAAAGAAAACAAGATCCAAATTTAAGCTCCGGGTCCTTCCTCTATCCCGCGGGAAAGAGCCTACGAAATCAAACAGATGCCAGTGTGAAAAAAAAAAAAAAGAGAACCTTCAGTAGTGTCAGCCCCCCAAGAAAAGGGAAGCCAGGAGCGAGCTCAGAGGACAACGGTGAACAGACGCTTCATCTCTTGTTAAGCTGACTTTTATCCCTTGTGAGTCTGTAGTATGACTATGATGTACGATGAGTAAATGTACTTGCAGTACTCCTTACCAAAGTCACTTGACGCTCCGGCCAACCCTGAAGAGTTCCATGAACGCCAGTCATGACGGGTGTCGTCTCATACATTCTTGCTACCGCGTCCCGTCCCCAAGTAAATTGCGACGGTGTCGACTCGTCGAGTACTGGAGTGGCCCCCCTCCCTCCCTCAATCTTTCCTTCCATTCTTCACCTATTTTTGTCTGCACTATGTAGTCCGTACATGAGCATGTCCGAGGAGTATGTTAGGTAGTATGTCATCCATGGTGGACCGGTCCATCCTCTTGGGATCCCCTATTTGATTGACTCGTCATGCTGAAATACTTGCGCGCTCTTTTGATGGAGTACTGCGAGGCTGGGTGGCGAGGATTCTGAGAGTCCCTCCTCCATCTATGTAACCTGACTGGACTTCCTGGATTGCCTTGGGGGGGGGAAGAATTTCCAACTGACACGGATTATTCAAGGGAGAATGGAAAAACAGTACTCTGTCTTCTGACACTGTTCAAGGTATGTTGGATCTTTCCTTTCCAGCTACGATAGGAGTAACTGAATGTATCAATCTACCTTAGTCCCTCTAGTTGTACTCCCTTATCTGATGCACTCACTCGATCACGCTCAAACGCCGGTGTATTACTATCTTCCCTCTCTGTGTGATGAACAATGTAGTTTAATCGGGTCTAGCATCCGATCGCCAATCCCTCCGACTCCCAAAAAAAAGTCCATTCCGATTCATTACACATTTGGCACATTTGGCACAACCCGAGCGAAAGGGTCCGAGCCAACCCAGAGAGATCCCAATCGCATGGTTCAGAAGTACACAGGAGTCTAGACGTCGGGCGCTCCATTGAGAGGTTGACCTCGCTCTACTTGAGTTTCGATGCGAGTTCTTGTTGGTAAGGCAAGCGTTGTGCGGCGGAAAGAGTAGCTCATATGCAGTTTCGAGGTGAGACAGAAGCTTTGATCGAGAGAGAGAGAGAGAGAGAAACTCTCTCTCGAGTAATAGAAGCGACCAGAGTCTAGAGTGCTATATACTACAAGTATATAGCATGTAGTTACCGGCCATCGAGAACAAGCAGTACTCCCACTTGACGACAAATCAAATATGATCAGTAGCTTGGTACAGGCAAGACCCATTGGCCCACTTCATGCTGAACGCATGATGGGAAATGGGAAATGCCTGCATTTCAAAATCAGGGTCACTGATAGAAAAAGCAAACCACAACGTCCAAAGGGGGCTGTCTACTAGATCAGATTATGAGAGACTGTTCAAAAGGTACAAACTCATCAACTTCTCAAATCAACCCCCCCCCCCCAAAAGAAGGTTTACCCTCAGCAGAATAATGAAGAGCTTAAAATCTGATTTTCTCCCCAAACTGGACAAGTGGGATGGGAAGAGGAGACGTGTGAAATTACCTGACCCGCATGTATTTTGGCTCGCGGTAATAGCGTTTTCTGAGGATCTGCGACCTCCGACGGCACGTCGTCAGTGGCACAACCCTTGTGGGATGGTCGACTTGAGGTCTGTCTCCCTTCTTTCACTGTAGAATTTCTCCTCTTTTTTTTTTTTTTTTTTTTTTTCCCTCTCTCCCTGGGTTTCCTTTTTTATTTTTATTTTTGTTTCCCGCGCTCACTCTCTCTTTCTCTCGAGTCTCTTTCTCTCTCTCTCTCTCTCTCTCTCTCTCTCTCTCTCTCTCAGTCCACTCTTACGGTGGATCATTTTGGAGATTACCTCTTTTGATTTTGGGCAATTCTTCTTTTTCTCCCTTCCCTTTCCTTTCTTTTTTAGGTCCCTACCACATATTCTCTATTTTCACCCAATTCTCTTTTCCTCTCCCGGTCTTTTAGAGAGAGTGTTATTTTTTTTTTGGATTTCTCTTTTCCGTCTCTTTACGTGGGTGGATTCACCACTGATGGGTGAACTGCCTGAGGAGTCAAGTCGACCGAGTTGGAGACGTGCGGCACGCATGTATGCCCTGGATACCCTTCCCTTCTTAAGCTTCGCCGATCCCCGTTCCCCAGACACATCTTTCCCTCTATCACTTTGAATATCCCTTCACTCTCCCCATTACCTGTCCAGGTACATTAAGGATCGATCTTCGCACCTCTCACGTTTTCTCCCTTGCCCATCTATCCATCTTTCGACCTACACCCTCGGACTCCTTTGTCTTTGTATACTTTCTATTTGGGTCTTGTTGCAGATCAGCCAGCAATCAAGTCGATCATCTACAACCCTCAACCCCCAACTTCCTTCAACCCTCCCCCACGAGCCCAGTCCTTCGCGACGAGTCACCGCGCCTCGTCTCCAACAAAGAATAGGAATTCGCCCGAAATTCTTGTCATCTTTTATTTTTTGTTACTAGTGTGGACTTGGTTCGCCAGCTGAAACCTTGAATCTCCTCATCGCAACGCAATATCCCCAATGACGATGGTAATGGAGAATCAAAACCGCCCTTACGGCGGGATGAGCTTCGATAATGTGTACCACCACAATCCACCCCAATTCACAGATCCCTGGGCGACGGCACACACATCGACACACTCGACACCACCCGTGTATGCGACTTCGATGGGCAACAGCGCTAGCATGCCGATCAATGCCGTCAAGCAAGAGGACGTGGCTCGCTCGGCCGCCATGTCTATTCCTTACAGCAACATTCCCGTGTCTGCACCTGCAATGGTACCCAGCAACAGCTATACCACCACCGGCTACAGTGCAGATGTGTTGAGCATGCAGCATGAGGTCCCTCGAACAGCCTACGAGCAAACACCCACCTATACGACCGCGCCTCCCATGAGCAGCTACGCGCAGGCCAGCTATGCCCCCGCCGCATATGCTCCAATCCATGCCGCTTCTCCAACCGACATTCGTCGCATTTCGCACTCGTGAGTCCATGGTTCCCCTCTCACACGACATCTCCCTTTCTAGTGGACGGTGTTGAGTTGCCCCAACACGAATTGCAAGTGCCTTGGAATCGTGAAAGTGCCCTTGACTGACAACGCTTTTTCCCACCCGGCGAACAGTGATCGAATCGCATCTTCAAATCCTGGACCTTCTTTCGGAGATGCTCTTGATGCCAGTCGTGGAATGGTTGCTCTCAGCCAAGACCTGACCCCTCGCAATATCTATGGACCTCGCGGCGCGCGCAGCTCCACCGATGCCTACGGCTTCCCTACCAACCACTCATCAACCTCCTCGATTTCCTCTGGAAGCACATACCCTTACTACAGCGCCTCCGTCGGCTCCGTGGATTCTTCAGTAACCGATTACAGCTCGACGACATCCGAGTCGTACGAGTCGCGGACTCTTCCGCGACCAACCAGCCTCTTGGCTGGAAGCGCACCTCCAGGACCTCAGTCCATGATGAGCCAATTCAGTTCCAAGATGCCATCCAACACACAGAAGAAGCACAAGTGCAAGGTTTGCGATAAGCGCTTTACTCGTCCTTCTTCCCTACAGACGCATATGTACAGTCACACTGGTGAAAAACGTAAGTCCTGCTTCGAACACACTTTTACCCTCGCCCACCAACGACTGGCTACTGGACAGAAATCAACTAACTCATTCGCACAGCTTTCGCCTGTGACGTTGAGGGATGTGGGCGTCACTTCTCGGTCGTGTCCAACCTGCGCCGACATAAGAAGGTTCACAAGGGCGAGAAGGAGGGCAGCTCTCCGGGTGACGACGACGAGTAAATCGATGATTGATCACGACTTGTTCGTCAATCTTTGTCTCTGTCGTTCTACCATTTCGCCTTTATTTTGGCTTGAAACTCCCTCCCTCTCGTGCTTTGCTTTTCGCGCGTCCAAAAAACGCTCTCGCGCGAGACATTCTGATACCCAATTGTTCAGCATCTTTCTTGTCTTCTTATTTTTCTCTGCGTCCACTCATCTGCAATTCGTCAGAGAGTGAAGCTTGTACAACATACCTGGCCTATGCTTCCCACTCCTCTCGGTTGAACCCCTTGTTCCGACGAAGGCTGTCCCTTCAACCGGCGGTCGCAAAGAGGCGAATTCGTCCCTGGGCCGCCTCTTTCAACACCGGCCATACCTTAGCGGATCCAATGGGAGGTCTGTGGATTTTCATTCTGCCGCTGGGACTTGCTTCCGTCTCTCAGAGGCCATCTTTCCTCCCCTGTGTCAATCGAAGCATTTGCCATCTCTTCCATCTTTCTTCTGTTATGACCATAGAGTTGCCGGTTGACTTTGGTACTACCTGGCTATGATTTTTTCTGTCTTGTACCCTTTTTCTTCTTCTCTTGGGGTGTCTCCATTCACGAACACCAATCCTCCATCTTCTTCTTTTCTCATTCGCTCGCTAGACTTGGGAGACTTTCTGGATTTTCAATGTTTCGATTCCAACTTTTTGATACCATTGGGCTTTTGTGATGATTTCATGCGGATTCCCTCCTGTCCCTTGTTCCCCTCCAATTCGGGACTTTTCTCCTTCATCTCTCGCTTCGCTGGTCTTTTTCTCCCTGTCCACACTTTGGATCAATAGCTTAATACTCTCTCACTTGCATATAATTTGCATCAATGAGATAACTCATGGAAAATTTGTCCTTGAAACCCACCACTCGACCAGTGTCTTTTTTCCAAAAAGACTCCAAGAATCCTCGTAAGGAAAGGGTGTCGAGTAGACCTGCATTTTACTTTCTCAATCGACACATCATTTGCAATCGCTGGACGCGAAATTACCTCTATTGAAAATTCCGTCTGCGTCGTGAACTTAAGCTTAAATTGGCACTGGAGATTCTCACGTCTCACAGGACATGCTCCCGAGTCGTACAAGCGCTTATAAGCCTCGGCCTCCCCGACGCCCTTTACTGACGCAGCCGTGGTTCCCTTTGTAACAGTCGCATGTTGCACGACATGGGGACTTGGGTACACCATATGTGGGGGAAGGGAAGTACCTCCCTTGTATACAGCGAGGCAATACCTAGGAGTCTTTCAATAATTTACAAAAGATCCAAAAACAGAGCAAATGCATTTGGCAGTATTATGAAGTGATCTTCCATTTGCAAATGGTCAACCACATCCCATACGATAAATTAATGAATGAGCGGCGCAGCTCCAGGCATGTTCCGGCTCCCGTATCTCGAAAAAAAGGTACTGTATGTAGGTAGTAGTAAATTCTGCTACGAATGTTTGTGACCGACTCAGCGGATTCGATCGAGTTTCGCCCGGTTCATGGCAATTTGATCGTCGACGTAATCGCTCTGTATGAGCAAGTTAGCTGATCAGGTTCAATATCATTGGGAAGTCCCAACCCCACCGGGACGGGAATGAGTGTGAAGTTGGAGCGTTAGAGAGAATACGCACCTTGCCTGTGATGCGCTCCAAATGTCTGTTTTGTTGATCCAATTCCTGACCGGTGGCTTTGGCCAGACCGTTCAGTCGGCCTGCGGCCCCGCTGAGGAGGTCCAAATTTTGCTCGATCTCATCTTCCATGGCTTCGTCCTCGCTGTCTGCTTCAAACTGGTATTTGGCCCGTTCGGTAACATTCGCCTTCTTGCCCTTCTGTTGCTTATTCGCCTCTCGGTCAATGTCCCGGAAGACCTTGTCCATGCGCGCATTGGTCTGGTACGCTTCTGAACGAGTACCCTCACGCTGGTCGCGCTCTTCACGGTGAGTGTTGAGGATGCGCTCGTCGCGCTCCCGTCTGCGCGAGGCACTTGTGAACGGATTGGACACGTGCACCGCGAACATGCTCTTGTTGAGTGCTTTCAGCTCCCGCGCCTTCTCCTGCGCGACACGTCCCTCAACCGTGGCCATGTCTAGGTTCTTTTCGGCGTCGTGGACCATTTCTCCCTGAGCACCCAAACGAGCCAGTGTCGACCGACCCGTTTCCTCTGCCATGGCGGCAGCCCGGAGAGCGTTCCGGGTTGATGCGACGTCACCCTGCTTCACGAATTTCATCTCCTGCTTGGTCGCTTGGATCTGCTCTTCTTCTTCCTCCTCCGCCGTCAACTGTCGGTCCTGGTAGGTTGCCATGCTATATTCATTGCTGCCGCCACCGTAGTTTCCGCCCTGCCCGCCTGCTTCTCCGCCCTGACCAGGCGAGTATGGAGGCGGCGCGCCGTTCTGACCGGATTGTGTACGATCTCTAGCTCCGCCGAACAGTTCATTGCGAGCGGCATCCGTCTTTCCTGGATCGTTGGGGTCGGCATTCCCTAGTCCTCCATAACCCCCGGTTCCATAACGAGAGGCGCCCGCGCCGTTGCCGTTGCCACCATTGCCATACCGATCACCGCCGTAGCCGCCTTGATTCCCGTAGGCATTTGCTGAGTATTTGTTGTCGGATGGAATGGCGTGGGGTCCTTGCGCGGGGGCGGGGGATTGGGTCCCGCCCTGATAACCAGCTGGCGGGGGTGTCACCCCGGCCTGGATCTTCGCCTTGGTATAGGGATCGACATATGCCGGTTGAGCGTAGGGGTTGGATGCGGCCGCGGGGCTTTTGTTCTTGGATCGAGAGCCGAACAGAGCGCGGCGGCTGGACTCTTCGCCGTCTTCGCTGTGCTTTTTGAAGAGCCCCATGATGTGGCGTGGGGTGGAGGCACTGGAGTCGTATGTGATGTGTCTGTTGGGTGATCAGGCTAAGCACAGCGAGATGAGTCCGGATATCGGTCAAGAATGAGAAGGTCGCGGTCAAGTCGGCCTTTGCCAGAAGTATCGTAATGCGAGGGAGGAGTATCAAAGAATGAAAATGTGCCAGCTGGCCGAAAAGAAGAAGATTAATTCAAAACGGAGAATGCTTCAGGGGAGCTCTCGGGCAGTGGAGGCCGACCACGGCGACGACGGTATTGATGTATTCTAGTAATGCAAAGTTACACAGACAAAGTGACCCTATCATGTTTGAGTTGCTGGAGAAAGAGGGATAACGTGACGCGTGACGATACAAAAACGAGCTGACTCAGTCTCAGTGGTGGCGCTAGTCTCGATTCGGAGAAGCTTCGCCCCTCCGGCGCCGCGTTTTGGTTATTTTTGGATGATGCTTCTGTGTTCGCCTGCCACAGCCACTCGAGCAATGGCGCCTTTGGGAGATGCCGATTATTGTAGGGATAAGGCCCGCCGGGACCTGCTGGCCCTGCTGGAAGGCGTGAGTATTGCTGTTGCCTTCATGTCTTCCAATTTAGAAAGGAACAAACTGGCTAATGTGCACTTTAGGCTCGTGGGAAGAAGAACATCGTCATCAGCCAGGAACTGGCGGGTCCAGTGGGCTTGATCGTCAAGTTTTCCGAACTCCAGCAGTATGGCGTAGACCGTGTCTTTCTTCTGGAGAATGCCAATGTGGACTCATCGCAGCGTAATGTGGTGTTCGTAGTCCGCGGCGAGAAAGCGCATCATGTGCGGACGGTAGCAGGTAAGCTCCTGGGGTTCGGTGTTCTTTGCTGTTCTGATGCCATCACATCCACCCTCACTCCCGAATGTAGACACTTCATGGGAATAGGCCTTTATTTGGCCTCATATGTTGCGTGGAGCTCATATGACCACTCCTCGCAATGGTAGCGATTCCCGATATCAAATTGAGCTCATTCATTTGGCGCTCGGCTACTACGTTTCACTACACATTTGCTTTGCTTGAGTTGCCATCAGTGTGAGCTGACACCTTTCCCCCCTTTTCAGAGCAAATCAAGCGCCTTCAGAACAATGGCAATGTGGAACACGAATTTTCCATCTTCTTCTCCCCTCGGCGGACCTTGGTCGGCAATGCTGTTCTGGAAGAGGCGGGTATTATTGGTGATGTCAACATTGCTGAGTTCCCGCTTGAGTTCTTGCCACTGGAACAAGACCTCTTATCACTGGAGCTAGATGATACATTTGCAGACCTCTACCTGGTACGATTGTCCACGGAAAAATGATGTGGCCTTAGAACACCCAACTAACGCCATGATCAGCACAAGGACCCCGGATGTATCTTCCATGCCGCCAAGGCTCTCATGGGCATTCAACAGAGGCATGGATATTTCCCTCGCATCGTGGGCAAGGGCGACAATGCTCGCCGACTAGCTGATCTACTGCTTCGGATGCGTAAAGAATTGGATGCCGAAGAAAGCTCTGGACTGACTGATTCCTACGCACGAAGTCTTTTGCCCAGTGCCGACACCGAGAGCTTGATTATCATTGACAGAGACGTGGACTTTGGGACTCCGCTTCTCACGCAACTCACCTATGAGGGACTCATTGATGAGTACGTTGGTATCAGAAACAATCAGGCGGATGTAGATACGAGCATTGTCGGACAGGCGCCCGGCACCCAATCCCAAGAATCATCAAGGACTTCACAGTCAGTCAAGCAAGGCCTGAAGCGCAAAATTCAGCTCGATTCGACAGATCTGCTTTTCAGTCAGCTTCGTGATGCAAATTTCGCCATTGTGGGCGATCTTCTGAACAAGGTCGCTCGCCGACTTGAAAATCAATACGAAACTCGGCACACGGCCCAAACAACAAACGAGCTTCGTGAGTTTGTCAACAAACTACCGACTTATCAACTAGAACACCAGTCTCTTCGCATCCATACCAATCTTGCCGAGGAAATCATGCGATTGACCAGAACAGAGACTTTCCGGAAAGTCCTCGAAGTTCAGCAGAACAATGCAGCCGGAGCTGATCCGACTTATCAACATGAGACTATTGAGGAGTTGATCTCTCGCGATATCCCATTGAAGAGTGTGCTACGTCTGCTGTGTCTTGAATCGTGCATGTCTGGCGGACTACGTGCGCGGGATCTGGAGAATTTTAAACGTCAAGTGCTGCAAGCATACGGCCATCAGCACCTTCTGACTTTCTGGGCGCTCGAAAAAATGGAACTGCTTCAACCCAGATCTTCAGCAACAGCGATGCTTATCCCCACCTCCGGTGCTCAACCGGGCTCTAAAACAAACTACGGGTACCTGCGCAAGAACCTTAGACTTGTCATCGAAGAGGTCAGCGAGAAGGAGCCCGACGACATCTCCTACGTTTACAGTGGGTTTGCCCCGCTCAGCGTTCGCTTGGTGCAATGTGTGCTTCAGAAGCAGTACGTGCTCGCACTAGCTAAAGGCGGGAAACCCGCGGCGTCGATGAACACCACCAGTCCCGCATCGCCTGGTTGGCTCGGCTTCGAAGATGTAATCAAGAGTGCCCGTGGCTCAACTTTCAACATTGTGCAGAAGGGAGATGACAAGGCCGTAAGAGCAAGACAGGTCCTCAGTGGCAACTCGGCCACAAAGACCGTTTATGTCTTCTTCCTGGGTGGAATCACATTCACTGAAATTGCTGCGCTGCGATTCATCGCTGCGCAGGAGGCGCCAAAGCGCAAGATCGTGATATGTACTACCGGGATCATCAGCGGTGACCGCATGATGGAAGCAGCTATTGAGAAAGGCAGTTTCGCAAAGACGACCGAGTAGTCTTTTTTTTTTTCGTCTTGAATTAATGTCCATGAAGCGTTCACTGTTTGTAAATAAGTCTTTTTTTCCCTATTTCTTATGACAGCGTGATTCCTAGATCACGGTATTATTCATCTTACAGGCAAATATTGCACTCAACCAAATGACTGCTCAGTACTTGAAGCCCGCATTCACGCCCATCAATCGCCCCTGATAACGCTCGATGACCTCACCCAGTCGTACCATCACTCCCGCAGACAATGTTCGCACCTGCTCCTGCGGATCGGCGAATGTTCCAGGATCTGCTTTGACTCTGCTTGCAGGCGTGCGATCGAAGACTTCGGACGCCCACTCGCGTAGCTCCATCACGCGAGTAGCATGCTCGGTGACGAGACGTTCTTCGCCATCTGAACCGAATGCAATATTCACGTCTACAACCGCCAAGAACAGCCCCAGCAACGCCGCGGTAACTGTGGGCTCGCTAGCTATTGGAGCCGTGTGGAGCGAGATCAACAGTGACAGAATCTCATGTGTGAAGGACGCAAGGAGGGGATTATGTGGACCAGCAGTAGAGAATATCAGTGACAGGGTCTGGAGGAAGAGCGTGAGGATATGGGGCACCAAGAAAGGATTATGAGAAGGAGCGGATGACCTGTAATTTGATCTCTTAGCAATTTTCAGAAGCAAATGAGGGACTGAGTATCATGACGTACGAGGCGAATTGAAGGATCATTCGCTCAAATCGAGCTTGGAGAGGGTAGAAGAAGCCCTGGGCTAGAATGTTGTAGAGATCTTTTACGACCTTTTTTTTGCGTTGAGCCTCGCGTTGCTTTCGCTTGTTTTCAACCTCCATGCGCGAGGAGAAGGTGCGGACTTTCAGCGCGCTGGGACCGGTCATACGGTCAGCAGCATCGGCTGCCAATGGCTGCAACGATGTCTTTGCCATCTCTTGTGTTAGTGCAGCGATTGGGGATTGATTGCTGTCTTTATATACAGCTTCCAAGGCTGGCGACAAACGCTTGGATGGGAAGGAAGTATCTCCCAAGCTGGGAAGATTCAGTGCCTTGGCATCATCCTCGCCATTGCCAGCAATCTCTCGTGCGCTTAACCCTAATGCCGTAAGCGTTGCAGACCGCTGTGTTTGTGACAGGTCGCCGTCGAAGAAGATCGCAGCAAACCAACGGCCCATTTTTAGCGGCTGCGAGACAATAATAGCAATCAAGCTCTGGAGACGTGACTCGTGGAAAGATGGATGGCTTTTATCGTTCTGAAGGCTGACCAGCGTCAGTGCCAACTCTTCTACTTGCTCGGCGAGCTCGGTTCCAAATCCTCCTTTACGTCGAATCAACGACGGCGCGGTCGTGATGGCAAGATGGTGACGATCCACGTTTTCAGTGTCGCGCAAGAATGTGATTAGGTCACGAATGTACCTAAGAAGAAGTGAGAAGCCAAACTCAGACTGGACGTAGAGATGAACTGGTGGAAACTTACACTGGCGCGCTTGGCTTATTACGTTGGACAAGCGTTGGATCCTCGTCTTCGTCTTCCATGTCGTCATCCGGCTTCTCGTACGGCAATAGGTCCTCCTCGCTGTCGGTGTCATCTGCACCATCTTCGATCTCCTCTATAGTGATGATCTTGCTTGATAGTGGTTCGATTCGGCTAGGCTTAGCTTTTTTGGGTTTCGGCACGTCTTGAGTTGGTGACACCTTCGCTGTGTTACCTCGTCTCAACTCCTGGAAAGACTCGATAGATCCAACTTTGTCCTGGATATCTGTGAGACTCAAATAACATAGAGCCTCATCGCTTTGCATCTCTTCGAGGTCGAACTTCATGGCATTTTCGGGCTTTTCTATGACATGGGATATTCCCGTGCCCACAATCATGCCGAGGAAACGTGCCTTGTTCGAAGATGCTGCAAGTCGGTTAGACACTGCATTGAGATAAAGTCCCGTGCACCCAATTGCCTGAACGCTCTGGGGATGTGCTCGGTTTAGTTGTCCCGCGACAAGTAGGATTACTTGCGCTTGTGCTGTGAGATTATCAGAATCCATATCTCGAAGCGTCCTCAAAGACGAGACATACCATCTTGTACAAGGACTGGAAGGTGTTTGATCGAGAACCGGTCACCAAATTGTTCAAGAGCGTGAGAAAGTAATGTTTTCAACGTTTCTGAGGTCGCAATGTTAGATCTGAGATTTTCCAGGATCTTTGACTGACCTACCTGCGGATTCACTGAATATTGAGAGAATGGCTCGGCGCAGGCCAATTGTGTATATTGAGCCACCCTGGCCTTTGGAGAGCCAGTTCAGTAGTTGCTCCTTGAGGAAGGGACGATCTGCCACAAGCAAGTTGCAGAGTGCTCCTACGCTTGCAATGGTTGATTTCACAGAGTCAGACTTCGTCACAGCTTCAGAGAGGTCCTCCGAAAATGAACTCTTCTGCACATCGCGGAAGATAGCTTCCAGAACGGCGACCTGCTCCAACGGTCGCAGATGGTCGATCAACATGCCCAGGTGTCGCGAACATGATTTCTCAACAACAAGCTCACAGTAGATCTCACGGACAACATGGTCTAGCTCCTGATTAGCTTCTTTCGAATATGGAGAAATGCCACGGCCACTTACCGGGATATCCGAGGCTCAGCGCTCGGCTGGTGAGGAGAGCTAGCGAAGTCCAGCTTTCTGTATCACTGGCATCCAAACTAGCGGCAAGGCTAGCGATATTCAGGCCTAGCCATGATGAGTAGCGAGAACCTTCACCAATCCAGGCAAGTTCCGACGTCAAATTGGGTTGGCCTGCAACAGCGAGAGCCTCCGCTGCAGTCGAAAGAATCCTGCCACCCGATACCAGAGACACAAACTCTCTCCATGCTGCTTGCTGCCGAGTGTGGTTGCCATACACAGCTGATATGTCGACAAAAATTCTCCGAACGAAATCTCGTGGCTCAAGTAGGGAAGACAGAACCGACAAGATATCTAGCACTCGAGTCGAAGTGCTCGATTTCTTGTCAGTTTGATCTTTCGATCGCGAGCTTATGACTAAAGCACGAAGCTCAGCAACTAGCGATCCCAGTCCAGCTATGCTACTAAAGCAACGGAGCAGTGCAGCACGATATTTCACATAACCAGATTTGCTCTTCGCATTCAAAAGCTGCCAATGATCGGGTACTGTGGTGGACGCTAAGATTTGTAAGATATGAGCTGTCGTTGGGCCCGGCATTCGGACATCAACCTGAGATACCTCCCGTGATGTATTGTAAGGATCTAGGGCAGCAAGGACAATGGCGAGCTCTTCGCTACTTGGATGAGATTTGAGTAATTGTATCACTTGCTCCGATGATATTTCTTGGCTCAAATCTGCGGCAGGTTTGCTGAACCCATCATTGCGCGCTTGATCTGCTTGCACTTCAACCAACGGAGGCTCGCTGTGCGTCTTTATGGACTTAATGGTAGTCAGCAGATCTTCCATCACGTGGATTTTGTGAGTGCCAAACAGAAAATCGCAGAGTACTTCAACATCTCAGCGCACACATCGGAGCTTCTATGCGGAATATCACGTGATATGATGTCTACCTCTCTATCCCACGCCGTGATAGCTGCTGATAAGTGCCATGCTGGACCCACCAAGTCTACTGTTTGTTTAAGTAGTCTCAAAGCTTCGAGCTCTTTTCAATCTCCCCTCGGATATATACCACGCTGAAGTTGGGTACTTCTGCGGTCACCACTTCAGTCTCGAATAAAGCATTCTCTGGACGGGCCCCATTGAGTGGACGGTGGGCCTAGTGACTGTTTCTGGGATCTTCGACTTCAAATCACCGATCCAAGTTCAATTGCCTGAAATGAATCACTCCAACGCGAGCCAACATGGCCGGTGGCGAGTGCTCCTGAACTCACATGTCTATCGCTTCGCAAAGCTAATCTGTCACAGGAAGCACCTCTACAAGGTTATGTCCAAACCTGGACCCCATTGTGATGAAGACTGGACTCCAGGATCAGCGATAATTGATATGCTTGAGTCTACCAAAGTCCTGTGAGCACTCTCCCCATGAGCAAACAATATCTGCTGCGACGAGCGACTGACTGAGACCGCAGTGTAATGTAAATCAACCCAATGAAACTGATTGGAGACGAATGCATTTACTGAGCGCATCTTAGCGGAGCTGGTGGACTGGGTTGCGAGATTCTGAAGAATCTCGCTCTCTCAGGGTTCAAGGACATTCATGTCATTGACATGGGTGAGTTCTCAAAGCATGCTCGAGGGGTGGCAGCTAACTGTGTACTACAGATACCATTGATATATCTAATCTGAACAGACAATTCCTTTTCCGACAGTCAGACATCGGAAAGCCGAAAGCAGAGGTTGCCGCCGCTTTCGTAGAGAAGCGAGTAAAAGGAGTCCGGATCACCCCGTTCGTTGGCAAGATTCAGGACAAAGATGAGGATTTTTACATGCAATTCAAAATCATCATCTGCGGCCTGGATAGTATAGAAGCTCGTCGTTGGATCAATGCGACGCTGATTGGAATGGTGGACCCCGAAAATCAAGAAAGTCTTAAACCTCTTGTCGATGGTGGAACTGAAGGTAGGTATACCCAGGCAGGTCTTCTTTCCAGAGACAACCGCTGACCACCGAGGACACAGGATTCAAGGGCCAAGCTCGAGTCATTCTACCGACATTGACCTCCTGCATTGAATGTCAGCTCGATATGCATGCTCCTCGTCCAGCAGTTCCACTTTGCACTATTGCAACCATTCCGCGTCAACCACAGCATTGCATTGAGTGGGCGCACCAGATCGCATGGCAAGACAAGCGAAAGGACGATCCCTTTGACAGCGATAACATGGAACACATATCGTGGGTCTACCATGCTGCTTTGGAGCGAGCGCAGCACTTCCACATTGCGGGTGTGACATTTCAAATGACTCAAGGTGTGGTCAAAAATATCATTCCAGCGATTGCATCGACAAATGCCGTGATTGCTGCATCCACCACCTCCGAGGTGCTGAAGATCGCCACCGGATGCAACCCATATCTCAATAACTACATGATGTATGCCGGTGAAGAGGGCGTGTACACGTACACGTTCGAGGCTGAAAAGAAGTCAGACTGCCCGGTCTGTGGCAATCTCGCTCGCAAGATGGACGTTGATCCTGACTTGACGCTGGGAGAATTCATCGAGAGCCTCGGCGAGAGAGCCGAGGCGCAATTGAAGAAGCCTAGCATGCGAACCGAGGAGAAAACCCTGTACCAGCGCTTCCCACCTCAGCTAGAAGAGCATACAAGACCAAATTTGCGGTTAAAGCTGCGCGACCTCGTCGAGGACGGCGAAGAAATCGCAGTCAGCGACCCGGCCTATACGATCGATTTCCGCTACCGCCTTGTCTTCAAATGAGTGCTTGATGCTACGACTACCACGACTCAAGAGTGGGGCGGAATCGGCGACCTCAGCCGCTACATAGTTCGGGACAAAAATTAACGGTATACCAGGACGAAAATCTTCATTCACAGTAAGATCAAATGAACAGTAACTGGGGTATTCGGACCCTGGCCTCGTAAAGCCTAACTTTGACCGAACTTTTCGTAAATGTACAGCGCGAACGAAGCTCAAATCTTTGAATTCCAACGCCAGGAAAATGCATTAGCAAGAGGGGGTAACCAACAAGATGGCTTTACGCCATCAAGTCTTCGAGGCCGCGCTTCCAGCGAGCGCATTTCAGCTTCAAGACCTTCACGGCCTCGAGGAACAATACGTCGCTTTCAAACTGTCCAGTGCTTTCCACATTGTAGATGAAGTGGTCACGAATGCGACCAAGCTTAACCTTGCCCTGAAATTCTTCATGACGAAGGCACTCTCGGCTCACGGTGTCGTTGAACGCATCCCGGACAACTGCCTTCATCTCACCGGCGTGGCCCTCATATCCACTTCCCTGACGCTTGGCGTCCTCGGCAGTCACGGGCTCTAGACCGATGACACCCTTAGGGAAGCACTTGGCGAATTTCTTTGCGTCTTCACCAAGAATTGGGCGTTCAATAGTAATTTGCGGCATCAAACGATAAGTAGCTGTGGCGACGGGGGAGAACTTGGCGTGATCGGCTCCAATGCCCTTGATGCAATGCATCTCGAGATCAATCTTCTGACCAGGACGCAATTTGGCGATAAGAATATCCGGGTTCACTGGCTGGATGGCTCCTTCGCCGGTGAAGAACTGTTCTTGGCGGCCGACGGGTGTGAATGTCATATCTTTCGCATAGACATGGGCATTGTGGTATAGCTTGCGAGGGTCGGTCTCATCTTGGGCAGCATCGGGGTTCTTTGTGCACTCAACAGCCAGCTGCATGACAACTGTGTTGAAATCACTTGGCCCCGGTGGGGCAGGACCGTCATCGTCTTCGGAGGGCTTGCGATACCAGTGCATCCAGTTGATACCCTCAACAGAGCCCTTCAGCGGAATCAAGCCGAGACGGGAGGCGAGGACCTCATCTTGAATGACAGAAGTGTTATTCTGGACGAAAACGTATTCGATGGCAAGAGTCGGAATTTCGGCGACAAGAATGCGGCGGAAAGCATTAGCAACGGCGGCGTCAAGTCCAATTAGTGAGAATGAAGCCTCATATGGATCGTTGCGATGGAACTCGACTTTGAAGTTCTACGAAACATTGAGTAAGCACCAGCGCATACTCATACATGGGCTTTCCACCGAGCGCAATATTTCTTTTACATGACAGCACGTACATCCTTGAATTGATCCAAAGCCCAGCTATGCGATTCGCCTGGCCAGTGCCCAGGGAAGTCTGTGGAGGGAATGTTGGTGACGGTCTCTGCGTTGATGCCGATGATCTGCGAAAGGTTAGCGTCTGGTTGGTTTGTACATCAGAAGAGTCCTTACGCGACGGCGCTGCAGCTCCTCCTGCGATGGAATAAGTGGTGCCATGATGGGCGATGTGGTGAAATGCTAAGGAAGACTATAGAAAAAGGTCAATGATCGAGTCCGATAAGAATATTTTCTTGGTAGCCTAAGGCAGAAATAAAGCACTGTTCCGCTGGTTTCGAGGACAGCCTGCAGTCCTGCCAGTCCTGCACAGTGCAGACCGCCTACCGGCTTTATCATCGTGCGGCGAGGGAGGGAACCAGCCTCAGCTGTCGAGACTGGTCACGTGAACATATGTATAATTATGTAATACTGGTGCCTTAGGAGCTCAATCTGCTGAAAGCGGCTTGGCCACTCTTTCTCCGATCGATGGGCTCCCGGCAAGCCCGAGGCCAACCAGAAGTCGCTTGATGACCGGCATAGAGCCTTATCACGTGATATTCCAATTTGGAGTGCGACCTCATCTGCATCCTCAAGCCGTAGGCCTGCCCTTCCCCCAGCGAGCTCATTCTCCACCCAGCCATTGAATGCGTCTGGACTGAGGACCAGCCGTCTCATCTTTCGATCCTCAGAATACATTGACAAGTATTTCTCCATGGCCGCTTCATTCGCTCGCCTCGCGGGCAATGCGCCCAAGAGACTGTGTCTCCGCCCCTCCAACTTGATCAACACATCCGTGCCACGATCCCGTTCGATCGCGACCACCGTACCTCGTCGTCACGCCGAGGCTACCAGCTTTCAAGCCACAAGGCTAGTCCCGACCGACCCGACCTTCACGCACTTTGCCAACAAGGGTCCCGCCGAGGATGAAGCTGCCGGGCTCGAATCCGCCGCTGAAGGCATCGACCGGAAAATCCGTCACTACACTGTCAACTTTGGTCCCCAGCATCCCGCAGCACACGGTGTGCTTCGTCTGATCTTGGAATTGAACGGAGAGGAGATTGTTCGTGCTGATCCTCACGTCGGTCTGCTTCACCGTGGTACCGAGAAGTTGATCGAGTACAAGACCTACATGCAAGCTTTGCCCTATTTCGACCGATTGGACTACGTTTCCATGATGACCAACGAGCAATGCTTCTCTTTAGCTGTTGAGAAGCTGTTGAACGTCGAAATTCCCGAGCGCGCCAAGTGGATCCGAACTATGTTCGGCGAGATCACTCGTATCCTCAACCACCTGATGTCCGTTCTTTCACACGCCATGGACGTGGGTGCTTTGACTCCCTTCTTGTGGGGTTTCGAGGAGCGTGAGAAGCTGATGGTGAGTCGTCATTGTACATCCATTGCTGCGAGCTCTTGAACATCTCCGTTGGTCTCCTAACCATGCTCTTCTCCCTTGTAGGAATTCTACGAGCGTGTCTCAGGTGCTCGTCTCCACTCCGCCTACGTTCGCCCGGGTGGTGTGTCCCAGGATCTCCCTCTTGGCCTTCTCGACGATATCTATCAGTGGGCCACTCAGTTCGGTGACCGTATCGACGAGACCGAGGAACTGCTCACGGACAACCGTATCTGGAAGGCCAGAACTCAGGGTGTCGGTGTTGTCAACGCTGCCGATGCTCTCAACATGAGTTTCACTGGTGTCATGCTTCGTGGCTCTGGTGTTCCCTGGGATATCCGCAAGTCTCAGCCCTATGATGCCTATGACCAGGTTGAATTCGATGTCCCCGTCGGTGTCAACGGTGACTGCTACGACCGTTATCTGTGCCGTATGGAGGAGTTCCGTCAGTCCCTTCGCATTATTCACCAATGCTTGAACAAGATGCCCGCTGGTCCTGTTCGTGTTGAAGATTACAAGATCATGCCCCCACCTCGTGCCGCCATGAAGGAGAACATGGAGGCTCTGATTCATCACTTCCTCCTGTTCACCAAGGGTTACTCCGTTCCTCCTGGAGAGACTTACTCTGCTATTGAGGCCCCCAAGGGAGAGATGGGTGTGTTCTTGGTCAGTGACGGCAGCGAGCGCCCGTACCGTTGCAAGATTCGTGCCCCCGGTTTCGCTCACTTGGGTGGCTTCGATCAAGTGTCCCGAGGTCACTTGCTGGCCGATGCGGTCGCCATTATTGGTGAGATTGCTTCTCCTCTATATGATACTCTGTCAAATGTGCTGACTTCTGATTCCACAGGTACCATGGATCTGGTGTTCGGTGAGGTTGACCGGTAAAAGCATCAAGCGTAATGCATAATCGTTCTTTAAATCTCAAAAGATGGGGTAACAACGAAATACTCAAGCCCGGAAGAATCTTGATTGCGACCTCTTCTCGACGGCTCAAATGCCAGGGCGGCAACTAAAATTTTTAGAAGAGTTCTCTTGTCTACCCTTTCAAGATCACCATTTGATCTCCCTCCAATTCCTCACCCAGGTGTACCAATTCTCTCGATTTCCTTGTCTGATGGCGTTGTCTATGTTATATCTCGCGTCCCCTCGCCGTCTCCATTTCCGCCTTCTACTATCCCATTAGGCTTCTTGTGTATAGTGACAATCTATTCTTCCAACCTATCATCGATCTTACGAGGTGTATCAGGTCAGGTTGCTGGTCCGATGCTCTCATAAGCATGCCACCCCGGCAGATTCTGGGCATACGTATAAATCAACATTCACGTGAACAAGAACAAGCCATTCTAATCCTCACTATACCGTCCAGGGAAGGCTAGGAAGGACAAATGGTGCAAATCCACTCATCTTACTTGAAATATGTAATTGAGAACCCACAAACAAAAGAGACCTCAACATTTTGCTAGCGTCATGACTCCCGAATCGTAGGTAATCATCCGATTCAGACCACGGACATGGTATCACTTGTCATCACGAATCCGGTTCAGGACCTTAATCCTCGGCCTCATCTTCAGCTCGACCCACCAACCACGCAGAACAAGCTCTCTGACCACATCCCGGGCAAGCACATAGGAATCATACAGAGACTCAACGCCCATAAGGGACAAAATGCGCCGTTCTACCTGCGCAGTTGCGGGAGAGCCCGGTTTCAAGATAGATATGCCGGTGAAGCCATCAATCACGTCGGCGATTTGCCAGCGCGAGGATGGGAGCGCTTGCATCAACATGCTTTCATCGGGGTCCTGGTATTCTGGATCGTCGGATGCCTCCACGACGACGTAGTCGAATTGGTCCCAAAACGGCTCTCCGAGTCCCGCCGAGTGGGATTTGGTGGCTTCGTCTTCTGTCTTGTCGTAGACCCAGCCCTGTGTCGTTGGTCGCTGGAGGAATCGAGTGATTCCTGTCTGGCAGGCTAGGTTACCAAGGTAGACATATGCACCGGGATCGGTGGACGAGGAGGCCCGGTCATGGTATGCGTGGAGAGCATTTAGAGCATGCGCGCCGGGGTAATTGGCCGCCGAGGCTGGCAACAACACGAAAGTCGACAGGGCGAATGATGCCATGGTGGAAACCGCTAGCATTTGACATGCAAGGCGAGCGAAGAAAGACCGATCGCGCCGGCGCCAAAGGTATGCTGCTCCCAGAGCGGCTGTAGCAGTGAGAACAGGGACAACGTAGAGAATGAAGCGCCATTCCTTGTGTGGCTGCGCACTGTACAATGCAACGAACAACACTGATGGTGCCAGTAGAGGTAGCATTGGCCGTCTAAGTGCGGGATTCTGCAGCGCCACTGGAATCGCAATCAGATAGACCAGCGGGTTCAAAAGAAGTCGAGGCAATGCGTTGGTGAAATAGAACCAAAAGGGCTCGGTGCCCCAGGCAGAGGACTGGCCTTCGACAACGTTGAACACAAAAGCATTCAGTTCAGGCCAAACCCATTTTTTCCAGAAGATCGTGTCAATGCCGACGGTGGAAAGAAGCCCGCCAAGTAGTCCCACGACTCCGGCAACAACCACATCCACCAGCACTTCTTTCCCATGCACGGTCAGTAGAGACAGAGTGGTGAATGCGAGGAGAAGGGCAATCTCAGCGCGGAATATCACCCCGGCCACGGTCAAGAGACAGAGGGCCAATCTCACGCCCACGTGGCGAGAGTGCGCCGATCCAGGCTGTGCTATTGAGTCGGGTAAGAGGTATCGCATGGCTAGGGTGGTCAACCCAAAGGCGAACATGTTCGACAGTGGCCTTGAGGCGTAGTAGATCAGGTGAAATTGACTGCATTGAAACAGCAAGTACCAAACAGCCACTGTCTGGCCGAAGCTGTTCCGCAAGCCCCGGGCAAAGATCCCCAGAGCAAGGGCATTGTATAAGCCGAGGAGAGCTCGAACTGCGCGAGAGTATTTAGTGAATGACTGTCCATTGAAGGAGAAAGGCGATGAGCTCTTTGCCCTGGTCACCCATGTGATGATAACTTACTACATATTTGTTGGTTCACTCCCGTCCACGTCGCAATTGACATGGGCATTAAGCCAGCGAGTATAGTCGCTCCCACCGCAGTCCTCGGCACGGCACCCGGAAAGTCGAAGTGATCATAATGACCGTGCTCGATGGAATCACCATAAGGCAGTCCATGTGCGAGGATGTCGTGCGTCGCTTGAACATGAAACGATTCCTCTACCTTGGTGTAAGGCGCAGCGAAGAGATGCAAGAGGATCAAGCTCGCCAGCAAGAGCACTAGGCCAAGGTATGCTGGTTATTGTTTATGGTCAGTACTAGGCCCAGACGCCGAATACTTCTATCTGACAGAAGCTCAATGATCGGAGACTGACCATGTCTCATAGTGACTGCATTGACAAGCAGTTTCTCTTTTCTCTCGGTATGGCTCTCTTCATGGAAAAAAGGAATATTCACTGAAATCTCCCAAATAAGGAAAGAAACGAAGTTGTGGACGGGGTGTCGAGACAATGTCAAGTAAATCCGGAGATCTGGCGGCTTCCCGCCGCAACCCCCAAAGCTGCCCCGAATCCGCCGCTCCACTTCCGGTGCCTGGACTTTGAACTCTGGACTCTGAACTCTTGACACCCCCCTTCTCTTCGCCGGATACCCAAGGTCCTCCGGCACTGCGATTTTGACTCTTGACACTCACACACAACAGCCAGTGACTCAACGTCTCACCAGACAAGATGCTGCTCTTCGGCCTCGGCAATCTGGTCTATGGTAAGTGCCAAACCAGCACTCTCCCCACTACAATCAGCCCATTCCACGCCAGCTTCCTCTGTATCGGAAGCTCCAAACAAGCTAAGCTAACGAACACTTGGGTGATACGCAGTGATTGTTCTCATCATCAACGCCATTGCCGTCCTCTCCGAGGACCGATTCCTCGCTCGCAGTTCGTCCCCTCCCTCCCCTCCCGCTTGTGTGCTTCACGCCGGTCTATCTCTCTCTCTCCCTCTCCCTCCCTCTCTTTCCCTCTTTGAATACTACGCCCTATCACAAGACAAGACCGGACAACTTTGTCGATCCTGAAAACTAATGCGCATGGATAACCAAACACAGTCGGATGGGGTCGCACACAAGCTGAGCCAGGCTTCGGCGCCAGCTATGATAGTACCAGTGTGAAAGCAAAGTCGGTCAATTTGATCGCGAGTGTACGGACGGTCATGCGGAGTACGTGCAACGGCCCCCTTGATGCTCTGGCTTCCCTGCCTTTCGTCGTCATTGGAATATGCTCATAGACATGTTTGGTTGACCCTGCATCCTCATACAGTACCTCTCATCGTCATCAATACGGTGATTATCGTCTACGAGCTGATCCTCGGCTGATCCGACCCTCTCGATTTGGGTATGAATCGACCATTCCCGGAAATCCTAGTCCGAAGCTTCTAGATAAAAAAAAACCAAAACAAAAGGAGGCCGTGAGCAAAGCGCAAAAGAAGAGGCTTTTGACAAGGAAAGAAAGAGCGAGACTACTTGCATTTCGTGGATATAATCGCCGCGTTCCCTGGCAGAAGCACAAGAGCAGAACTCGGACGCTGAAACGTGCAAGCAAGTCCTACGCTCTGTCCGCTGAGTTGTTGGGTCTCTGTCTGCTACTCTCCCTTCCAGATCTGCTTTGAATACCCCTTCTACGATGTACATGATTTCTTTACTTAGTCTTGGCGAGGAAATCCAGCTACAGCAGATATCCCCACGGCGTTATGTGAATGCTCGTCCTTGTCATGCCCGAAGTGCGCATATCTGAGAACCAGACCTGTCTCCGTATCAAGCTTACAGAACGTATCTCCCAGCAAGCTTACCTCTAAGTCCCCTGATACTAATGCCGAACGCTTGTCTCCCGGTTGGCAACGCCGTTGTACAGCCACTACGATAGGCAGGTGGATGCTTGACAGGGACTGAGCATTTCAGGTGTCGAGTAAGTTGCTTGAGTCAAACAATGATTCCGTCACCATCAATCTAGGTATGCAAATTCAGCCATGACCGCATTTGCAAGCCAAGAGGAAAGATTGAAAGACTGATTGTGATTTTGCGGAAGCGAAGCAGAAGTCGATTTCAGTAGCTACAGTGCACATCATTGATTCAGAGGGTACGCCAAGTTCTCTCGGTACGGGACTTTTTTTCTTTCCCCGGAAAGCGTAGTACATGCAATCGCCCGCATGAGAAAGCCTCCTCAATGCATCGCAAGGAAAAGAAAATTGTAAACATTGTCCCTTCAAGACGGCACTGTGGGTCGATCAAATCATAAGCAGGTACGTCAAGGCAAAGATTGTGGTGGTACATTCCATGGCGAAATAAGAAGAAAAAAGGTATGTGCAGGAAAGAAATACGCTCAATATCGCGCATGAATGCTAAGCATCGACCATGACGGAAAGGGTATCGCGGGATCGAGGTAAACATGGGAGAGGAGGAGAATCAAGGGGTGGGGGGTAGAGCAATGAGAAACCCAGGAACGATGCGAGCAGTTCAGAATGCTTCTTTTAAAGTACAAGGTGAAAGTCATCCATCATGACGCCTTCCTGAAACTGAGTGACCGCCATCGATGCGAATGGCCGGACTTCCCGTTTCGGATCTCTTTCACTTCCTTGATGGTTGGCGGCGCCATCGTGCCATTGGGAGCCAACGACGAGTGAGATAGATAGGACCCATCTTTAGGCGAAAATGGATCCCTGGGCGAGAATGATTCTGAATCGGTGGTCACGGCCTCCTCTTTGATGGGGGTCTCCGGAACGGTCAGAGGCGCGAGATCCGAGATAGATCCACGAGACTCCTTGTCCTTGCTCAGACGGTGGCTCAGACTACGGCTACTACGCCGGAGGAAATTGAAGCTGGACGATTTGCGAGGAGACCCATTCTCGCCTTGATCAGCCGGTGCGTCCGCCTTGCTGGCCTCAATAGCTCGACGCAATTCCTCGGCTTCACGCTTGGCGTCGAGTTGATGCTGGAATAGCATCTCCTTGCGTCGAGCCTTTTCGTTCTTCTCACGCTCCTTCTCTGCGGCCCGACGCTCTTTCTCCTCCCGGGCCCTTTCCTTTTTCGACTGCACGTCGCTCTTTTTAGCACTCAATATCGGGGCTCGTTCATCGGGAACTGGGGCCAAAGGCGTCTGGGCCTGAGGCAGCGTAGGTAGGGTGTGGTGATGGTGTTGCTGTGATGGTGGCGGTGATGGTAGAGGGGCGTCCGACTCGGCCTGCTCATAGTGAGGCTCGAGCTGTGGTGCCGTTGTCGTCTTGCTGATTGGGAAGAACCGGTGGGGTTCTTCGGAGGGGACATAGCTCGCACTGTGGACTTGCATCAAATTGTTGGGCGACGCCAGGTATCCGTTGGTCTTGCCTAGATCACCAGTCTCTGTGGCAGCGGCCGCGGCGGCGGCCGCCGCTGCACCGGTGGCCGCATCCTCTTGCGCCTGTTCACGCATCACCGCCTCCATCGTTGTTTCCTGATAGAAGAGCACATAGGCACAAGCGAGGCCGGGCTTATCACCGAAAAAGTTGCGAACGTAGTTCTTGTCCACCGGCTCGACCAATTCGTCGTCAAACAGCAACCAACCGCGATCCTCGGTCTTGATGATCGCCACGTAGTGGCCATGATAGGGCCCGCCGCCAATGTGGACGACCACTGCGTAGAGCTCGTACAGCCGATCCGGATCCTCTGCGTCATCGGTCGTGTTGAACAGACGGAGATGGTAAGGGTACACCACTCGGTGGAAGAGCTTCTGTAGTCGCTGTAGATCCTCTGTGTATTTGAAGCGTTTCAGGTGAAGGGCCAAGACCCGCGGAAGACGCTTAATCTTCATCCGCTTCTCGGCCTCCTGCAGACCACCGCAGTTGTCGCAATGGAACTTGTTTCGCTCACAGAGCATCTCTTCGGCCGAGAATTTTCGCAGACAGGCCGTGACGGAAGAGTGCTGCTCCAGGTCGACGGACAGGTCTAAGAACACCTCGTCCCGCTGCGAGACCTTTTCACAAGTCAAGCATTTGGTCTCGGAGGTCAGAGTTCCCTCAAAGAGCTCGTGCACCCATCTCGTGGTGTTGGGGGACTTGGAGCCGCTGCTATTGGTGACCGTCCCGAGCGACTCGGCACTCTCCGATGGCGGCGGGGTAATAGCCTTTTCGCCGAAGGACTGTTTCGTTGCCTCGGCCTCGACATTGGACACCACCTCATTCAGCAGCAGATTCAAAAACTCATGGGCATCCTGATGCATGGCCGTGCGGAACATCTCGTGCTCACGACGCAAGACGTCCAAGAATTGCTGGGGTCGGACAACTCCGATGCGAGACTGGCTGGCCACCAGCGACTCGAAGATGTCCTTGAGCGAAGTGAAAAGGGACTCGGACATGCCATAGCTGTCGGCGTTGCTCTTGGTGTCCATGAGCGGCAGCGTCTGCAGCGCGACCTTTTTCTTGTACTCGGGTGAGTCTTTGTCTTCCGGTTTCTGCGGTTGATTGGGAGCCACGCCCGCTTGGCGTGCCGACGATGCGGATGCCGTAGCCTTCTGCTTGGCTGCCAGCGCCTCGGCTTCTAGATGCGCATTGGGGTTCTGGTAGGTGAAGTTCGAGGCCAAGGCGGCCTCGAGGCGCTCGACCGGGGTGCGCTGCGGGTAATTGATGACGGCCTCCCGAAAGGGAACGGAGTAGTACAGACATTGGAGGATGGAGTTACAGTAGCACGTGTTTCCATACTAGAGAGCCACCACGGGCGCATTCGCCGCGCGACTGTCAGCGGTGATCGGTGATCGGTGAACGGGTAGACGAAGTGATTTCCAAGAACGCAAATCACCCGGAGGACTTACATTCTCCATACCAAAGAACTTGTCACTGCCGTCGCCCCGAAGCGGGCCCATGTCTTGCAGTCGCTTTTCCAGGGGCGAGATCTGCGGCGTTTGTGCATCTTTCTTGGGCGCCGGTGCAGGCGAAGGATTGGTGGGAGCCTACGGGAGTCCATCATCAGTCTCACAGTTCGCAACGAGAGGATTCTGTCTCACAAAACACGTCACCGGGCTGCCTGAGCGATCTCAGACAGGTTGTACCACCTCGGTGGAGGGATCATGCCCGTCGCAAGACCACTAATGCACTTACCCCATTGCCGCGGCGAGGCGAAAAGAGCCCCTTCATGATGAATGTGGTTGAACGGTCGCAGTCGGCAGCATGGAGCGGCACGGTGGACTCCTACTGAAGAAGGCTCCCGTGAAGCATGGACTGAGAAGGGGAACGGTTCGCTTCTGTTCTTCTTCGAGAGACCACGGAGTCGTGTAGACGGGGAGTATGATTGTGTTTGTGTGTGTGTGTGTTTTTCTTCCTTTTGAGCAGGAAGGCAGCCGGGATAGATGAAGGAGAAAGAAGTGAAATGGGACGGAACCAGGGTTGGGGAAGGGTGAGATGGGGGGAGGGGAGGGGAGGAAGAGACAAGAGCAGGAATCAGGAACGTTGAGTTTCGGGGAGACCAGAGACGGGGAGCGCAGTACCGGAGTCCAGCGCGCGTAGGGACTAGGGAGGGCACCACTCGCTTTTTACCAGTGAGTTGGTGCTAGTCTAGTCAGTCTAGTCAGTCTAGTCAGTCTAGTCAGTCTAGTCAGTCTAGTCAGTTAGTCAGTTAGTCAGTGGTCACTGAGTCAGTCGTGAACCCAAGTGAGAGAGGTGCCTCGCTGGTCCGGGGAAGGCCAAGACGGAAGTGTCCAGAAGCCGAGTCTGCGACCACGCAGGAACCACTCAAGACGGCCAGACGAGAGGGGGGAGGCGGGGAAAGAAAGTATCAACAGGTGGAAGTGGGGATGGCGGATTGGGGGGATTGGGGGGTAAAGCAATTCGAAGCGCGATGGAAGACCGAACAGGGAAGAGGGAAAGGTGATGATGTCTCGAGTCCTTTGGATCAAATGGAAGAATCGCGCATGGGGGGAACAGGCCCGCGAACAAGAATTGGGAGGGCGCGAAAGATCCAGCGATGGGTGAACCTGTCCTTTCGTTCAGTGTGGCGCCCGGTGGATTTGGGGGTGGATGGGGTGGATGGGGTGGATGGGGTTAGAGGCCGGAGAGGAATGAGGCAGAGGAGCCGATAACCGATGGAAGAAAGACGCGGCGGATGTACCGTACGGCCGCAGCGGAGCGGAGCATGGATCATGGCTGTACCAGTGTACACGTACGGTATTAACAGTGCGACAGACTTGGGCTACTGACTTATCAATTACAGTAGTAAGTAAATAAGACTCAGTACTGAGTATCCATATGTAAGGCTTTGCTATTCATATAACAGCAGAGCAGTTGGACTCTTAGCCAGAGAATTTGAGCAGTAGGTCCGAGGTCGTTTCCTGGCGGCTAAGGGAGACCTCAACAGGCGCATAACCCAAACTTCCAACAACGGACTTCCAAATAAAAAAAAAAAAAAAAAAGACAGAGATTCAGCTCGAGTCAAGGCTGCACAAGTGCACATTATCTGCTGAGATTTGGGATGTACAATCATACGTTTTTTTCAACGTGGTGTATCTGTGCTGACACGCTACTCCAGAAGACAGTCAACTTGCAACTACGCTCGAAGTGAGACGGTCAGTTCTACATAGTACATAACTTCATGGTACATACTGCAGGTACTGGTAGTCAGCTGAGAAGCTGACTGGAAATGATCAGATGTCCCAGATATGTATATAACTATATGATTATACAGTGTAACAGTACTCGTGAGTCTTCACTCAAAGCATAAGTAGTGATGTAGTGCGATAATGTACTACCTGTGAGGCTGTGGCCACTGACCACAACACTCGATGATCGTTAACCCTTATTAGGCCGACCCAAACACACTTCTCACTTCTCACTTCTCAATGAGTAATATGCTTATGCGAGACCCTACGTTTGGAGAGTGCTGCAAACTGAGAAGAGACTCTCACGGTTCCAAGTGATCTGCACAAGTGTCCCTCTCGCGAGTAGTGCCGCCCGGTGTGCTCGAGCCACGTGGAGGTGGCGAGTAGAGACGACGCAGCCAATCGCCGAATTTCCAGTCTCGCGGGAGTCGATGCAACCTGACTGTTCGAGAAAGAAGCATAACGTGAAATCCCCCGCATCCACATCACATACAGGAGGAGTGCATCTGGTGGCAATCGGGGGATTGGAAAGAGGACAAAGGTCTGGTTTGCCCGTGGTACAGCCGCCTGCGCAGGAGGAGGTCTGAGCCAGGACTGGCCAGTCATCAGTAGCCTGAGGCCTCCCTAGTTCATCCCGTCCACGCCTGTGGTACTTTACTAAGTACTACTGACTAACTAGTTAACTACTAGTTAACTACTCGTTAACTAGTGAATCACTAGTAATTAGTAATTACTAGAAGTCAGCCCATCGCTCCATTCATAGTAGTGTACTATGAAAGTGCCGACTGCTAGTCTGCTACAGTGCTCAACTGCTCGGGCACTGCTCACTGCTCCCTACCTGTACGGAGGAGCTGAAGTGGGGATCATTATGTCATTGTACAGGAATACTAGTTCCGCGACCCCGGTTCGTGCTCGAGTGTCGCGCTCACACTTCCGCGATATACTTACGGATTATGACAGGCAGCCGGGAACAGAGATCAGGCTCCAGAGAGTTTTCCTCCAGACGGGCACTCTACCGGTCTACTCGTACTTGAGCCCTGGCATGGGCAAGAGAATCTCAGATGTACCTGCAACCTGAGGTTGAGGTGTACCTAACCACTGCAAGCACTCCCATATCATCTGAGCACCGACCGTTCCAATCGCTCAGGTCTTCCGGGAGAGAGCCCAGGCAGCGAACGGAACCGATGATCCCTGCACCGTTGTCAATCACCATTGGGCTGAGTTCCACAATTTGGTGCTGCTCCAACCTCCGCCATGTGCACGCTCCCGGCCCCTCGCATGGAAAGTGTTGAACGGCCAATGATCAACAGGGGACTGGGGGCGGGGATCGGGGGTCAGGGCTGCGACTGGGCTCAGTGGGCTGAAATGCTCAAGTCGACCTCCTCCTGAATCGGGGCAAGATCGGCCATTTACTGTTGAAGGAGTCGATGGTGGGCGATTTCAACCGTACGTTGTACCCTTGATTTGTTGAAATACCCGGCACAGCAGCCTTGATTTCACGAATGGGAGTTGAGCTGACTCGGTGTGTGTACTGTGTAAATGTGTAGGATGGATGTAGATTGTAGGCTCGATGCCTTCCACCAGACCGCCGTCGACGTAAACATCATGACTAATCACGCTAGATGCATTGTCGTCTCGAGTCTCGACACCCAAGGCGAAGAAGCGCAGATCAACAAATGTCTACAAAGGATAATAATACTGAGTGGACCTGATAAGGACTTTATTTCGACCCGCTCTCACTGCATGATTATGTACCGAGTCTAGTCTGTCTACTGACCACACTCACTGCGAAGAATTGGTCCATCCACACATCGGAACGCTTGCGGATTGCTGGGTGCACCTCCTACATACGAAGCTCTTGGCCGACTCGAGCATATGGAGGTATTCCCAGGGGCAAATGTTGATGTTCTTGCTAGGAGACATGGCAAGCCTGAAATCCCTTGCTCACTCGTCTGGTGGTCTTGTGCACCAGAGTGTCGGTGGGCAGGTGGCGACTGTTGATAGACATCCGATTCCACGGGGTGCCTTCACCCTTGTCTTGTGGGGGCCGGCGCGTGCGCTTAAATGTGACAAGCGTCTGCGATGGTCATTGCGGAGACAGTACTACTGTCAAGAGTACCAGCCTACCAGCTACGTGGGAAATGGGCATCAAGTCGGTACAGCACCATGAACTTTGTGGTGAGTGAGGTCACTTTCAGGGTCTACCCCGGGCGTGAGCTTGTATTAGTCAACTCGACCGTAACAGTATATCAAGGGGTTCACCACGGAGCAAGCTCTGAGACATCGAGCGCAATAAAAGCACTCCTGGCCCCGAAAATATCTCGATCTGGCTAGTATTCAAGGCCCGGTGAAACTGCCACATAGATCTGTTGCTCGACATACGTAAACCCCTGTCACATTCTCGATGCTCTCAACGAAGCGCTAGCTGAAAACTGCGAAATAACTTCTGAAGCCATACGCACTTTGGGGCAATCCAATAGCCATGAACTTCAAATATGCAGTGCAGCACTTGATTCGCGGAACGGCCACCCAGCGCCCATTTCAGACTTCACACGTCAGTTTCCGGGTCGAAGTAAGCTACAACTCGGATGGCAGTTCATAATCATATCAGTCATCTGATTTGCCAAGGGCCGATATGTCATCTGTCTTCCACGTTGTATGGAGTAACTAGTAACTTGTAAGAAGTAGTAACCAAATAAGTACTAAGTAGAACATACTAGTCAGTACTCAGTAGTAGTACTGACTCAGTAGTACTGAGTTGCCTTTAATCTCGACAGACTCCATGTCTTGTACATCTGAAGCACGTGAGCTCCTCTGGTCGACCGACACCCTTGTCCCGTACCTTGGCACTTGGCGGACTAAAGAGTGAAGACATCTCGTAGACAGAGATCGGAGCACACCGCGTCTCGGCAGTGCCGCTTGATGATCACATTGCAGTGCGATGGCCTGTCTTGAAAGCCTCCACCTTCGGTTCAACTGTCTCGAACGAGACAACTCATGTTGTCGGTGACAAAGACCCTCAAATGACAGCTGTTTATCTGACTCGAGCGGCAATGGACCCTTTTGCTCTGCTAGGATTTCCATATCTCAAGCAGAGAAGGGAAGCTCGATCTGTCTATTATCATACCGTGGGCGATGCACGCGTCGCGCTTCGGAAAAACTCCACGGAAAAACTCAGGATTAGCAAGGCCCCGACAGCACCAGATCTGGCAACCGGATGGTCTCATCCAAAAAAAGGTCACAAAGCCTTATGACGTGCCTTCTTGTCTCTCTACGCTCCACACGACGAGCTCTTGCCAGTTCCTCCAAAGCGGTTTCTTCAATTGGCGTGACTCAGAGCCTGCCAGCCCAACGGCAGCGCGCCGCCGCCTCGAATCAAATTTGTCTCCGAGCCCCCACCATCCCCCACCACTCAATTCTCCCCCGCCGCACTCGTTCCTTCAGCACGATTCCATACCTCGCTGCGCAGATTGACACCATGGGTAAAGACAAGGGACCGACTTTCAACCTCAAGACCCCCAAGGGCACCAAGGACTGGTCCGGGTCCGATGCCATCCTCCGAGACCGCATCTTCACCACCATCAGCAATGTCTTCAAGCGCCACGGCGGTACTGCCCTCGATACACCTGTCTTTGAACTGCGCGAGATTCTGGCTGGCAAATACGGCGAGGACTCGAAGCTCATCTACGACCTGAAGGACCAGGGTGGTGAGATCTGCTCGTTGCGTTACGATCTGACCGTTCCCTTCGCTCGCTGGCTGGCCATGAACCCGGAAGTCCGCAGCATCAAGCGCTATCACATTGCCAAGGTCTATCGCCGAGACCAGCCCGCTGTCAGCAAGGGTCGCATGCGTGAGTTCTACCAATGCGACTTTGATATCGCTGGCGCATTCGATCCCATGGTCCCCGATGCCGAGGTCATGCGCATTGTGAGCGAGGTCTTCGAGGAGCTTGGCTGGAACGGCCGCTATACGATCAAGATCAACCACCGCAAGATCCTTGACGGTGTGTTCCAGGTCTGCGGTGTTCCCGAGGACAAGATTCGCCCGATCTCGAGCGCCGTGGACAAGTTGGACAAGATGCCTTGGGCGGACGTGCGCAAGGAGATGGTGGAACAGAAAGGTCTGGACGGTGCCGTGGCGGATCTCATTGAAACCTATGTCATGAACAAGGGTGGACGGGAGTTGCTGGACAAGCTCCTCCAGGATGAGAAGCTCACTGCCAATGCCTCTGCCAAGGCTGGTCTCGACGATATGGCTCTGTTGATGGACTACCTCGAGGCGTTCAAGGTGCTGGATAAGATTTCATTCGACATGTCTCTGGCCCGTGGACTTGACTACTATACCGGTGTGATCTACGAGGTAGTTACCGAGGGCTCCGCCCCCGCGGTGTCATCTGATGCCGCCGACGCCGAGAAGCTCAAGAAGTCCACCAAGAAGCCCAAGTCCAAAAACGGAGACGACGACGACCGCTCGGATGACCCCACCCTTGGTGTCGGTAGTGTTGCTGCTGGTGGACGTTATGACAATCTTGTTGGCATGTTCCTGCCCAAGGCCCAGATTCCTTGCGTGGGTATCTCATTTGGCGTGGATCGTATTTTCTCCATCACCAAGGCTCGCCTCGAGCGCGAGCAGGATGCCAAGCCCCTGCGCAATAGCGAAGTCGACGTGCTTGTCATGGCCTTTGGCGGCAAGGGATTCACCGGCATGCTCAAGGAGCGTATGGAGATCTGCCAGAAGCTGTGGAGCGCTGGTATTAAGGTAAGCTGACAAACGGGGACCCTCTATTCCATGATAAATCTGTTACTGATCCTCGTCTCGTAGGCCGAATTTTCATACAAGGCCAAGCCCAAGCCTCAGCAGCAATTCAAGGCTGCCGAGGACGGCGGCATTCCCTTCGGTATCATCATTGGTGAAGACGAGCTCGCCGCAGGCAAGGTCAAGGTCAAGGAGATGGGTCTGGACAAGGACCACCCCGAAAAGGAGGGTGTCGAAGTCGACCTGGCCAATCTGATTCCCGAGGTGCAAGCCCGCCTTGCTAAGAAACAGGAAGGTTCCGTAGCGAACTTGACTCAGCAACTGCAGGATGTACAGGTCTGATCGGATTGCATAAAATTCATTTTTGATCTTTTTTTAAAAAGTGGATGATTGGGCGTTTTGATCAGTTTTTGCTTCGGCTGTCTTCGCGGTTTTTTCTCTCTCTTTTTTTCATACTTCCATTACTTTTGGCCGGCCTGATTATCATCTACCCTTGAGCATTTATCAGCCTCTTTTTTTACCACCCATTTTTTTTCGCTGTTTGTTGAAAGTATAGATATGCAAGATGTTCAGCCGTGTTCCACGCGGCCTTCGACCTTGATTGTATACGCAAAGGCCCAGCACAGACTGGACGCTGTACACATATATATCAGTACCTTATGGCATCACCGCAGTCACGACAGTGACGACACTATCGGAAGAAGATTCACCAGAGCTGGTGACTGTCTCAACACTCGCATCTATACTTTGAAGTGAAGGGCTGTCCTAAGATACGACGCTCACCAGACACAGCAACATTTGTTGAAACAAGCGATCAGATAGATGCAGAACCTAGCAGTCAATTGTACATGTACAAATACAAAGAGAGATTCAAGGGTATAACTTAAAGTGACACTCAACTTCACTGCCCCTGTGTCACTCACCCTTGAGCATTCTTCATCAAGAACGACTTCACAAAAGGCAGCTTATCAATCACATCCAACCCGAAGCTTCGAGCCCAGGTCACAGGACCTTGACCGGGAACGTTATACATCTTGTGCAAGAGATCACACGCGCCTCCGATCTTGGAGTTAGTCAAGTATCGCTCAGATGAGTATCGCTCGAGAGTCAGAAGATCGCCGATGTCCATGCCATGAGAGACTGCATATTCGATTGTCTGCGAGAGTGACGCGATGTCTCCAATGCCCAGATTCAAGCCCTGGCCTGCCAAGGGATGGATGACGTGTGCGGCATCGCCGACAAGAGCGACCCGGGGAGAGATGTATTGCGCGGCGTGGCGGAAGCGCAGCGGGAAAGACGCGATGGAACCGGACTGCACGGCGTTGGCCATGGGTGGAACCTGAGCCGGGATCGGGGTGTGTTGCACGCGCCAGGAGAGCTCGTCCTCATGTGAGGTTTGTCCTGACGAGGACGTCTTGACGTCCATCATGAATTTGAGATCCGTCATGGACAGTCTGAAGGCAGCATTGACCATGGCGAGGAAGGCTGAGGAGGGGAGAGATTTGAGGTATGCGGCGTGCTCTGGGGTTGTGGACCAGACAAGCGTGGCATGATTGTTGGGCAGTGGGAGAAGCGCAATAGGTCCGCCAAGCGAAGGTAGGAAGCGCTGGTACGCGGTGCGCAGGTAGGGTGGGAAAGGAGGTGTATCGGGATCCGCAAGGGCAAGGGTCGCCACAACGCCGTGACGATTGTAGTCCCAGCCGTTCGTGGGGATGTCTGCGAAGGAGCGCACAGGACTATTGATGCCATCGGCCCCAATGAGCAATCTAGCTGCGATCTGGGACGAGGCCTGCCCTTCAGAAATAGGTCCGCTGGGCTTGAGCGAGAGAATCGGCCAGGCCGACAGATCTGGGCCATGAGGGCCAAGGTCGACTCCGTTCTCAATTCCAGCCACCGTTGTATTGGAGAAGAGCTTCAGGTTTTCATCACCCGAAGCCGCGATTCTCTTCAAAAGTCCGCGGACGAGATTCGAGTTCTCTGTCATCGTCGCTACTGTGCGCATCTCCTCGAACGCAGGTGTATCCATCGTCCAGTCAAATGATATTCGGGAACCGCTCTCGCCGTCCCAGACCTGCATTTCTTGATAATCCTGCACTCGCTCCTGCTCAATATGCTCCCAGGCACCGATCCTTTCCAGAAAGGCCTTCGAGGACGGCGTCAAGCTGCTGACGCGATTGGAAAACTGATTGGGGTCCATGGTCCATGATCGCGCCTTGTTGAGGTCCTGGCTCTCGATGAGGGCAACCTTGAGCTTTGACGTAACAGGAGAAGCTCCTAGATTCCAGAGATAATTAGTCCCTCATCATGCCTCTATACGACTCTAGCCTCTGAGCATCACTCACGAAGCGCAGCCAAAAGCCCTAGACCCGCCGGGCCACCTCCGACACAGACAACATCGTAGATGTCAGGGGTCTGGCCTGCCCGCGTGGCAAGTCGTCGCCGACCAGCAATCGCACCATGTCTACATGACGGACAGACATAAGTCCGCAACGTGATTTGTGTGAGTAGACGCATGGTGTTGGGGTTGTGATCAATACTTGGAAAACTACAGTTGTATGACCCTCATTTGATCGGGCCCGCTGCACCCAGGCAAACAGTGCAAACTGCCTTGCTCGAGATCAAGCATGGCAATCTAGACCTTCGATCACATGCTCGACGTATACTGCCATAAATGGCTCAAACAGATGATAAGTCCATCTTTTGAGATCGGACCCATGACTACCATGGCATGGAACAAAATTGATCGAACAAAATTGGCATAATTGCTGTTCCACTCAGGAATTCCTTTTCTCTGGTCTTCTGCCCTGGGACATGCGATTCAGTCTAACTGTCAGATGAGTGCTTGTACCAAAATGAGCCGAGACATTTCGTGGAGTCATGTCTGCTGAATAGTAGTGGCTGCGGTCGCCAGTGTGGTGGCTTTCAGACGACAGTCAAATCGATGCGATCAAGCAGTCTGTTGAAGAATGCAGTCTCAGTGGCTCAGCATATTCCATCATGCTTGAGCTGTGTCAATGGCATTTACAATGGCGTATGTCGGAACGCTTCGTCAAGCTACATACCCACAACGACTAGGTCGACGTCAATACTCCAATTCTTCAACACATGCTTATTTTCAAAGGCTGCAGCGATTTAGTATAAAGGTGATTCCCAACGATGCAGAAACTATGGAATTAGCGGGTATGAAGCAGTCAAAAGCAAGCAAGACAAGAAGAGATTGGGTTGGCTCATGAACAGCTAGACTTTCGAAAATCAATGTCGCAGACCATCAGTCAAGTACGCGAAATCTTCACCAAGGCGCAACACAGCGCGCTGTATCAGAATTACCGCGACGCAGCAGCGTGTGTCTCGGCTTCTAGGCTGGTCTCAGCATCACTTTCCATTTCCGCCACAAATCGCTCCCATGTAGTCAGAACACCTTGATAGAAGTTGATGTGCGCATCAGCAAGAGCTCCCAAGGAGTCGCGAAATTCAACAGCTTTGATTCGCTCAAAGTCAGCGACTTCACGAACGACCTCCTCGTCAAACATCTCTGAGGTGGTCTTGGCTGACTCGACCTCACGGGTGAGTTCATCGATTCGTAGTTCAAGTTTTCGCACACGCTCGCGGCGGGACTGCTCGTGGTCGACGCCGCGCATGTCTTCCATTTTTGAACGAATGAACGAAGCAGGAGACGAGGTCAGAGGATTTGAGGCATAGTAGGCGCTTGGATTGTTTGCAAGGGAATCTCGCTCCGTTACGGCCTTGTTCCGGTAGTCAACGAGGGCTTCGAAGTCAAGCTGCTTCTGCTCTCTCGTCTTCAATAACGCCTTAACGGAGAGTATATAGGCCTCCATGTCACGCAAGGATCCCAGGTAATTCTGGTCTGTGTGGTCTTTGAGATCATGCAGTCCTCGTGCGGTTTCCTCGACGGATGCTGCAAACACCTGTAATGGCATCTCAACCGCAGGTTCAAGAGGAACCAGCTTGCGAAACTGGGTCGCAAGGTCTGCGTAATCGGTTTCCAGATCAGACTCGCGACGTGCCACTCGGGCTATTGTCTTCTCTACATGCGATAGATCCTCGTCGAGTTTGTCTGCTTTCTCCTTGACTTCAATGAATCGCTGATCGGGCTTGTGTACCTTGGTGAATGCGTTGACAAAGCTGTCCGTCAAGTTATCGAAGATACCAGACCCAGAGTTGTCAGTGGAGGAAGCTGTCGAGCCCCGAGAAGAGTGCAGTCGAATATGTGCATTCCAGTCAGGAGATTCCAAGAAAATGATCAAGAGAGGAGCCCGGCGAAGGACGGGGTGAAGGGTCAAACGCTTCAAGAATCGGTGAAGCGACCATGATCGCCTCGTGGTGAATTCTGGCCCGAATCGATCGCCTCGCACATACTCCATCTTGTGCTTATCGGGGAGGGGCGGGACCGCGCATGCTGGGTACTCGCGATAGAGCGTCTTGTACAGGAAATAGAAATCGGTAAATCTGCGGCGGACGCTGAATTCTGACTTCTGAAATGACTTGAAATCGGTCTAGATTATTCAGAAGTACAGATTAGCTATGACGAATTGAATGAACGGGCACCTCGCCGGCCCGAAAGAGCTTCGGTAGGGACCAGGCAGCCATGGTAGCAACTTGGCTCTCAGGAGCAAGACACCCAAAGAGTGGACGACAAGGGAGCACTGACGTGGGTCGTGACAAGGTAGGAAATATAGGCATCTTTCGTGCCATCATTTTCTTTCAGAGGGGAGTCGACGCGACATTCGAGCACACCGTCGCCGATGCCAGCCAAATCCACAGCATCAGCAAGTGGACCTGCTTGGGGCTCCTCGTGGGCGGAGCTCATTCTGCGCTTGCCATTGGTATCGTGCTCGACATCGCGAGGCTCCGCCGCGTCTGTACCCGCTGTGGTCGGTCGTGAGGCATCACTGGCAGTGTCGTTGCGCCAGGAAACATTGTCGAAGTCGTCGTGTTGATCCATGGCGGGGAACAATGCTCGTACCCAGCCGTGGTGTCCCGGCGACGATGTACCTCGTGTGGAGTATTGACTTTACTCGACAAAAAGCGGATTTGATGGCCACTAAGATGAAGTGTGTGACAGGCGAGAATCGCAGACGAGCTCGAAATTCCGATACAGGTGAAAGCTACCTAGGTAGGTAGACGTTGGCAGTTCCTGTAGGACTGAGTCCAATGATCCCCCGAGCTTCCAAAAGGCGGAGTCCGTTCCCCCAGCGGCACCTTCGTCATCGCCTTGCGATCGTTTTGGGATCGCCGGAAGCCGCTTACTGACTAAGCTTACCTTTGCCCAACTTTCAGGAACCCTCAACTGGAGTAACTATGGAGGCGACCTTCTATGATCAATTTTATTATTCATGTACGATCAGGTACCATGTGTTGACCTCAGACAAGTTTCGGTTCAGTCAAAATTGTGGAGGCTTATACGCAGGGTCTATGTGTCCATATCTGCTGCAGTTGTAGAAGGCGAGACAGCGGTACCAATCTATTGCATGTACGTGTTATGGTAACTCAACAAAGGTTACCTAACAAGAGCAGTTCTGAATGAAATTTCTATATGCCCTCGCCACAGTATGTGCAGGCGGGAAGACACCACGCTTATCATGGAGCATGCCAGATGAATGGAGGCAGACATAGGTTACAGAAGGAGAAGACCCGAGTGTGACCATGTCGATCATCGTTTCTCGGACAGCAAGCGATCTTGGGGTGAACTAGGTCGGTCATGCCCAGCCGGCTGATTCAAGTGATCACGATATGGTCCCTCATCGTCATCGCTAAATATTTCTTCGTCGCTCTCACCCGCAAAGGCATTGTAGAGCTCTCCCCCTCTGCGCTGACTCCGGCCACCACTGGCGGCCATCGGATGCATCTCATCTTCATCTTCGATCATTTCAAACTCGTAGTCATCATTCATGTTGGTGCGACGACGTTTCATGCGCTGAAGCTGGAAGTATACACCCAATCCAATGAAGAAGATAATGATCATAGCTAGAGAGGCGTATATCCAGATCTGCGTGCGCTTGGAGGCTCCAAATGAAGGCAAGTACGTAGAAAGGTGGTCGGAGGTCGACGTCGGTGTGGCCGAAGCTGTGGCTTTGCTGGTCGCCGTAGGCGACTGTTGCTCGACGGGAAGTGTGGTTGTAGATGACTCCGCGGGTTTCGGCTTGACCGGGCGATCTGGTTGGTGGTCGGGATTCGAAGGTAGGTCGGTCTTTGTTGGAGCAGTGTTGACAGTAGTAGTTGCGACGTCGGCCTCCTCGTATGGATGGTCATCGTCGGTCTCCTCCGGCAAGGGATGGAGTGGTTGAGTGGCGCCATCTATAGCCTCACCCCATAGATTGAATCTCCAATCGATGAACTGGCCCGTGTGCTCATTGACGTTGGTGTCTTTCACGATCACGGTCCATTCTCCTACGGGTGATTCACCCCTTGTCTCATGTTAGCGGAAAGGGGACACGGATATAGAAGAGAAACGATCAGATCGAACATACCAGTGCGCGACGGACATAAAAGTCCAGTCAACATATCCTTGCGGTTCTTCATCACTTTCCCGGGTGACGCTGAGGTGACTGACAATTCCCTTTGGACTCCGCAGCTCAACACTAAGATCGCCGCGTCTTGTGTGATTGATGTTCATCGTCACTGTCACATGCTCGAGGTTGGCGAAATTGGCTCCCTTCAAGTGATCTTCTGTGACAGTGTAACGGCTGAGAAGGCCCTGAGCCCCTTGAGGAATCTCATGGTGGACACGTAGCCACGGAGAATTGAACCAGGCTTGGGGCTTGACCAACTCCCACTGCTTGGCATTTTGAACCAATGAGTACGCATCGATCTTGCCGAAACCCCAGTCGTGACTGAATTTCTTCCCCGACGGCAGATCGACCCAGCTTCCGTCATCCTCGTTCACTGGCACAGCCGACTCGACCATCAGATATTGAACGTCACGCCAGGTAAGTTCCGGGCGGATGCTGAGTGCAAGTGCAATCGTACCGGCAGCCAGTGGGGCAGCCGCCGATGTGCCACCGTGGTAGTTGAAGCAATTGTCCACACCCACATCGGTTGTGTGAATGCTGTCTCCAGAGCCGCTACTGTATGCGACCACTAGCTGCGCGGAGCAGGACTCGGAATAACTTGGGTGTTTGCCCTCACGATCGATAGCTCCCACGGTGACACTGTAGATACTGTTGGTGTAGCCATCGAAATTGCAGTTGTCGCCATAGATGGCACCATTACCCGCAGCAAACACAAATACCGATCCCTTTCCACCTCGTCCCTGTTGCACACCGTGGACCATGGCCCGCTTGATAAGGAGGCCCGGCGCCTCCATAGTCTGGCCGTTATCGGGAGGGCCCCAGGAGCAGGAATATATATGGTTGTCCTGGAATGCATGATTGATAGCCGCCGCTTCGTCCGAGTCATCGATTGGTTTAGACAAGATTCGGATGCCTGATATCTTGCTGTCGTAGGCAACACCCAGCCCGCAAACATCATTCCTTGCGGCTGCGATTTCACCTGAGCACCGTGTGCCATGCTTATCATCTGACAAACGCGGCCTTGGTTCAGGGCCGTTGTCATTGTAATCCCACGAGCCCTTGGCGAAATAGTTTGGCTTCAGGTCGTTGCTGTACATGTCCAAGCCATCGTCCACCATAGCCGTGACCACGCCCTGGCCTGTGATTCCTTCAAGCCACACCCCGGTGAGGTTGAGATCATGTCCCGGTTGGGCGGCGTTGAACAGATGCCATTGATCCTTAAAGGTTGGATCTGTAATTTGCAACGCCTCCATGAGCTTGTTCTGCTCCGCCAGCTTTTTCACGTCCGCCTTGGCACGGGCAAATTGCTTTGCAGGCCCTTTTTGAGGCGCTGGTGGCGCCCTCTTGAACAGCTTTTGTCTCGGCGGATCAAGCTTCTGTGACCACAGTATACCCTCCAACGGATCCCCGCTTCGGGGCCCAGCCCCTTCCCCCGACCGGCGGCGAAGTTTCCTGGCTTGTTTCAAACTGACGAGCACCGCATCAGCGTCGGCACTCTGCTCTCGTGGTAGGGAGAATGTGTGATGGCCCGTAAGCTCCCCGATCTGGCCTTCATGGCGAGCGCCAAGTGCTTGGGCGACGGTGGACGGAGGGGCGGTCTCATCAAGATGGAGGGCAAAATAGTCGCGGGTTGCGTAGTCGCGAGGATACAGAGCTGCAGATGCTGCGCCGATCAAGCTGACGGCGACAGCAATGCTGTTGGCGACACGCATGGCTGGGGAGGAAACGGTCCGGCCGAAGGGCGGTTAACGGCAAGCAATGCGGACTTGCAGCCAAGGTATAGAATCATGAGCGCACTTCGTCACTGCTGCCATGCACCAGACCAAGAAGACAATTCCTTGCCAATGCAGGTAGGAGAAGGTGGAAAAGTTGACAATCGCCGGGGCCGTCCTCCACAAAAAAGGAGCTGTGGCGACTGGCGACAGGACGATGGATGAAAGAGAATAGCTAATAGGAGGTGGATCAACGTCGGGACCAACGTAACAACGCGGGTCTGTGGAGGCCAGAGTCTTTAAGCTCTGGGGCTGTCCATTTGGCGATCAACTCCCACTTGCAACACCAGAAGGAAAAAAGTTCAGAGGTCCGAAGAAAGTACGTGCTTTGGTCTCTACGAGTGTACAGTCACTACAGTGTACATTTGTACACTACTGTATACATGATGTTTTTCCTAGTGTGGTGTCCCTCCATATTATTTGAGTTTGAACGTTTCTTTCATTGAAAGACCACGGTTGCTTCTGTGTTTCATCAAAGATCCGCAGAGGTCCAAGTGCCATGCTTGGCTAAAGGAGGCGATGGACCCATCGACGTCCACACTTTCGGCAGCTGGCGTCCGACCTCTGGTACTTCCATGGGACTACTGCTTCAATCATCGAGTCAGGGGGTATAGTACTACTACTGCTGCTTGAGCTTCTCACTGAACTTTCATACTACTGTTTAGGTACGGTACTCGCTAGTCGCTAGTAAATTGGGTCAACTGTGGTTCTACCGTTCTACTAATTCCGGGCCGCACCTTCCCTTAGTATATGAGGGTGGGATGCCGACCGTCAACCGGCAACATGTTGAGGGTGTCATTTTAAAGGACTACAATAATTTTCGATAACAGAAGTCTGGTGAGGTGATTAATGGATTTCAATGTTAGTCAATGTGACTTGAGGAATAAGAATACCTATCGACCACGAAGCATATATGTTTTGTAGTTAGTAGTGGTAGTGTACAAATGACCCTGTCCGGTTTCAAATGGAAAGACTGCTACACGCCCGTCTGTTGGAACAGACGACGAAATATGTGGATAGTGCATAGTCATACTACCTCCTGATCATACCTAAAGCTCCCAAGAGCTCATAATCTTTATACCTGCGACCTATACCTATGGATGCATCGATGGTAAATACACTTGACCTAACAGTAGGGACTTAGGCAGATAGGTATCGTCAGGTGCCCATTCTACGGTAGATTCGCATCTAACTTCGGCTCACCAGCCCTAGGTAACGGGCTCTAGCACATATATTACTTTGATAAAAGCATCCCCACTTCGCCTAGAATCACTTGGTTCGAGGAAATATAAAATACACTATCTCAAGGTCTGGTAGTCTAGGTGGATTGCGTAAGTGGTTCACGGAACAAGAGTCGAGTCCGCATCAATTCACCGTAGCATTCAAAATATCCGGAGTCCTGCATCGCTTAGCGTGATCGAATAGTATTCCTCACATAGTAGGACGGGAATGATTGCATCGATGTTTGGGTACTATGTGGCACTGTCAAGTTCATACTGTAGTGGTGATTCTAGGTACATAACTTACTAGGTAAGGTATATATGCGTAGGTTTGTTTTTGGAGTCAAACCTGGCTGAGCAAAACCATAAGACATACTACTGTACGCTCAATGGAAGTGCAGTGGGTATATGCAGGGAGATGGTCTCGACCCGAAGTGAAGGGGTTTCCATATATTCAATGATATGTAATTACGCATAAGTTAGATGGTCCTTCACGTACTGCATCAGACATCTCTTATATGAATACAGCATAATTCACAAAAGAACAAGAAGGCTACTCAAGTAGGTTAGTAACATCAAGGTACCGAACAAGGCTGCAGATATTGCAAACTTTCAACTATGTTAATCAGTACTTATGGAGGAGCAGCAACGCAGTACAACTACCTGCATCTTGCAGGCTTACACAAAATATCAGATGATAATGTTGATTTAACAAGACGAAAGTCAAAGTGAGGAGATGATAGAGACTGTCAGGGTAAAAATACTACTGCCGCCGTTAATACACAATTACACACATCATCGATCCCCACTCAATAACCGCAATAAGAGGTAAGGATTTAGACTCGAGAATTACCGTATTTGAACAACCCCGTTGGTAGTGGGAAGTTGGAACCGTTTTTAAACAATAATGCTCAACTACGCCAGAACTTACGTCCTAGAACCCCCAGCCTGTAAGTTTCTTGAAATGCAGGGGACAACCAAGAAATCCTCGGCCGTCAGTGCATCCCAGTTCGAAGCCACTTTATCCACGAGCGAGGGTCGATTGGCTCCTGCGTATGCCTTGCCCCGCGAGAGGGCTGGGGCCGCCAGCTACCAGCCACCGGGATAATCGCAATGTATAGAACAGAGAGGGACGCGGAGATCCATTCTTCATCGCACCTGACTCCCGATCCTCTGCACTTGATCACTCCATTGTCGCATTGTTGGCTCTGCGACTTCAACTGTGTCTGTGTCTATCACCTGGCGCCGAGCATCCAACCCACCATTGAGCGAACACTGACCGACGTCGTGCAAATCGTCCTACGCTCGGCCTGGTCACCGCCGCCACCCCGCCCGAAGAGGTGCCTGACGATCGGACACGACTCGAGCTGACTCGGGCGAAAAAGTGAATGCATTGTGCATCTCTTACAGTAATCGATTTGCTTCTCTCAAGAGTCGGTTACGGCCCGACAAAGCGCCGCGGGGATCGCAGTCTTGTCCGCCTGCACCAAACTGGGCGATTTGCAGTGAAGACAGCATCCCACCAGGAATTCAGTTCAGTCTGATGACGCGGGCTTGACTTATCCCAGACAAGAGGTAATCTCATCAAGATGGCTGCACCTGCAACCCGTGCTTCTCCAGATCTCGCTCATGGAGATCCTCGTCTTGAAGCTACCCAAATGGGCCGTCGAGCTTCCAGCGTTCGCGGACAGCCCGTCGTGATGCCGTTCTCGAGTGCTGAAGAGGGAGTGGCCCCGACTCGATCATTCTCGGGCAGGACAGCTGCCAAGCTGAACTACACCACACGGAAGCCAGCACCAGCGAACACCACTCAAGATGTCGACGAGGAATCAAATACTCCTCGCGGTCCTCCTCCTGCGGACTATTTCCGTGGCGCTCATGTCGCCACATCAGAGAATGAGAATCTGCAGTCACACATGGCACATTCCATTGCTGTGAGTCCTTCGTCTCTTCCAAGTCGATCAAATACAATACGATCGACCAGTGGCATGAGCACCAAGAAGGATTGGGCTTCAGACCGATCACCCCTGCAGAAGCTCGAAGTTACCCTGTCTGGAATCAGCAAGGAGGAGAAGCGTGCCAAAGTACAAGAGGCAGAACGGCGATTAAGAGAACGCCTTGCCCGACAAAAGCTGGAAAAGGAGCAGGCTGCTGCCACGGCTCATGGTAGAAACGGCGGCGAAGCGCACATCAATCACAACTCGCAGTCGCCGAATTCTTCGCACCAAATGTCAACGACAGGAGTTGACCATCATCCGGTGGCCTCCGCCAAAAACGCCCAGATCGCCGTACCTAAGACTCGTCAACAGCTCACCACTGTGCGCAATGGTGGAGCGGGTCAGGCAAATGGCTCATATCCAGAGAATCGCACCACGAGGGGCGATCAGCATATAGGAGTTAATAGCAGCGGACCCCTGCCAACCAAGGCGACCGGTCCAATGAGAGCTAATTCTGGAAGAGACCACAGGGGATGGGTTGGCGCACCTACACACTCTCGCTCAGTGTCACAGCAAGAATATGCAGGCCCATCACCGCTGGCACCAAATATGGTGCCTCACGCAGAGAGAAGAGAATCCCCTTCGACGCTCAAGTCACTGTCTGGTGCCTCACTCCCACGATCAAAACCACGACAGACTGTCTCCTTCGATGTACCACCGCCCACTCCACCACCAATCTTCGAATGGCGAAATGGGCCTGTGGCTCGCCTCGCAGCTGCCGATTTCGACTATCAAAATCTGGACATTGATCGAAGTAGAGCTTGGTGGGAAGGTGGCATTTCAACCGATCGGCGCAAAAGCAGGGTCTTACCAGAAGGTTATCAAACTGCAGCCCAGAAAGTCACAGGTAAGAGCTACCATATCTTCACATTCTATAACTGAAGGCAGCTCTTAACATTTGTATGAAACAGGAGTGACTGCACACAAAACCTTCCAGCCCAGATTGTTTATGCGATGCGGACCCCTCCTCCGATACACTGGCACAAAGAGAGTATTTGTCGACGAAGCCAATGAGCCCGTGGAGAAAGAGTTCTGGCGGGGCTCAGTGCTGATTGTCACTAAAGATTCACGCTCCTCTTATGAGAGTCCGCCTACATTGAGAATGTTTTCACAACCTATGGACCTTCTGCCTCCCCCGCCTGCATTCGTCAGTGGAGAAGATGGAGCGCTGGCTCCCGAATACGTCGATCCCACAGCGGGTCTCATGAAAGTTGGTCGCGACGGTCGTCCACTGTATGCTAAGCCAGTCGAACATCTTGAGGAAGAGGTGGATTTGTCTGCAGTCGAAAACGACGATGGACTTTACGAGCTATCACCAAGCATAGTCGATTACAGCGCGGACGGCGCCAAACAATCGGCTCCAGCCAACAGAATCCATCCGATTGATGGCGAGACTGCCGGTTTGTATCGAGACATTCCGGGAGTCCGTCTTTACGCGGATGCAGCTCGAGACGTGACATTCTGGAGATTCAGCATGGAGGTTGAACTTGGGACGACACAGCAGCGCATTGCTTATCGTATCAATCAAGGACCAGCGTTGGGATTCTGGGTCCCTGCTAAAGATCAGCCGATGAACATCATGTTCCACAGTGGCAACGGCTTCAGCCCGAATGTTGATTCTGACCCTCTATGCGGACCCGATCCGCTCTGGAGAGACGTTCTGAACGAGCATCAGACCCAGCCCTTCCATGTGATGATTGGGGGTGGCGACCAGATTTACAACGACAAGGTGATCACGGATCTTCCGTCTTTCCAGGAATGGATCAAGGTCAAGAATGCCGCGGACCGATATGGTGCACCCATGACACCGCAATTCCGGGCAGAACTCGAGAAGTTTTATCTCGAAAGCTATGCTTCGTGGTTTTCGCAGGGTCTGTTCTCCTTGGCCAATTCTCAGATTCCAATGGTCAACATCTGGAATGACCACGAAATTTTTGAAGGCTTTGGATCGTACAATGACGAGTTTATGCAAAGCGCGGTCGTATCTGGGATAGGCAAGATTGGCCACAAATACTACCTTTTATTCCAGCATCACAGCGTAAGAGACGAGACAGAGATTGACGAGCCTAGCTGGCTCCTCGGCGCTGAACCAGGCCCCTACATTGAGGAGAGAAGCCGCAATCTCTTCATGTCGATGGGTAGGGACGTGATGTTTTTGGGTCTGGATTGCCGAACCGAGCGACAGGTGAGTGATCAGAGAAGCCCGTATTGCGTGGACATATTGGACTCGTCTGCTAACTGAACTATGCAGAACGATGAGGTTATCAGCCCCCAGACCAATGAGTTGTTATGGGACAGGTGTCATCGAGAAATCGTGAAAGGAAGAACAAAACATTTGATAATCCTGTCAAGTGTACCGATTGCCTACCCTCGTGTGGTACGTAGCCCACTCGACCCATCTACTCACTCGAAGCTGACTCGAGCGCCTCCAAAGGCCATGCTTAAGAACTACATGAATAGTCGGAAGTCGATTGGTAAGGCCGGCATGATCGGAGGCCTCATCAATCGCTCCGGCGGGAATGTGGAGGTGTTTGATGACCATTGGGCCGGAAAGCATCTCAAGGCCGAACGGACTTGGCTGGTCGAGGACTTGCAAGATCTGGCCGCTGAGAAATCCGTTCGTGTCACAATCCTGAGGTAAGTGCACTGCATCCTGATGTGACAACTTGTCTCTCTGTAGCAGCGTGCTGACCTGCATGTAGCGGTGATGTGAACATGGCCGCGATCGGGCAATTCTACTCGAACCCTAAATTGGACATCCCGAAAGACCGAGACTACCGCTATATGCCTAATGTGATCTCATCTGCCATTGCCAATGTGCCCGAAACCGAGATCATCTCGGACCTGCTCAATAAGCGAAACACGATCCACCACATGGACTCTAATACTGATGAAGATGTCATCCCCATCTTCGAGCACGACGTCGACGGCAAGCCGCGAAACAACAAACGTCTTCTCCCTCGACGTAACTGGTGCTCCATTCGAGAGTACCGCCCGGGCACCACACCACTCGGTACGCCCGAGTCCGAACAGGAAATGACACCCGAGCCTCGCCCTGGCAAGCTCCAACGCACATTATCACTGGGACGAGGAGACAGGGGCCCCGGCAATGGTAAACCTGGTGGTCTGTTCCGGCGATTGTCCTCTCGTGGCGGACCACCCACGCGTACCATGAGTTTCGGACGTGCCGCAGGGGCCTCGGGCCGACGAGCCAGCGTCGATGCGCATGTTCCCCGGCCAAATGAGACTGCCAACAGTTACTTCCCTGGCGATCCTGCTGAGACCTCTCGACCTGGTCCGTTCCATCGACGACCCACCAGCCTCAGTCTCAAAGGCACTAGAAAGCGAGCCAAAAAGCAGGGCGATGACGGGGCTGGAGCCCTTGTCAATCTGGAGGGAGGTCTGGCCATCACATTGAATCTTGAGATAAGCCCGCACGACCCAGCTGGTATTACCGTACCCTACAAGCTTCTTGTTCCGGCGCTCTACTACGAGGGTACTGAGTACGACCCCGCGCCCACCCCTGTGGTCAAGGGATGGCGCAAGTGGCTCCGTATGCCACGACGGAAAAACGAGAAGCAAAACGACGAGGATGCTGAATATGATGACGAAGATGCCGATGATTACGAAGACCATGACACAGTTACTAATACCCGCGCGAACGCTGCTGCCACATACCCTCACTACGACGAATACCCCGAAAGCGATGAGGAAGTCCATGAACCCGTTCCACGCCGAGTGGACCATCCGTCCGCGGGCGGCCCAGCCGGCGGATCAGACGAAGACGACGAAGAAGATGAGTATGAAGACGATTATCCTCGTCCTCGCAAGAAGTGGTTTGGAGTGATTTGATTTATGCATGTACACTAAGTGTTTTTGGTTGAGTTTTGTGAGCGTCCGTGCAAGTATATTGTTACCTTATCATTTCCGTGTTTTTTTTTTCAGTAGTCTCACAGCCAGCTCTTGAGATACTCGACTAACGTCAGATGAAAGAGTGTGAGGGCTTCGAGGCTTATAATACGAAAGCGATGCTTTCATTCCTCAATGTCCACTATTGTCTTCAATGTCTCGTAGTGCAACTACCCACCTCGAACAAGGGAATATGGGTGCATTCAACCCCACGACCTATCACCCCAGCAGCCGCTTCCTCTCTCTTCTCACGCCGCCCACCTTGATATGTGACGAAGGACCACACACAACGAGAGTGCGAAGAGTCGTATGGGATGGACGTTGAAGGTTGGCACGGTTGAGAGGACGTGCTAAGACTATAGATCCACCGCCCAATCGCGACTCCCCAGGAAACACGGGCGGTGAGTCAGATGGCGTGATTTCGCGGGGCTATCCCCGACGATAAGCGATAAGCATTGTGGCATTTGTCCAAGGGTGCAAGACGGCGATGCATATGCGGCCGTCTATTGAGGTACTACTCTGGTACTGCTGGTGGTGCAAGTCTCAGGCTGTGGTTTCCGGGACTCGAAAGAGTCGAAATGTAATGAGTGGCGGTGCACGGCTCGATTGTGGCGTTTGCCAACCTGATCTCTTCACAGCATCTCTTGAGAGCCAAGTGACCAAAGCAATGCATTTCCGGTGATTGTGGTCAGGTCTCGGCACCCTGGCTGACCGAGTATCTACTGTCTACTGCATGTCGTACAGTAGTAGTCGTGCTGCATCTGAATGTTAGATATCTCGGCGCCTGCAGCCTAAGGAGAGACGGAATAGCCCGAGAGTCGCCCAGGCCACTTGGGTCGAGGCCAAATCACGTGCCGCTGCTTAGAAAGCGAGGGTCTCGATGCAGGCACCTGAATAATGCGATGCCGTATCGACCTGGAATGCTAGAAATGTAATAACCAAACACCATTCGTAATAATACGAGCTTCAGCCTTTCTTGTGTCACTAAAGTGATAGAACATCCACCTCAATCAGCGCTTGGGTCAACTGTCCTGTAATGATATGTGTTTGTAAGCTAACAGACTTACAGTACTGATACATTGAAAAAGAAGGCCGCCGAAGTGTCCTACACCTAATCGATTAGAATACCTTCTCGTCATCCCAGAGACCTTCAGCACGCAAGACCCCACTAGAGCCCGTTTCTTTGGCCTTCCAAGACCCAGATCCGAATTGAGAAATTTCCCCTTGAGACCTACAAATATTGATCTCTGATCTTCTTCTCTTTCAACAATCTTCACTAGCAATACCTTCAAGCTGTTTTCCTCCACTTTTCGCCGTTTCCCCGCCGCCCTCCGATCCTTCGGATTCACTGCTGCCGCAGCCTCATCGACTCTGCACCAACAGTCTCCTCCCTCTGCCTCGGTACTTAAGCAACCTTTAACGACGCCCACGCGCGTCAACTCTACTACAACCGCCAGAATGGTGCACACCAAAGTTGTTAGTAAGTGAGATCCCTTTGCACAGACGACATCCTTCTCGTGAGATTATGATATCGAAGAATAGTTGTTGATCGGTGGTATTTTTTTCGCCTCTCGCGCAGTTATCGGCTCCGGCCCCGGCGCTCACACAGCCGCCATCTATCTCTCTCGCGCCGAACTTGAGCCCGTCCTCTACGAGGGCATGCTCGCCAACGGCACCGCTGCCGGTGGTCAATTGACTACCACCACCGATGTCGAGAACTTCCCCGGATTCCCCGACGGTGTCGGCGGCGCCGAGTTGATGGACAAGATGCGCGCTCAGTCAGAGCGTTTTGGAACCAAGATCATCACCGAGACCATTTCCAAGTTGGATCTGTCTCAGCGACCCTTCAAGATGTGGACCGAATGGAACGACGGCCCGGACAGCGAGCCCGCTCACACTGCCGACGCCGTGATCATTGCTACTGGTGCGAACGCCCGTCGCTTGAACTTGCCCGGCGAGGAGAAGTACTGGCAAAACGGTATCAGTGCCTGTGCTGTCTGCGACGGTGCTGTGCCCATTTTCCGCAATAAGCCTCTGTATGTGATCGGTGGTGGTGATTCTGCCGCTGAGGAGGCCATGTTCCTTGCCAAGTACGGCAGCCACGTTACCGTCTTGGTTCGTCGTGATAAGCTGCGTGCCTCCAAGGTCATGGCCGATCGTCTGCTCAAGCACCCCAAGTGCACAGTTCGCTTCAACTCGGTTGCTACAGAGGTTCTGGGTGAGGACAAACCCAACGGTCTCATGACTCACTTGCGCGTGAAGAGCACCGTCGACGATAAGGAGGAGGTTGTTGAGGCCAATGGTCTCTTCTACGCCGTTGGTCACGACCCCGCAAATGCCTTGGTCAAGGGCCAACTCAAGCTTGATGAGGATGGTTATATTGTCACCCAGCCCGGTACTAGCTTCACCAGCGTCGAGGGTGTCTTTGCTTGCGGTGACGTCCAGGACAAGCGCTACCGCCAGGCTATCACCAGTGCTGGTAAGTACTTCTTTCGCCCACTTCTAGTCGAGTTTGTCAGTAAAAACGTGCAAGGAACCCCAACTGACATTCCCATTCTCAAGGCTCTGGCTGCGTCGCTGCTCTCGAAGCCGAGAAGTACCTCGCCGACCTTGAAGTTTCTCATAACGAGACCAACGGCACCAAGGCCACACCCGTCCTTTAAAACCTTTTCGCCGCACAATCATTTCTTCCAATCAAGTATATATATAGATACTCATCCACGACCTCTCCCCACCCCCCCCCCCCCCCCCCCTTCTATCTCTTTGACCTCCCGGCTCCGTCGAGCTCGATTATTGTGATTACTTTCAGCACACAGCGTTCGGGATATGCCAGCTAGCATACCAACTTTTAGATTTTGCTGCATTAGATTTCCTCTCTATCAATCCAAACACATTTAAACGATCCATGTTCACTTCCGCCTTCCTGCTGGCTTGTTTACAGCCGTCTCAGATGAAGGGGCCATTGATCTGTTTGCTACATGGAGTGTCGATGCCCGGGAGCAATCGAGTCCCTAGGTTGCTACGCTCAACATGGTTATTTGTCCGTGTACGTATCCAAGGACATGACATGCGTCTACTGTGTACTATGTAGACACCGGAAAAATGGATGCGCCTTGCATCTACCTAAAGGTTTAGATAGTCGGGTGTTCTGCGTGGGCGCAGTGCGTTGTTACCAAAGTACTTGTCCCCTGACTGCGCGCCTGTCTTGCGCTTCAAGCCCCTTATCGTATCTTTGGGAATGCAGAGCGCCCTTGATCTGGTATCACTTGGAACCTGAAGCTTTAACTACTCTAAGATGAAAGTAAGAGTAACTAGAGCTAGGGTAATGCTCAAGGTCAAGTTTCAGGTGACCTGACCCCCCAAAGCCGCGGAATCCGAGGAGGCCTGCCAAGTCTCAATGGGATTTTCCGCACACCACTTGGCCTTCACCTCCAGTGAGCGTTGGTTCCACTCCGCGGCCACGCTCTTGAATCGTTCTAAGGCGTTCTCGTTCGCCTTCCGATTGGCCCCGACTTGCTCAATGTATGGCTGTCTCTGCTCTTGAGGAGCATTGCGCCACATGAGGCCGAGCGCGGCACGGACGTCGTCTCGAGACGCCTTCGCACTGGGGTTTCCTGACGCTACGCGTCGCGCGTCGTCACATTGCTCCTTGCATTTGACCCAAAAGTCCTTCTGGTAGAGCAGGAACGGGTTTCGGGCCGATTTGGTCGGGGGCGTTGGAGCGGGACCCAACTCGGCGTAGATGGCCGTCCACATGGCCTGCTCGTAGGCCTTCAGACGGTTTTTGTCGGCACCCTTGGGAAGGCTCAGAGGAGTCGCTGAGACCGAGCGCTTCGACGTGTCTGACTCCGCGCCCACTGTTGGCGGTGTGGCCCCGTTGATGATAGGCTTGTCAGGCACAAGGGGCAGGGGAATCTGGATGGGACCAAGGGTAGCCTCGATGATCTCCGCAGCCGCTCGCAAGCCGGATAGGTAGGCTCCGTGAACGGTTGCAGGGTGGGTTCCGCAGGTAGCCTCGCCGGCAAAGTGCAGGTTGCCAACTGGGCGGGCCATGGTTTCATAATCATCAGGATGGGCGCCTGCAGCAACAAAGGAATAGCTGCCCCTGGTAAATGGATCGGACGCCCACCTGGTGACGACTGTCTCGAGCGGATCAGGAACGGTGGCGTGTTTGAAGACGTTTCTTAGCTGTGTTGTCACTTCTGTGACAATCTCAGCATCTGTGCTTTGCTCGGCCTGATAGGCTGCATCGCCTGCCATAAGCCCGACCAAAACCGGCAACCCTGTTGTTCTGATACAGTTCCAGAACAGGTAGAAACGGCCCCGATTGTTCGCATAATCCTCTTGTTTCATGCTCTCGAGGTTTTCTGGCGTGCGGAGGAGCCCGAAAAAGTCTCGCTCGACGTCCCAGAACGGCTCATCGAAGACAAGCACGACTTTGTTCAAAAGACCGAATCCCAGACGGTCAACCGCACTTTGCTTCCATTCCGGAAGAGGTGGGTCGAACTCAACAGTTCGATGTTGGAGCGTACCAAGTGAGCCCGTGTACACTACGTGATCTCCCACGAACCTCTCACCGTCGGCACAGTAGACAGTTGCTTTGCGATTATTCTGGTCGTTGGTGCCATACGAGATTTTGGTGACTGTCCTGTTCGTTCGAACTTCCAGCTTGTCAGGCACAGAATACAACCCATAGGGCAATTGATTGTAGCCTCCAACGACCATAGAGTGTAGACCCTCGAACTCGTTACCGGAGTCCTGGTCTGCCAGGGTCAAACTGAGCTTCTCGGGGTTCGCAGCAAAGGAATACTCCAGGTTTGCAAAGTGCCAGTTGAGAAGGCGCATATCCTTGGGGGTGAGAGGAAGCATCTCCCTGTATTGATTGACCCCTTCGTCCATAACGGCACCGAGATTCTGCGCATCACTCGCATGAGCGACTTGATCTAGCTCGAGGCTATCGCTTGTGACAAAGCCAGAGTTTAGCCTCCAACCTGCTGTCTGAGCTGTCAGAGCAGCGGGCGCATCGTCCGCCTCACTTTCAATTCCTCGTTCTGAAAGTGATGTCGATACTTGACCACCAGTGTTGTGACCAACCCCACGGCGTCGACGGATGTGTTTCGTGGGAACTAGCAGATCTGTAGTTCCTGCTGCTCTGGCTTCCTCCCATTGCCTGACCGTGATACCATCATCGACGGTTGTTTCCCTGCCGCTGTTGATCATATCGCGGTCGCCCTCAGCCGTTTGTCTCACAAGCTTCTCATAACGATAACCGAAGGCACGCTCTGAAATGTCCTGGTACAGCTTACTGACCATCTCATCCTGGTTGTTGGGCACAGGTGATCCGTCGTGGTCGTAAATCGTGGAAAGGTCATGGAGGAAGTGATGGTGAAGTGCTAACTGGCCACGGATGATCTGATCGAGAGGATTACCGCGATCAAAGCCGATAATGATTTGAGCACCCATTTCTGCCTTGGGGCGGAGGCCCGTTGGTAGCGAATCAGTCTGAAGACTGCGAAGTGGATGAGAGTGAACGCGGCCACCAATTCTTGGTCGCCCTTCAATAACGACAACCCTGGGCTCAGTGTCGGAGTCACGATAGTGTTTGAAAAGGCCTTGAAGTTGCCTCGCGCACCCCAAACCTCCTACACCGGCGCCCACGACGAGGATGACGGGGCCGTCCTTTCGACGTCCGCGACGAGGAGGTACGACTGGAATAGGGATCTCCACGCAGCCAAAGTTGATATACCCGTGTCGCGCTAGCCAGTCATACGCAAATGTAGCCAGGTTCATCCATCGGTAGTCTTTCGCGCAACCAAGCGCCTCTTCGCGGCTGACGCTGACCATTGGATTGCGTGTCCAAAGGCGGAGTATGCCATTTCGAATGTTCAGATACACGGTCACGTGCATATGGCAGAGAGAGTCTTGGAGAAGCTCTTGTTCGTTCTCATGCAGTGCATATGGATCAAGTCGAGATGCATAAGCCGCAGCCACGCACTGCTGGCCGTACACTGCCGGCGTCAGCTTAGACGGTATGGATGACCGCGGCCGGCATTTCGGCAGGTCCAACTTCTTGCTTTCGACGTCACTGAGATTGGAGGTCGTTGGAGGGGTAGGGATAGAGGTGGCGGGTGTAGAGGGGGGTGTGGACGATTTTCCGGGCTCAAGAGATGAGGAAACCGAGGTCGACGTGGCTGAGGTGTGTAATGATCGTGAGACAGCCCGTGACAGTATTCCAGAAGAGTCGCCGTTGCTTTGCGAACCTTCGAAGACATGGTCTTGTAGCGAATTTTTGGCTCTGCCATGCTGTCTCGGTAGGCCAGCTCGTGGAATAGACGAGGAAAGTGCAATGGAGTCGATAGCACCGGTCTCTGTCCGAAGCCTCTTAAGCGGCGGTTCAGTAATTTCTGATTTTACGGATGTCATAATCTCGGGCCGATCATTCCTTGACGGTACAACTGGCGCATTTTGATGAAGAAAGGGATGTTGGCTGGGATGAATTCCAGCAAAGGGAGAAGGCACCATGGAGGGTTGAAGAGAACCCATTGTCCAGAAAGGAACTGCCTGCGGTTCTCTTACTCGCGGTGCTCTCGATATTCGAATCCTGGTTTGTTGAAGAAGAATACTTGAGGATGGGTTGAAAGTACAAGAAGTACAAGGATGTAAACAGGCAACGAGAGCCCTCGTTCAGGTAGCAGGGGTCCTCGTTCAGATGTGCATGGATTGTCCTCGACTTTCCAGGCTGCTCCTTCACAACATCACAGGCACCGATTATCAACTTCGACCCAAGGCTACGCCGAGTGTAGGTGACATTGCGATCGAAGACGAGATTGTGCTGAAGATTTCTACAAAGCAAAAGTTAGAAGGGTGTAGGCATTCGCTTGCAAGTGAGGACGAAAGATGATGCATATAGAGCTGGGGCTCGTTGCTTTTTCTGCTGCGTGGCGATGTAGTCCGATGATGGCTCAAGCAAAGGTAGTAAAGGCGGGGCCTCGAGGAGCCACCACGTACGATAGTTTAGTCATGGAACGGTCCCCAGTTCCCAAGTCTGACGTCCGTCAATTAGATACTGATTTGGCGTCAATCAGAATATGAGCGTGACGGACAATCGCCGATTAGCAGGAGAAGTGGTGAAATTTGAAGTCCAGTTGAAGGACGTTGTGCCCTGATCCCTCGGAACAGAGCGTATTTTTCAGTCCGCCCAGTGATCGAATACGACATGGCCTTCGATGGCTCGGGTGTCTTCCGGGAAGGGTTATTCTTACTGATCTCATGGTCATTTACACTGGCGTCCAACATTGATTATGTGCATCTAAGTCTGCTGTTTTAAGTCAAGTTGAAAGTGCCATGATAACAAAAAAAAGACCATCAGACGCCTGGCTCTGGACTATCGTCGCAGATATTGAAGCCAAAAAGCAGAAGACGCCATCAGGATCTATCACAAGCACTGACCCCGACTCTTTCTCTATCAAACTGGGAGCAACACCCCCTCCTCGAGTCTCACGAAGGAACATGGCTGTGAAGCCCATACGCCTCATGTCCCTCATCAGAATAGTCGTCCGAGTCGTTGTCTGTGAAGTTGTCATGGTAGGACCTCCGGCCCTGCTTTTGACTCCGCGACCCTGAGGGCTTGTTGTCACTGTCGTCGTCCAAATGCAGGTCAACATTGTCATCCAATGAATCGTGAAGTCCGATGCGTGCCTCCTCGTCTTCGGCCAGAATCTTCGCAGCCGAGTTCACATCGTCGTCGTCGGAGAATCTGCGATGCGGCCGGTGAGCCGCATGGTCCGCCTGGAGGGATTGACGAATTTCCTCCCGTTCCTGAGCCTCGAGTTCTTTGGCACGAGCCAACGTTCTAAGTCGCCAAGGCCGAATGGTCAGCTTCGATTCGTCCAAATGCTTGCGCTGATTGTCGCGGCATGCCAAAAACAATTCATCATTGAACAGAATTTACTCACCGGTTGTAGATATAGTAGCCCGTGAAGACTCCAATACAGATAGTTACAATAATGCTGATGATGTTGATGGCCTTGGACCCTGCGCTCATTTGCTCACTCTTTTCGGACAGCAACCTCAAGCGGCTTCCGATGAATGCAGGGACTAAGAGCTTGGGACTAATGATCGCCGTCGCCAACCCATACATCAATGGCTGCACAGTCGGCAATGTCGAGACGGCTCCGTTGCAGAATGAATACGGCAGTGGACAGAGACGGATCATGCACAGCAGTTTCAAGCCGTCATATTTCAGGGTCAAGGCCAGTGCCGCAAAGCGCTTGTCCCGTTCCATCATGCGGTTTACAAACTTGGAGAGAACAGTGCGTGACACGTAAAATGAGGCGGTTGATCCGACCACAGTAGCAGTGCTGTAGATGAGCCATCTGCGGTCAACATATAAGATTAGCGGGGACCGTAGCAATGGACAGATAGCTCGGGCACACCGTCGCGACACAGCCGCGGCTCTCATTTGGACTCACCCTTTCCACCAGCCATAGATGAATCCTGCCACAGTTCCCAAAGTCGACCAGCCGACTAATGGCGGGAAAGAGATGAAAAAGATGCCAATCCAGATCACAAATGCGACCAGCCAGGAGTTTTGCCATTGCTCCGCAACTGGGCCAAGCCAAATGAACAATTTGCCCGTCAAGAGCATAATCCCTACCCCCAAAGCCAGAGCGGCAAATGAAGCCACATATAGTCCGATCTTCTGCAGGAGCGTTAACTCATTGTATCGTTCAGTGGCTAGGCGCCATAGCATCTTCCCCCTCTCCATCATTCGGTCGCGGAATCCGAGTGCCGGTTCCCCCGACCAACGTGCAGATGAGTCGCGTCTCCCCGATCGACTCCAGATCGGTTGTTCATCCTCTTCCTCGTCATGGGAGTCCATCAGCGGTTCGGGCGGCGAGTCGGTGAGTGACAACGCCCGTGCCGTGGATTCGTAATCCGCAGGCATGACGCATAAAAGTTGTGAATGGTCACAGGCAGGACGATCAGACGCGGAGCGGACACCTCAAAGAGCGATCGAGCACGGCGCGCGGGAGCCGGGACAGGAAGGGAACCCAGAAAAAGACGGGAGGTGACTCTTCAGGGGCCCTGACAATTGAACGAGGACTTGACAAACGACCGAAGCGTCAGTGCATCGTCAACCTAGTGGCAGGCTTTGAATGCGGAGGAGATGTGTCAGCATGGGACGGACAGGCGGCTGTAGAGAAGATCCATTTGCCCTGAAAAGTTGGCTTCCAGGGTCGGTGTTGGGGCTGAGTCGGGACCTCGGTCGGCCACCGTACTTAGAATGAGATCAAGTCTCAAAAAATAGGCTCAAAGCGTCAACCAAGCGGATCCATTGGAGGTCCTGATGTTTTCAAAGGCCCATGCAAGGCTAGTGCCATGTTTAGCTGGAGCTTGTCGAAGATTCAAGTGTTTCTGTGCTGCTCACTGAGCTACAGCCTCGACGATTGTCATTCAAAGTTGTATTTCAGCAAGGAAGTGGAAAAAGTCATATCGAGTACCTATTTAGTTAGGTACCTAGGTACTCACTAGGTACTTACTAGTTACCACTTTGGCACCCACTACTCAACAGCACCTGCAGTACATCTTAGGTTCTGGTATAGTAGTAGTGTACTAGTGGTAGGTTGCCAGCAATTCCACGATGCCGAGCTCTGGGAATCTCAAGGCAGCAGTCACAGCCCGGGGTACACGGGGTACTGGTAAGTAGTAGTACTTCATCCGTCAATGGAAGGGATCAAAGTCAAATGGCTGGACGCTGAAGGCTGGAGCGCACGTCTGTCATCTAGTATGAGCGCAGTTGAAACTTGGCACTGGTAGGGGTACAAATACCAGCATTGCTAAGTGAGCTGTGCTGTGGTGGATTTGGAGCTGATCCATACTGACTGAAGATCACAAGCATGGATGTCCTCCGCGCTCAACAATTTGCTCTTACCTGGCTCATCCATGATCGAATGTGGGACTCATCTAAAGAGTTACAGATCATGTCAATCAACATATTTTGCCTGCAGCTCGATTCGTGTCATGTAGTGACTACCTAATACCTATAGTACCTCAAGTACCTTGGGTGGTAATACCACTGGAGTACTGGACAGTTAGTAACTCACGGTCTAACTAGCGTGGTGGAACGTACGTTGACCTAAAGTGATGGTCCTGGAGGTTCTCCGCCTTTGGCTTCCTTATCCCCCACCTCGTTTGTTGGTATCGGGTCACTCCTCGTCCAATGCGTGATTCTCCTCCTCCGATCTAAACTTTGGTATGATCTATATATGTCGCAAATTGATCTGGCCCTGGGCGCATCGATGTGATACTGTCTGATAAGTTCACAAGCAATATCTGGGGCTTCTGGGGAAATTCTACCCCCTTTACCGGCTCCGCTCAGCTACAGCGCCCCTCAACCCTGCTTTAATCAAGATCATGGATCACTGCATTTGACATCGAAGTCTTTCAGTCCCTGCGTTGGCTCATCCCTCCTGGAACTTCGACCGTCTGTATCCCGTGTTGAGTCAGATACAGTTCTTGATCTTATTCCGTCTTCGCATCCTAGCAGCGCTCTATCACCTCCCTTTCCGGCCTTGGTGAGCTGTGACTGCCACTAGCCCAGCAGCCCGCAGCGTCGCATCGGCCACCCCGCCCGACATGGTTTCTGAAGAGCTGCTGGAAAAGTCCTTGGAGATTCTCCAGGACCAGACACTTGATGAAGAGGAGCAGGCTGAGAAAGTCGAAGACTTCTTGCGCGCCAACTCTTCACTCGCTGGTGCGTCCCTGGAGAATGCGGTTCTGGACATCTTATGGCGGCATCGCAATCGCACTCTCCCCGACTCCTCGCCTCCCCCGGCTCGCCATACTGTGATCCGTAGATCTTCGCCAGCACCATGGCAAATGTCTCGTGCGGTCACTCCGCTATCACCACAACCGACTCTGGGCACCTTGGGAACTAGTCCTGGAAGTACCTCGTGGGTGCAGAACTCGCGTGGGGCATTCTCTCGAGCTCCGCTTTCCTCGACCGTCTCTCCGTTTACCTCTCCGCGACCCTCACCCCGCCTTGCGCTCGCGCAACCGATCCCACACTCTCCAAACCTCAACGCTTATGAATTTTCCGACCAGGGCCACGGGTCGAATTTCTATGATGACTTGGGCAGCGACAGCAACGTCGATTGGCTGGTCGGAGACGATGCCAACAGCACAACATCGTCTGCGGGAGGCCTCAGCGTTCCGGGGTCCCTGAGCGCGACAGCGGCGGAGTTTGTGCCGGACATGAGTCCTCACGATATCTTACGCACCGTCCTGGGTGACAAGAAGACAAATGACGAGATCGAGAGTGCCTTGGAAGCAAACAGCTATGACCTGGGCGCTACCATCGCCGCTCTCTCACAAAATGCCGAGGCGCACACCGTGATGAAGCAAACCGAGGACGCTCGTGTTTTGGTTGGCAAGTCTATGGCCATGGAACAAGCTCGTCCCATCACACCTTCGGCCAATGGCCGTAGCCCCGTGGTCTGCAAATACTGGCTATCGACAGGGCAGTGTCTGAGAGCCGACTGTCGCTTCAGCCATGATTTGACCAGCCACGTCTGCAAGTAGGTTTTCCCTTTCCCAGGTCACTGGGCCATCAGTTTCAGTGCATAGGAACCACCTGGAATTTCTAACCATGATTCTTCTAGGTATTGGGTGATGGGTAACTGTTTAGCCGGTGATGGGTGTCCCTTCTCCCATGATCCATCAGCCCTGATATCAAATCTCAGCGTGTCAAGCAATAGCCGTCCCGTCTCACCAGCGCTGAGTACTCTTTTCCAGGTCGAGGGCACTGATGCCTTTCCGCCACTTTCGGCTGCTGCTATGGATGAGCAATGGACAAATCAGTACACGAGTCGATACCCTGGTCTTGGCTCTCCAGCGAAAACGATACCTCCGGGTCTCCATCCGGGCATGGGAAGACGAAACGGTAGCTTGACCCATCTTGGGCGTCCAAATTCCCGACCGGCCAGTCGTCATCAAAATCGACCGGATCTGAACCCGTCTGGTCTGTCAGTTGATGACCCAGATGCGTTCCCAACACTCGCTGCAGTTAGCTCCAAGAATGCTGGGAAGAAGCATCATGGCAAACGGGCTGCACATCATGCAGGCAAGGAGAATATACCTTCTTCGCTTGCCGACGTAGTTCGCATGTCGCCGTCGCCAGCGTCCAACAAAGGAAAAAACTCGCCAAAAAGCATCAAAGAGACCAAGGGTCGTGAGAATAGTGCTGCAGCCATGGCAATCCCTGCGCCACAGCATATTCCTTGGTTAGAGACCGGGGCGAGAGCCAATCAGCAGTACATCAAATATCGAACTGAAGCCATTCGCCACGGCACCGTTCGCAACAAGTTTCTTCAAAGGTATGCGGGGACAAAATGTCTTCTTTCAATGCATTTGACTCTATGAGAGGCTAACTGTCTGACTTTCCGATCCAGCGCCGCTCAAGCTTGGAATCGAAATGACGCGCGAGCTGCCAAAGCACTTTCGCTTAGGGGCCAGGCTGAGAACGATGCTATGCGTCGCTGCCATCGGGAAGCTGCACGCCAGCTTTATGAGGAACGTAATCAGCATTTACACCAGGCTGGCCTGGATGAGGCGTCGGAAGAGCTCTATGTTGATTTACATGGCCTCCATCCCGAGGAAGCAATTGAGTATTTGGAGAAGATCCTGCTCAAGCATGCACAAGAAGGGATTCCAGTAGTGTATGCCATTACGGGTACTGGTCACCACTCCAAAAATGGCAAAGATAAGATTGGCAAGGCTATCAAAGCCTGGCTCAATGAGTGGCGCTACCTCTTCCGTGAATTCAGCGTACCTGGCGAGCGTGGGGGCTATGTCGGTGGCATTCTCGGGATCGATCCCTCCAGCTACGACAAATCTCTTGCCAAGGCTCTGGCAGAGAGTGACAACCTGTCGGCGGATGGAGGTCAGTCGGCCCTCACCATGGGCAAAATTCAATTGCTCAGACGTGAGGATCTCGAAATGAAGAAGTCATGAGTTCTCTCGGGCGTAATCTGAGAATACATCCAACGGCACGATACCCATCGCATTTGCACGATCAGCCTCTCTTCTTACACAGCCTTTTAAAGATCAACGAAGATATGTTCTGTCACTAACTCGTATATGAGCCAATGGTAGTGATCTTGAGATTTAAATACACAATAGATTTGATATTATTCTAAAACGTTTCTGGTGTTTCTTGCCTTTCTGATCAGCCAAATCTCCGCATGTGTCCAGAGGTGATTGATTGGTTAGTATTCCATAGCTAGTTCCTTCCTTGTTCTGGAGAAATATCCTGTCACGCGGAATGATAGCATAGGCGCAATTCAGTCGCAATAGTCATCAGTTCTTCAGTCTTTCATTCATGCCTGCCCAATTCTGTGATCGGCCTGGTTCGAGGTTGTGATAAGCATGAATTGTCCTTAAGTTCGTAACAGTTTGGTCCGAAGCTAATAATAATAAGGCTTATCTTAACTCCGTTCCATAATGCCATGCCCGACCGCCTTGTAACCAGCTCTCGACGACCGCGAATGGTACGCAGACAACATTCCATTGTAAGTGACTCTCTGGAAAGAGTAACATCCACCTTCTTTTCACAACTGCTCAAACTGTAGACGCGGAAGCTTCATCACATCATCATGGAGCAAGCGAATACAGGCGACCTTAACTGGCGACTCAGCGCGCATCCAATAACACTACTTGTCTTCTTAGGGATCCGCATCGGTACGTGCAGTATGACTGACGGCGCGAGAAGGAGATGCGACCATCTGAGCCACTGAAACTCAATTGACGTTTGTCTCATATAGGTGCCTTGCTGATGTATCTCTTTGGTGTTTTGTTCATTCGTAACTTGTGAGAGATCCAGTGCAATCAAACCAGTCCCTCAAAGTCACAGCTCGTTTTTTGCTAACCACGTGGCCCAGTGTGCTGGTCTTCATCCTGACCCTGCTGCTCTTGTCAGCAGACTTTTACTATCTCAAAAACATTGCCGGACGTCGGCTCGTTGGTCTGCGATGGTGGAATGAAGTCGATTCGGCTTCTGGCGACTCGCATATGGTGTTTGAATCATCCGACCCAAATGTTCGCACCATTAGCGCCACGGACAAGCGGTTCTTCTGGCTGAGTCTGTATCTGACACCGGCCCTTTGGGTTGGACTGGCGATTCTTGCTATTGTTCGGTTGGTCGGCGTGATTTGGTTGAGTCTTGTTGGTAAGCGACTGCAACAACTCCAAAGTGCAATGAAAGAGATTTCGATGCAAATGATACATGATCCAAGTACTGACCTCTTGTTCAGGAATCGCATTGATCCTGACAATAACCAACACCGTCGCATTCTCGCGGTGTGACAAGTTCAGTCAGGCCTCGACATTTGCCAATCGGGCTTTGGGTGGACGGATGGTGAACAATCTCGCAGGTAGTCTGCTGGGCAGACTCTTCCGCTAAAGTCCACAACATTGACTGGAGACTTGGAGGTATCGGCAGCGACACTAGCTGTGCCAATGACATGGGACTTACATATCCGCTATGTCTCGTGAATGCAGCCTCCTGTATCTTAAGTCGCCAGATCATACCACGTTATGAACACGTGTGTCTTTAATGCGATTGTTTTCAAACCCCTCGTTCCTGATCGTTGTTGTGCTATCCGTCAAAAGAGCAACTTCGTTCTTGCTCCTCGTCCGGAGAGATATAAAAACCAGGTCATTTCCGCAGGCTTCCGGGATCCTCATCACCGATTACCCTCACGGTAGCCGTCAAAGGAGCGGCCCTATTCTTGCTCCCATTTCGGTGGGACAGGTTCCGGAATCTTCTTCCCTAGTCGCTGCAATAGCCGTCGAAGAAGCATGTCTGTTGTTACTTACCCCTAGGGGGGATATAAACGACCGACCATTTACCCATGCTCCCGGATTCTTCATTTCTGGTCGCCGTGGTAGCCGCCGGAGAAGCAGATCTGTTGTTGCTCGCCCCCGGGAGGGATATAAACGATAGATCGTTTGCCTGTGCTTCCGGATCATTCTTTACTGGTCGGCGCGGTAGCCGTCGAAGAAGCAGATCTGTTGTTACTCGCCCCCAGGAGGGATCTAAATGAAAGCTCGTTTGCCCATGCTTCCGGAGTCTTCATCACTGATTGTCGCGAAAGCCGTCGAAGACGCGGGTCTATGCTAGCTTGTCCTCCGGGGATATAAAAGGCAGGCTTTACTCCCATTAATCTCTAATTCTTCTTTTCTCAAACTTCTCCCCCTTTCATTCCCATTCACTTCAAGCATCCCTACACTCATTCATACTTATTCCACACATATTCATCTGAACAGTGAGTATCCCTTCAAGCCTAGTGACTCTGAGCACAGTAGCAGCTGTCGGACTTGCTGCATACTTGGAGGTCCTGGTCCCGTCGAGGCTGCGCATGTCTTCTTTCAACTGTGGCGCGACACCTCCGTAGCACCTCACTCCGCAAGATATCAAGTAACGTGTACCGGATGTTGATACTGTTGGCTACGTACTGACATACTGAATTTGAGAGAGCAGACACCGCGTCGAAATGGCTACCCCTATCGATTTGTCCCAAGAGAATCGTCAGAATCGTCAGAATCAGGCTCAATCATCTGACGACGATCATCAAAAGAATGAGGCATCTATCGGTCCCTATCAAACCACTTCATCTCGTCCCTCCGAGGGCTGCCAGTCGTCAATCGGAGATGGCTGCGCAACTGCTACTCTGGGCTCCGATGAGCCAAAGAAGGAAGTCTTCGTTGAAACCTATCCTAGTCAGTTTTCATTGCAGCCAATGTTCAGCGGCTTGGCGTTAGCTCTTTGCCATTCTCTAGAAAGCTCACGCATCTCCTTTGATCCAGGATTTCATTACAATTGGCAGACTGACACTACAAGTGTGGGCGACTCCACGGACGAGCTGGATCCAGTTTTTGCAATGTAAGTCCTGGTACTGCGTCTAGGTAGAAGGTCCATGTCACGGAATGACTAACAAAATGCAGCTATCGTGAATATATTTTCGGTTCAGAAGATTCAGAAGGTGAACCACGCAAGTGCTCCAACTGTGGAAACACTGGGTATACAACTCCTAGCGATAATGATAATGATCTGGAGCTGACAGGATTAACATAGACACCGCAAGCCACGATGCCCCCTGCCACCCAAGCATTCGGACTGCTCCCGGTGCGGCGGAGAAGGGTTAGTTTCAAAAGCGCAACAAATATGCCTAGGTACATGGCTACTGACTAACGCCGTATTACAGACATAACAAGATTCATTGCACTCGTCCACGTCTCTTCCAAGGAAACTGCAATTATTGTGGAGCATATGGCCATGTCGCCGCTCGATGCCCTATCAAGAGACGGAACTTCTGCAAAAATTGCCAGACAGAAGGTTGGAGGTCCCTGTCTGCATCGTGCTTCTAGGTACTGAAGCTTGAACTGAACACTAACTATCGCGTTTCTTCGTCGTAGGACACCACGCCATCTTTTGTTTGGAGGATCGGGTGCTGGACCGCACCAACATCCCGGATCACACTCCAGAGGAAGCCTGGCAGCGAGTCAAAGAGTCGAGTCATGGCGATGGCCATGATTTCCGTGAGGCAAGTAGAACAGACATGCTATCCGCGAGGTCCTTTCTGACATTTCTCGAAAATCAAAGGCTCTTGAAGCCTACTCGAAGGCTGTACCTGATGCGACTTTCGTTGACATTGAGAAGCGACTGCGTGCCGAAAATTGCGGTCTCTTCCTTATTGCTCAGGTATGACTTTATGCACCTGTGCTGGTTGCAATGACTGACTTGGGAATCTTAACTTGTAATCAGACATTCCGCACATCTGAAGACTCCACTCTCATTGATCTGCAGGGTCGAGTGAACTGTACTTTCCGCGTCGGATGGTTCAAGTCCCCGGAGCAAGATCGGCCTTTCCTGAAGGGTATGTGGCCGAGGAACGCCGAGCACAATTTGTTCCGCTTGGGGGAGGCCGGGTTCGAGTGCCCCAGTTACCGCCGAGAATGCGATCACTGCGGTGGTGAGTTACTTTGTGCTGTAGCATGATTATACTTCCCAGCTTACACTTCAGCAGCAATAGGCCATGTGAGCGAGGATTGCAAGTTCGTCACAGGGGAGCATGATCTCCAGGAGATCAAGTGCCCTAACTGTGGCTTGGCTGGCCACCGGCTTCGTGATTGCAAGTCGGCTCGTGTTTGCCAGGAATGCGGGTAAGCTTACTCTATTCCTACAACGCAAGAAGCAAAGACTGACCATTCTATAGAGCGAAAGGACACACCACTATCGCCTGTCCCAAGCGCGGCAACCAGGCTCGTGGCCAGCAGACGGGGGGCGAGGAGACCGGGGGCGTGGAGAGTAAGGAGAAGAAGGAGAAGGAGGAGAGCAAGGACGAGGGTCCCAAGGTAGGGATTCTTATCGACTTAGACTCCGACGACGAGGGCCAGGAGAAAAAGAAGGTTGGCACCGCCGATGGCTGGTAGATAGCAGGCGGATGCTATTGAGTTTAGTTAGCTTTCCACGACGAAGTCGTGATTCACGAGGATTACAGCACAGGTCCTTGATGTGGCCTTAATTTCCGGGCGTGCCTCGTCGCCGCGATTCATGCAATGATCTATTGCAAGTTTCTTCTTTCTCGTAGCCTGATACCCAAGGCCTGGCGTCATTTTGCGCTCACGTCATTCGTCCTCTCGCTTATTTTTGATACTCTCGCCGATTATCTAACATCAAGGACATGAACGAGTAATTGGAATGGATGTGAGGCTGATTGGGGTTGATATTGGGGGATTCCTGTGTATTCCGACCTTCTATTCAGATCTGAGCTTGCTCATCTTCGGATCGAACATCACTTTCCATTCCATGCCCGGTCATTCTACAAATGAATCTTCAAAGATAAGTTATAGTAAGAGTAAGAACTTGGAGGCGACGAGAACTTTGTCGCCAGCCCCGTACAAACAAGTTGAAGAAAGAGCCCTGGTTTCCTACTTAGAAGGGTAAATCTATGGACAATATATTAATTCTAGAAAGGGAGCTTCGAGGAAGTAAAGAAAGCTCGTAGAAGGAAGATCACTAGCGTTACTTTTAGCCTACCAGCGCTTCTTGAGTATAACTAAGGTGGTAACTAGAGTATTTCGGCTTTGGGAATAGAGACGAAGGTGCGGCCGAGGGTGTCTGTCATAGCTGCTTTCTTCCAACGTAAAAGGGCTGCTAAGGTAAGGAGGAGCTTCTCCAATTTCATACACTAACCGTGACGTCTGCCATCACCCACACCACCAATGGCCACATGCATGACTCCATGTAAAGAAAAGCCTTTCGTTTTGACCCTAGGAACGTGGGCGGTCGTGGCTTGGAGATGTCCGTGAGCGACTAGGGTGAGCGGCTAGGACAGATCGGTGATGCGCCACTCGCTTCTGGAGATGGGGGATGCGACTTTATTAGAACTGCACGTCACGTCTCAGCGCAAGTCCATGCGCAGCGGTGAAAAGAGAGGATTCTCAATATACTCCAAACCTTTTGTACTACCGCTGCACAGCATGGACCTTCGTTTAAAGTTGAGATAAGGTGCTGGAGTCAGCCCCACTGACTGTGAACCGTTTGGGAGAGATGGACATCGCCTCGCGATCGTCATCGACATTACCTTTTCTCGATGCTCACATGTGCTACCACGCCCAATCAATGTTGAGGTCTGGCTATCTGACTTGTCGATTTTTAAGAATGGGGGCTGCGACTCTCTGGAGACCTGCCGTCTGGAATATCATGCGTTCACGAGTCGAGGCAAAGGTGCAAACGAGACCCACGTATCCCGACCCAACTTGTGATGTCATTCCCAAGAACGCAGTCCCCGCGCTTGCGACATGACCTCCAACCAGAAACCCCATTTCCATCCGGAGAAATCGTCATTGACTTCGACCGTGTCAAGGTTGGCACTAGGGGGGAGGAAGTATTTTCCGCTGGTCGTATAAAATATATAGAAGAGATCCTCGGAAAGCCGGTAGCTGTGCAAGTTGGCACACGATCAATTCTTGACACTACAATACTACATAATTACATTTGGTTCACATTTGGCCATGCTGTCAGAAAGAGCACCATCTTCCTATTCGGAGGTGCGTATCACTCTGTCGTAGCCTCGGTTGTGGCATCTGTTCCGATGGTGCTAATCAGGGATTGTTCTCCTACCCAGCCTTTATCCGAAGAAGAAAAGGCTCACTTTAGTCAATACGAGAGACTTGCGCCCGAGGGCGATGGTTCCAAGGTGATCACCTCTTCCACTTGCAAACTGATGCTCTTGCATGATCCTCCTGCGAGGTCGATTTTGAAACTAACTCCCATCATCTAGAAACGAGCTACACACCACACTCAAAGTCTGTCTCGAGATCATTCGTATGGCTCAGTCGGCGTCGGCCCGCACAAAAGTTTCAATGACACATTGTCGTCTCAAGGTATAGTACTAGACAAACGGTTTTGCGTGGGTTTAATTGAGATTCCAGCCATATTTAACCACTAAACAGAATCATTAAGAGGGAATGACTCGCAGTCATTCACCAGGACCCATTAAAGCGGTCTCTGGTGCACAAATTTGACGCCATCGAAAACCGAGAGCGTGGCAAGTGTTGATCTTCCACGACCTCAGACCCCCAGCATGTTAGAAGTTTGCGTTCCATTACGGACAGGATGTTATGCCCTTACGACATTATGACTTTGATGTGTGTACATGATGAGATACACAGAATAGATTGATTCAGCACATCGCTGGTGTGCACTTTGTACTTGCCCTTGCGCATCGTTGAGATCCAGCCTATCTATACAGGGAAGTGGATGCCAAAAGTACAGCGAGGTCGTGAGTAGTCTCATTCTCTGCTCGCCGAATGGATTCTACCGAGGCATGAGTGATCAGTACAGTATACAAGTGTCGCGGTAGGTTCCTGACGTTAACTGTGCTATGGTGAGGAAGCTCACCTCACCGGGTTCGCTCTTACGGTAGTTCCTGACTTTTAGGAATAAAGGTCTCAATCCACATGGGCGCGAGCTATTTCCAGGATCAAATGGCCCTGCATGATGGGAAAATGAGATGTTTCCATATTTCTCCGAGGCTTGTAGTGCACGACAAGAAGTCATCATTAAGTTAGGGAGACATTTTCATGCAACAAAGTTCCCATGGCTTCCATACCACCGTCTGGGTCCCGTCTCGTCTCTTCGATTGTTGCAGGATAAACTCTGACAAGCGTATGAGTCACGGTCATTGAGCAAAATAAGGTTATCTTCGGTGAGACGAAAGTGGATACGAGACACCTGGTATGTAGATAGGCTGGTTTAGTTTTTCGTTATACTATTTACTATTTAGTATGTATTCAGAGCTCTGAAAGTACACAGTAGTTCAAGGTTCCAGAACCAAACGTCGCAGAACTTACCTTTGTTTACTTCCTACGGCCAGCAGGAATCATCACTTCCCTTTTTGCTTCCAAGCTGATATAGATGGCGGGCTCCAGTCTGAAGAGATGCAGTGACCGATTCTCTGTGAGTGTTGGGGAAGAAGACCGCTTCTAGCCGTCTATCGAACGAACGGAAATGGCGAGAGAGAAAAAAGTGAAGTCTCCACCTGCACTGCGGAGCGTTCGGTGACTCAACGGCGCCCAACAGCTTGACCTTCGTGTTTTAGATTTGCTATTGGTAGTCTAGATATTGGATCATGAGAATTTCTGGGACATATACCGCGAGATTCATTATAGCCCAGAGCTTGTGAAGACGATAATGATATCATGGAAATGCGCTTCATGATCACATCATCATGCGCCGTACGGAGAGGTCAGACCTTGGTTTCCGAGTGTATATGCATTCAACATATGAAGACTAGACTACATCACTACATCACTACAGACCACAGAAAGCAATGCCTCAATCTTGCTCGAGAATGTTGATAATAGTCAGGTTTTCAACGTAACTATTCGGCTTCATAGCTCAGTAGTGACCAGAGCTCTGCTGGATGAAAATGGTTGAAAAACGTTTAAACTTTCCCAATCGAAGTTCTGCCCGTTTCGACGGTGGCCCTGCCAAGACCGACCCCCCATCATCTTCACCTTATCAGATCGGACTTCGGAGAGGAAAAGGAAAAAAAAAAAATACATGAACCGGTTACTTTCTCCGCCTCGCCATTTTTCTTTCTTTCTTCCTCCCTCATTGAGCTGTTGGTTCTCCGCGCAACTTTCAGGATATTTGCCCGTGAACGGCGGAAAGACTTGCCATGGCTTAGACGGTCGGACGAGTAGATCTCATTCTAGAGTATCGGAACTGGTCAGTCGGTTTCTTCTCACTGTCTCGATCTGTGCTGCCCCACGTTGCAGCTATGCCGAGGGCAGCGCAGTCCACCTGATCGAGTCGCGTTTTCCGTGGGGAAAGCGGATACCATGGATTTCCGCAGGATTCAGTGACTGACTATAGGATAGATTGTGAATCATCGCTTCCTGAATCTTGCCGGCTTCTGGTGGACTAGGTAAACTCTTCGCATTGTCTTTGGATCTCAGCATTGCCCGAGGTATTTGCCGTGACAGAAAAACGGGGAGGAAAAAGCTCAACAACAGAATACCTCCGATCTAGAGAAGACTGCGAAGCAAGAAAAGAAAAAGAATGTCCATCCAGGCCATGCCGGCCGAGGTTGACACTCACAAGGCCTACGGCTCTGGTGAGGTCAATGAGTCTCCGCGAGCTCACTCGAACTCTACAGAATTGAGCATCGATGAGAGTGATCTTGAACCCAGCGATTTCACGATCGAAAATGTCGAACGAATTTACCGGTTGGTTTTCTTTTTTTTTTTTTGGTCCAGGCTCTCTCTGATTTCATCCACACATTGACTCTTTGATCAAATTTCTAGAAAGCTTGACAAGCGCATTATATCCGCCTTTTGGGTTCTTTACTTTATGTGCTCGGCCATTCGATCAAACGTCGGATTGGCCCAGACAATGAATATCAGTTCCGGCCATGATCTTGCCGAAGTGTTGCATTTGAATCCTCATCAAATCTCTACTGGCTTGGCACTGTTCTACGTCTGCTATGTGGTTTTCGATCTGCCATCGAATTTGGTGATGACTCGTCTGAGTCCGCACGTTTGGATGAGCCGAATTGTCATCAGCGTGGGTTTGATTGGTACTTGTATGACCGCAATGAAGGCCGCGTGGAGTTTTTAGTATGTTCAGCTTTTTTTTCTTTTCTGGGCTCATGCCCTCTTTCCTGACAACGGGCTGTGTGCTGATAGCTTCTCAAAGCCTACTCCGTCTGCTTCTCGGCATTGTCGAAGCCGGTCTATGGCCCGGTATGACATACTACCTCACGCTTTTCTATCCACCGTCCCGGATTGGGAAACGGATTGGTCAGTACTTCACGGCGTCTCAAGTCTCAGCGGCCGTCGTTGGACTCGTCTCGGCCGGGTTCCAAAAGATGGACGGACTCCAGGGCTATGTCGGGTTCCAGTGGATGTTCCTTATTTACGGCGTCATCACCATTGCACTGGGCTTTGCGGAGCTGTGGTGGCTTCCTGACCGACCCGTGGCTCCTGGTGCAGATGCCCCCCGGCGTTCCAGATGGCTGCGCTGGTTGCCCCAGAGTCGCCCGGCCTTGACCGGTCGCGATGCCCTCGTTCACTACCACGACATGAAGCGTGTGTATCACAATTCCAAATGGAATCTGCGGGACCTGCTTCATGTCTTCATGGACTGGAGGCTTTGGCCGCTGTTGGTCATGTACTTTGGCGTGGTGGGTGTCGGGATTGGGGTTCAGCTGTACGCCAACGTCATCATCAAAGCTATTAACCCGTCTCTGAACGGTGTTGATCTCAGTCTACTGACGGCCCCCATCTGGATCGTATGTTGCATCGTCTTCCTTTCCGCCCATGTCCCTCGCCCTCTCCGTCCTCATATTCCTAGTTTGCTAACCCATGCACAATCCAGATGGACCTCATCGCCATTCTCCTCGTGACCCCCTTCTCTGATCGCTTCCACCGCCACCGCGCCCTCTTCTTCACTATCCCTGTCCTTCTCCAAATCCTCGGTCTCCTGCTCACCAGCTATGCCGGCACCGAAGAGAACCCCTGGCCCCGCTACGGCGGCCTCCTCATCGTCGGCTTCGGACTCGGCCCCACCGTCCCCATCACCATGACCTGGACCGCCGAGATCTTCCAGCCTCGCCACGGCGAAGTCGGCGTCGCCGCCGCCTCGGCCGTCGTCTCGGGCTGGGGTAATCTGGGCAGTATCCTCACCACGTACGCTCTGTATTCGGGCTGGAAGAGTGACTACGAGGCTCCGGGTCGACAGAAGTATCGCAAGTCTAACCTTGTCATGATTGGGATCTTGATTGCGAGTATACTGGCTGCGATTACAATGCAGCTTTTGCTGCGGATCGTGGATGGCAAGTATGCTCGAGACCAGGTCGATTCGGAAGGGAATGTCGTCGATGGAGCAGCGCAGCGTGAAGCACAACAGCGCGGTTTGCAGGGCCTGGGAGCAGGTGTGAGACGCTGGTTCCGGCCGGGAAATGACGAGCGCAAGTGAGCAATATGGCGGTTTGGAAAGAAAAAACAACTGAAAACCAAGACATTCCTGGTATCCATGGACATTTCCCATCTCGACTCTCTGAGAGTGGAGTCCACAAGTTGAAGTTGATGAAATGGCCCTATAATGTTGTGGATAAGCATCTTTACATCGTACCGTGGGGTCAAGATCCGCAGAGTTGCTTTTGGGGGGGGGGGGGGGGGGGGGGGTCTACAAAAGAATAGATATAGACGTGCTTTTTCTAAAAAACGAATGATAATGAAGGGTCATGAGAGAACCAGCTGGAATTTGGTATGGAACACTCTTCTCGAGGCTGCAAGTCTGCCGGTATTCCACCATTGCTGAGGTTATTCGCATCCACCATTGATCAGAGAGTATGGAGATTAGCCTAAAGGAAGCGTCGATTGGCCGGCCGCGTGTACAGCGTTCACTACGCAGCATCTCTAAACGGCAGCAGCCTGTCTTGGCCCACAGCATGTTGAGGTCCGATTAAGGTTTTTCGGAGGTTACATCCAAGACAAGCCTCGTCAGAGCTAAGACACCCAGGCGGCGGTACCAGTCAGTTGGTAACGTTGTCCTACCGTTCAAGTCGCGACTAGTCTCAGGTAGCTCCAGGTTAATTGATGCGATGATACAAGCACACAGTTAGGAAGGTATTGCTTGAACGATGGGCTGGGTTTCCATCCGTGTAATAATTCTATGCTATTGTACGTCACACATAACCCACGATAGTGGCAGGAAGAGTTTCTCATTCTCGGAGAAACAAAACAAAGACAATTGGCGAGTGCAACTTGAGGGAGGTGAAAGAACGCAGGAGGCGGACCCTGGCGCCGAGAGAGAGAAGGTCATTGATGGGGGGGTTCATCGTGAGGGTCCAGGAGGGAGATATAGAGAGAAATAGGCGGAAAGAGAAGGAGGGAGGGGGAGACATAAGGACAAGCAGAAAACGCAATGGCAGGTTGGTGTCAAAGTAGGGTTCAAATGGACGGTGGGGCTCCCTCGTGCAGTCAGGCCGCTCTCATGGTCCGAACTCCCAGTTGATGCCGGAGGGTATCGGAGCGCTAAGATCAAATAATATTCAATTACAGGCCACCGCACATGGTCTCAACGATGATACCAGTGATCTGGTAAGGATCAGCGTTGGAGGCGGGGCGGCGGTCCTCAAAGTAACCCTTGCCGTCCTTGGCGACCTGGCGGGGGATACGGATGGAACCGCCACGGTCGGCGACACCATATGAGAACTTATCGATGTTACCGGTCTCGTGACGACCAGTAAGACGCTTGTCGTTACCCTCGCCGTACACGGCGATGTGTTCTTGGTGACGGGCCTCGAACTTCTTCATGGCCGCCTCGATGGCCTTCATGCCACCCTCAGCGCGAGTAGCGGCGGTGGAGACGTTGGAGTGCAGACCAGCACCGTTCCAATCACCCTCAATGGGCTTGGGCTCGAAAGAAATGCGCACACCAAACTCTTCGGCGACACGGTGAAGGATGAAGCGGGACATCCAGAGGTGGTCACCCACTAGAGTTGTTTGTCAGGTTCAAGATTCCCGATCAACGGTTCGAGACCACCGCACCAGCGAGGGGTGCAAAGAGCAGGGAGAGAAGAACTTACTATCAATGCCAGCGCAAGGACCGACCTGGTACTCCCACTGAGAGGGCATGACCTCGGCGTTGATACCGGAGATGTTGATACCGGCGTACAGGCAGGCGCGGTAGTGGGCCTCGACAATGTCACGGCAGTAGACCTTGCCAGTACCGACACCGCAGTAGTAAGGACCCTGGGCACCGGGGAAACCACCACGGGGCCAGCCGTAGGGCCAAGCATCGGTACCGAGGAGGGTGTATTCCTGCTCAAGACCGAACCAAAACTCCTCCTTGGCGTTGGTCTCCATCAAGCGGGCGGCGTCATGACGGTAGTTGAACTTGTTGGGGCTTCCATCGGCATCCCAGGTCTCGCAGAGAACGAGGATGTTGTCGCCGCGGCGGAAGGGGTCGGGGTAGAAGGCAACGGGGCGGAGGTAGACGTCAGAGTTGTCACCGGGGGCCTGACCAGTGGAGGAACCGTCAAAGTTCCATTCGGGAAGTTCCTCAACACTCGTGACAGCCTTGGACAGGGTCTGCAGGTTTACACATGTCGAGTTAGCGGGATCACTGTTTTCAGGCCATTCCAATGGGGGCTTGGCATGAGAGCGAAGACGGCCACGGCCGGGTGCGCGCCCACTCCCTCCATATGACATGACATGGATCGTGGCAGGGTCATCGTGTGCAGAAACACCAGTCTGAAAAGGGATAAGACTCCGCGTGGTTCTTATCGCTGGGCAGCGATACGCACGGGGCAACCCATCCCACAACCATCCCATTTGGGATCGACAAGACATCCTGCCCCGAATCCACCACCATAATGATGGAGAGCCCCGCAATTTGAACGGGCAGGCAGAGGCCAGAGACGTGATGAAGGGTGGGTTGAAGATGACGCAGTCATACCTTGGTCTTGGAACGAGTGCCACCGCAGGAATCAATCCACACGTACTCAGCCTGGACGCGACCACGCTGGTCCAGAGTCATGTACTTCATGAGCTGTTCGACCCCAAAGGGAAGTCAGTATAAGTGTATTTCCTCGCAGGCTCAGCGGCCATTGTGGAAATCCATTGTATCGAGAATCAAACGCACATTCTCCGTGTTGGAGACGACAGTTGAATCGGCAGCCTATCGAGAAGAGGACAGAGCGGTGGTTAGCAGCGATTCATTGACGATTCATTGAGTGGGCTTTGACAGATGAGGTGAAAATGGATGAGTCACTCGAAGAGTGAGTAGGGACTCCCCAAATTCAACGACTATCGGATAGAGAATCACGTACCATAATGAGGGATTATGGGATGTGTGTGAACGGGTTGAAAACCAAGGATGGCTCGCAAGCAAGCAGGACACTTTTTCAAAGGTCAAGAATGGAAAAGACACGAGATGGTGTTCCCGAAGGAAAAGAGAGAAGATTGATTTGCAATGGATCGTAAAATCCAAAAGAAGGGGAAGATGATGAGTTTTTAGATGGTGGGGGAAGCAGAGGGCGACCGATAAAGATTTAAATTTAGTCACGCCCGCCAGTGAGTCTTTTTGCGATTTTGGGGGACCCAGACGAAACGGGAAAGTCCCAGTGGAGCCGGGACGCTTAGCGGAGGGAGGGAAAAAAGAAAAAGAAAAAGAAAACTCAGGAAGAGACTCACAAAAAAAGAAAATCCCATAATCCAAAGCGGAGGATAAATGGCAGCCATATGCAGCCAATGATGGTCTCAGTGGTGAATCCACCCAGTCCCATGGGGACTAGCGGTATCCTCTCTGACCACTCTAGAACATCTGTTATCTTACCGGTTATTACGTGCGTTGCCGGGACGGGGTCACGGAGATGCAGATTCCAGTCATCGTAATGACTGGACATGCACGCGCACAGTCCAAAAGTGCCTCATACAATAGACTTTGGCTTGACTGAGATTGTATGTAATTACTGCCACCTGCCACCTGCCGTGGACATTCCCATGCCCGACACCGGGGGTCGTTGAGGAAACACGTCCTGTTCGGCCGCCAAGGGGGAGAAAATTAAATCACGCATTCTTTGCGCCCAAGACACACACGCAATTGAGTAGTTGGGCGCGAGTACACATTACAACTTGAACACACATACAAACCTGAGTAGAAACTCCTCGTGATCACAGCAACATCAAGTTGGCCAATTCAAGACCCGTTCTCTGTGGTTTCTCTTCAATTAATGAAGCAATGTAACCCGCATGAAATCATCATACTCCAAGGGCTATAGAGAATAGCCCACAATTTGATGTGAACAACGCCACCCACTTTTACCCGTGTCATCATCGCCGCATCATACAAAATCATAGCGACCCTTTTGTATGTCCTGGACTTTTGGGAACATCGTCACCGATCTCCCCTTTGGCCTCAAAAGTTTGACCATGCTGTAGTAGTAGAGTGTATTCTACGGGACGTTGGATCTCTCAGTCCACCGAACGGTGCAGGCGACATCACTGTTCTCTCATTCTCCTCTGGTTCTATACTCCCTGAAACCTGCATAACCTAAAACCTGCACATGTGATTCTGGTTTCCCTCGCTTGTTGCCCGTACCTTTCAATTCCACAATCGCGGGAGCAGTGACGATATGACGAGCGTACTACGAGTGTTTTGCATTTACACGTGTGTACTTGTAGGCTCGGTAAATTCTGACTACAGTACGATATATTGTTGCAGTGCCTTGGATTTTAGTATGTACACTGGCCCGTATGCACTTCATTCTACATATGATGACAGAATCGTACCGAGGCGCAACCATGTTTATTTCCATTCTTTCCTTTTTGTGTTCATCTTTTTTGTACATGCCGTATTAGGCCGAGTTTGAGGCCTATCGTGAACTAAAGTGACTCGCTCGCACCACTCGCAGCCCAATCATACCCTCAAGCCCCCCACCAGTCGCAGAGACGATCAAATGCAGTTATCTTGTTGGGCCGATAAGGTCAAGATAACCCCCACCCGGTTGATTTATCCAACGAGCGACGCAACTTTCTCCAGGGCGCTTGACTTTTCGGACATGTGATGCAAAAGCAATTATTCTCGTTCCTTTTGTTCCCTCGGTAGCCTGCCAGTCTCGGACAAAAGACAAAAGTATCAACATTTAAATTGTGAACAAGATAATTGCAAGGGTGCTGAACAAGATAGTTCCCCTGCCCGTGTTACCACTTGGATGCCGGGTCCGTGGCATGCTTGACTTGATCCCCTTCCGGTCGCTGACCCCGGAAAAAGTCCGGGGGGCCGAATCTAGGCCCCCTCAACTGCTCCTCCGAGAACATGTGGAAAAGATCCAGTCGGGTCAGGTGTATTTGACTATCAGACACGGAGAACCCCATCCGCCACCCGCTCTGGTCCTCCGTGAAAGGACTGGTGCAGGAGACAGTGCTACTACTTAGTACTTACTTACCTATCAACTTGATACCGAAGAGAGAGAGAGAGAGAGAGAGAGAGAGAGAGAGAGAGAGAGAGAGAGAGAGAGAGAGAGAAGACATGCCTTTGCCTCCTTGCCCAATAACCCTAACTCTAAAAGATATGCAGGTGCGATTGATAGTGAAAAGACCTATTCAATTTGCTAATACCTCTTACAAACTCCATTCCTGGATGATACCAGCGTCAAATGCATATCAGCTGCAAGGACCAAGGGGTCGCTATCTCTCCGGTAATTTCTTTTGATGGGACGCTCAAGTCACCAGGTCACTCCTCAGTAGTCACTAGTGTGCACTGGTGCAGTGTGCACTGTGGAGGGAACAGAGCGCTTCAAATGCATCGAAGTTGAAAAAAGCAACTTGGAATGTCTTTTTTCCATCTGGCCGAAGTGGTATCCGCCCAAGCTGATCATTGATTACACCGGTGGCTACTTGAGGAGCAAGGCACAGGCCACAGAACCGAGTCAGGATTATTGTCGGCATGCGCGCGCGCGAGAGCTCTTCTTATTGTCGATATTGCCTTCTCATTTTCAATGGTCTGCTCAATCGATAGTGTATCGCGGCAGCAGACTAACCAACCGGTGTTTCAAAGATCACCCAATGAGCTGTTACCTATACTTGACTAGAGATCTTTCGCAGAGCCACGCCTCAACGGGATCTTGTGAGAGGTCTTATCAGCCTCGCTCCATATCGCCTTCCTCGTGGCTGACATACTTTTGTCCCTCTAGGGATCGAACCCCACTCGCCGGTGACACTGATGCATAGTAGTTAGTTATATGATATAACTTATAGTACATACTACACTCTATATAGTAGTACTGTGGTACTGCCACTACTGTCGTCTGCGTCTGTGCGTATCTACTACTTTCTACCCACAGTCGCACTAGCCCATCTGATCAGCGAGAACAATCCACTTTCATCGAGAGTGCATGTTCTAGATGCTGTCAAAGATGGAAAGTCGAATAAACACGAAATCCTTGTTCGGTCTGCTTCCCATGTACGGTGTACCTGCATCGGTTGACATGTCGTTGAAGCTTAAGGGGTTCGCCGCCCTACAATGTATTTCCATATACTGCAAGGTTGTCCAAAATCGACATTCAGACATCGTCCTTTGACTTGGAACCTCAACGCAGGATGCGGCACAGATTCTTAGATCAACGAGGGGGTGTCAAAAATCCTTCCATGCCTCAAGATTATGCTATAAGCTACACTTCTGACTACACTGCCCATGACTCCATAGTCCATATAAGTCAAGTATCAATGTATTCGATATAGTATTCGGGCAAGTATATTATGTTTATCCATCGAAGACGCAAAGTCGTGATCTGATCATGAGTATCAATCAATCATGTCCAGTATCCCCACCTACCCAGGTACCTACATAGTTCCGCAGCTATTCGAGAAACTTATCTAATCTGTAAAATACACGTTTCTGTCCGTAACAGCCCCAGCTCCGGTAGCGATGTATCGACGATAACGGTATTCTATGGATCCGCTCCCTCTGGAGACGATCCCGGCAATCTGGAGGAGTCCGGAGGCCACATCCCCAGCCACTGGCCTCTTTCCGACCGAAGTTCCATGATCCATGAACCATGATGATTGCCGACGGACTACCCTCTGCCACAACCACGACCACGACATGCTGGACACCCGGTTAAAAAAGTGGAGCGTGGCGAAAGACTGATTGACCCTTTGTCCGGTCACCAATCATTTGTTCCTGATCAGTTGCCAATTGATCCGGCCTTGGTAGGTGTCACGCACCGATATCGGCCCTGGCCTTGACATTTTGGCACTTGGGTTAGTTGAGGGCTTGACTGTTGGAGAGGGTCAGTGCCTTTTGAGGGCTCGTGGAGTATGGGTTGGCCGTGGTTGAGTTAGACACGACTATTATATACTGTACTTTCTGGGTTGACTCTGTTGGTGCCTCGTAGAGTTCAGGTCGTCGTTTGTCGATAAGAAGTAATCATGACTCATGAGTCCCAGTGATTTACATATATACACATGTGGGTTATCAGGGAGTCGAGTCGTGTGGCGGCAAGTATTACATGTACTCCGTAGCTGTCAACTCTTCCTGGAGGGCACAGAGCACCGTCGAATAAGAAGAGAAATGTAGTCCAATAATGAGTGCGGGTTATTGTCTAGGTTTGAGACCATCGTGTAGACAATCGCTAGAACAGCTATACACTTTTACCGGTTCGCAAATGGTGGTCTTTCACACAAGATAGTGATACTGATAGTGCAGTTTCCTCTTGTTCTCTCCAGTAACCGGTCCTCAATCTCTCATCGTCTGCCAGGGTCTCCAGGTCTACAGTCAATTTAGCCGACTCTACACCTCTTGACAAACATGTGCATTCGTCATTTGAAAGCAGTCTTCTTACCCAGTCTAGGTGGTGCTCCCGTTTCACATTCACATAGTTTGAATATCAGCAACCCACGAACAGATCTTAGAGAGGGGCTCAGATCGCCCTCATGAACCAAGTCTGATCCAAGTCCGGGGAAAACAGGAAGATCCTCCACTCCTCCAGAACAGGTAAGGAACAAAGAACGGTGGCAAAACCAGGATCTTCCTTATTTCCCCGGGTTTTTCATGTTCAGATCATCTGCGAGGGACCAGAGCAACCTCGGAAACCCGGGGATGGTAAGAAATTAAACCTGGAAAAATCGGGGAATTTAGGAATCATGAGTTTTAGTGCACGGGTGGCTGGACGAGGACGACATGGGGGTTATGGACCATCGATGATCAATGCGGATGTGGTCCGCCGTCTCCAGGTGATTCTGATTTCAGTCTTCAATACGAGTATAGCTACCTAGTAGTATACACCAAATGCCGGGACACGACTTGGTTGCTCAGTTAATCACGCTACTGCCACCTTGGCAAGCGCGTCTCATTTTGCTATCAATTCTCGTGTTGATTCTCGGGCAGCACGACTAAACTTGGCGCGACTTGTGTCACCAAGAACGCAAGAGGCAGAAAAGATCTAGCCAAATTGTGAATTTGCGTTTCTTCATGTCTCAAAACAGATGCTAACTCTCAGCGAATCCAGTAGTCTTTATAAAAGTGTGGCACAGGTCCGATTTAGGATCTTCGGGACAGTGACACTGCCACACGCACCACGTGATCTTGACCGCAGTAAGACATTGGTATGGACCCGTGTGCAAGAATAGCACCTGCGCCTGACTTCCAAGACTTGAGTCTGGACTGTCTGGAGGCAGATCGAGGAGAGCTGTAAGTGAGATGTCACTCACTTTCACGCATCTGGAACCTGAAAAGAGATATAATAATGACAACTACATTCACTTCTTATTCCTTGCTCGTTTGCAAGTCAGGTCCGGTGCCGGCCGGGGGATTTGGTCGTTCGAAGTATTCTTCCAGCGCCGTTGCAGACATTAGTCACGCGCGGAACCATTCAACGGACGGAGAGGGCCGAGACCTCGAGAACGGATTAATGCGTTGATCGGCAGGACTTATGTTCAGCCGGCCAACCTCGAAACGAACCAGCTGCACTCATGCGGTTCCCGTCACCCAGTCAGTCGAGATCCCAGCGAAGACGATGGTGTGACTCCAGCCCCGTGAGAAGATGGAAGACCTGCTCAGGAATCAGCAACAGGCATCCACCCTTGAATATGCACTTTCAAGTCACCCATTCCAGCTCAGCCCTGCAAAGGCAATACAGTCGCCGAGTGTTTGCCGAACTCGAATTGATGGAAGCCTGTCCAGTGTCCAGTTCCAGTCCACAACTCCACAGTCCGCAGTCCGCAGTCCGCAGTCCGCAGTCCGCAGTCCGCAGTCCACACTACCGAGCCAATACCATTGTGTTTGGTGCATACTGTATAGTGCATAGTGTGCAATATGCATACCCACCTACTGAGCTGTCAGTGTCAAATGACTCGACTTTGCGACAAGCAGGAAAAGTACGGGTAAATGTGCATATGTTGATACCGCGTGGATAATGGCAGGCACTCTTTCTGGAAACAACGGGGAGAAGTCCACGATTGAGAAACTCAAGCAGTGCAAGTCGCCAGCACGATAGCGGATAGCCCCCCAAAAGTACAGTACCCACGATCACTGTGACAGTGTATGGTGGAATAGAAAAAGGTTGAGTCCTCATACGCCCGCGGTTACGATCGACAGGGTACGCAATCGCCTTATCAGGCCTGTCTGATTGGTGGATGAGTGGCTTGACACACGGCGCTGACGGTCGGATATGATTAATATAAATGAATTCTTGCTGTGGGAGGAACGGTGCTGGACTTGGATTGACCATGATCAACCATCCTACTTTCGGAGTATCTCTCGAGTCTCGAGTTTCGCGTACGTAGTCATGTACTGCAGATTTGAGGCTTGAACACTGCACTTGTCGATTTTGCCCTTGAACAACAACCTTCACCAGCGAATTAGTGCAACGACCTTGAATCCAGCAAATATCGTCTTCTTTTCTCGCTGGTCGTCCAACAGCGCTTCTCGCGGAAAAAAAAACAGTCGACTCGGAGAATAGGGCCTCAACCGCGCCGACCGCGCCACACCCCATCCATCCAATATCGCATCTGCCATGTGACGATCCAAAGCTGGAGATTTGTCACACATTGAACTACCCTTATCGTAGTCTTTTTGTTGTGAACACACTCATTCTTTCTGACTTAAAATATTGTCATAAAGATACCACAACATTTTCAGCGGTGATTCCAGGCCTCAGCGAAACAAAAAGGAAGGTGCAAGGTTTGAAGGTACATACTAGTAGTAGTGACTGGATGTCCATATAGTCGCGTGCTACGCAGTACGCACGGATTGTTCCCCAAGACATCACCGCTTCCACTCGGAGTTGCCCCCTCCCCCTCCTGATAACAGGAACCGGGCCATCGAAACGATGTCATCCGGCGTTGAACCCGCGGCTATCGTCATCGTCTCGAACCAGATGGGGGAGTGGGGATACTTCCCTATCAGTAGTAGTCTCAACTCTCAACTGGGTTTGGAAGTCCCATCTGGAGAGAAGTCTGCTCGCCCCGCCTCTCCTCTTGAGATGTGGATACGGTTGGGAATTACTTGAATCCGTTTTGGTGCCATTTCTTGTCCGTTTCCCGTTTCGGAATCGTGTCATGAAGAGTCTCGGGCCGGCCTGGTCTTGGCGATGGGAATTAAAGATCGACTGTGTGACTCCAGTCAACAGTGCGATAAGAGATTGGAATTTCCGCATTGATTACTGTCAGTACTCACTACTCAGTATCTCACTCAAGTGTAGTAGAGACTAGCAGAAAGTCACGATCTGTGACTCAGGTCGTGGACCTACCTTCTCTTGCTCGATTTTCAGGATCCTGAAAAGAATATTGGGGCCACAGCACATCACCCAAATCGTTCAGCAAATCTCCGTGTTTCTCGATCGGATCAGGTTCCCGGACAGATGGGTAACCACTTCCTGCATTGACCCATTTACCGTCGAAGATGTGTGCTCACAACTCGAATGATGCCATCGCCACCTGAGAACAAGAAGATCTGCGGGGGCTCGAGCCTGTGTCGATGGGACCCTCGTGAGCATTCGTCACGTTCTCTCCACGTTTTCTTTTTCTTTGCTTTTTCTGTCTTTTTTGCTACTGTCATTCTCGGGCATTTGCGGTAGACGGACTGTGCTGGAACATGCCGAGGCCGGGTGTCCTTAGACTGTCCACCTCGCTAGGATCGAAATAGTAAGGTCAATTTTTGGTTTTATTACGTTCGTCGTTTTGAAAGTACTTGACTTCCAAAATAAAATACGGGTCTGCCTTTGCTTTCCGACTCAACACTTCAACTTCTCGAAGTCCGCGATCTAGCATCCACCCGTTTCTGTAAATAAATCACCGGCCCTACAAAAATAATTCTAAGATTCGACCTTCTTACAGCCCTTTCAAGTCTTAAGGAAGTATATAAAATTATGATACAGATAAAAGTGTTGTGGTAAAGAGAACTTCTTAGTGAGTTTCCGGTGTGCACGGTCGGGAAATCGGTAGGCGGTAAGGGCTCTAAGGAGTAGCAAACACGGGTCCAGTCTCTTGATTAATACAGCATCAAAACAAAATGACAGAACAATCACGTGAAAATTGGAGTTCGACCTTCCCGCTCTGGTCCTAGCGACATGGACAGTCTAAGGATACCCGCCAAGGCCTACGTCATACCGGATTCATTACATCTACACCTTGGGCTGCAGGGCCACACCTCGAAAGGACGTTAATGTGGACTAACTTTCTGCCTAATGTACGGCATATGAAGGACCAACAACGAACGACCTTACTGCGTAGATTTCTCAAAGACGATATGATTACCTCGCTGTCCTTCGTATTTCGTGATTCTAAGGGATCTAAAAACCTGGATCCACCCAAAGAGATCGGATACGGTGGAAGCTAGGAGTGACTAAACGGGCCACGATGATCAATAGTATATCAGTAGTTAGAGGTCATTGAACTCAAGATACACCCTCCGACCTCACCAGTATCGAGAAAATGCATGTTTCAGTGAAGTAGTTGATCAATTCAGGAAGCTTACTTTACCGGCTCTCAGATGAATACATTCCGGTTATCAGATTGACACAAACCACTTGCAGCTCTGGGCAGGGGGCCAGCTATGATAACGTCCGAATTCTGCAGAATTCAGAGGGCTGATGTTCTCATTCTGGAAGTATCCTTCTCTGGATCACTTCCTTTTCATTTAGCCTGAAACTATGATACGTTCGTGTCCTCCATGAGAAATAGACGTCCACCCACGTGAAACCCTCGGAGATCAACACCCAAGCGCCCTCACCTCACGACCGCTTCAACTTCACTAGTGAGACCAAGTCACACGAGACGAATCTCCTGCGTCAGACAACAACCGACTCCTGCACCACTGCCATCTCCGTAGTCCTCCCGGGGTGCCTTCGCTTATCTCGTTCCCGGTCTGCACTGCTCCCCTTCTTTCTCAATGCATTATATGCTTTCGTCCGTCGAAAATCTCATCATCTGGCGAGGCGAAAGAACCGAACCTTCTCCAATCCGCCTGTGAAGAACGTACCAATGTACCACAGTGCCTCAGCTGGTATAGAGGGCGACAACAAGCGAACGGTTGCATGGGCGATGTCGTTGCCATCGCAGGCGCTTCCTGTGAAATGCATCCAGGGACTGGCCAGAAGTAGCTGGAAGAAGTCGTAAACCTTTTCAGCACGTCACGTACAGAGTAGTATGTGCTTGATGGAAGCCCGCTGTGCCCTGTGGTGCCGTCGGCCAATGCGAACTGATAATTTGCGTTTATCCATGCTTGGAGTGGGTTCTGCCGGCGACGACGAAAGGTTTCAGCGACGCCGGAAATCGTACGGAACTGGAACCGTCGTGCCAGAGAGGATTGCAATTTGGACCAAGGGGACGACTGAAGATAGGATCGAGGAGACGGGAGTGCCGAGAAGCGACTAATGAGAGATTGGGGGATGGTTGGAGGAGAGAGAAAAAGTGAGATTTGAGGATGACGGGATGGTTGCCTGGTCTGGATTTCGCCCTCTAATGCGTAAGGTTGGACACCGAGATATGCGTTGAGCGTGACCATGGGAAATAGCATATCTGTTGTGATGGGTGAGTTGCCGAGTAGGTGTTCATATTGACCAAGGTAAACACGAAAATATCGTCGGAAATGACAGGACATGTGCATTTTTCACATTTTACGAGGGTGCGAGACATCCACTGAACGAAGGGTACTTTCTGAACTCTTAGTCCTTGGAGGGCGCTCGAACTATGATCTAGTCGTTCCCTGTCTTATACAGAAAAAAGCCTTTTTGAAGTTGCTCCTGACTGTGACGCCATCCATCAGCTTGTCACAATGCAATTAAGAGAACAAAAGAGTAAGGACTGGTTCAGGGCACATGTGCAACATTCAAGACCGGCACTGACTTTAATACCTTGGTTGATGAAAGGTCTTAGTACAACTACAACATCTTCGCTCTTGTTGATCAGATGCGCTGCGACAAGAGTTTCTAGCTCACACCTCTGTGTTACCGAAAGAAGAACACTTCAGTCTGATAACGAGTCGACCTGTGTGCATAGATGAATGGTCTCTACAAAGGTCTGACATCCTGGCTTTGGGCGCTTGCTTGACTGGCCCGTGAACCCTGCAGATCTACAGATCTGCAGATCATGATATTGAGGATAAACTTTTCAATTATCATAAAGTTTCGTGGTCACCTGGAGAGTCTTGAGGGCTGACTAGCGCCAGACTCAACCGCTTGCAGCTCGCTTCCGTAGCCAACGGAGGACCCACTCGACCAGAATCCCTAGATTCTGCGAGATTTCCAGAACCTGAGCAAGTTTCTCGCGTATAGCATACAAGCTTGGTCGGGCAGGATCAGCCCCTTGCATCTCTGTGTCCTCGCCTTCGTGTCTCGAGCCACCCACGTGGACCGCATCAATGACAGTGATCCGTCCATTGAGACCGACTTCAAACGAGAGGGATACCTGTACGGGCTCGTTTTCAAAGGCTCCGGGAGGGAAATTCTTCGAGTCGGTCACGAGAAGCATCAAAGCTGGCGCTTGGCCGATTGGTGTCCGCAAAGTCACCTCCACTCGGACATCGTCAAGGTATGTAGTTGTGTGATGGGGTGTTAGATTCGATGCCGCAGAGCCAGAGAAGGCGTTTGAGAAATCGTCGCCAAAAAGATTACTTAGCTTCTCCTCATTGGGGTCGTCATTGCAGAGGGTAATCGTATCGTTTTGAAGGAATAGGTCCAAGTTTGGTGTGGTTGGGTCACCGAGTGCGGCGTCATTCGTGGAATCTCGCGGCCCCTTCTTCTCCTGGAGGGAGCCGCTAGTTACTTCGCGAATCAGACTTTCCATCAGTGCATATTGGCGGAACACCTATAGGGGATTAGCATCTAGACAAATAAGTGATTCGCGTGGCTTGAAATGAATCAACAAGGGTTCATACCGGAACGACTTCAGCAATCTGTCGGGGATGTGAAAATGGAAGGTCACGAATGGTGCGACCAGCGACAGACTCGAACGCCTGAAAAGTGTAATCGTGGTAATTTGTGTATGGCGAGCCACTTGAATCGAAAGTCTCAACAGGCTTTCGACATCGCCTTCGACCAGGTTGTGGTACGGCGTCTGTTGGTGCCCCTTCAGAAGCAACCAGACTGTCGTATGTGAACATCTTGAACTCCGGGGGAAGTTGCATGCCCATATGGCGGTAGATCTCCGACGCTGCAAGGATCGGAACGTGGAGCGGCGGATCGAGTCTAGCAACGAAGCGACGGTTTGGGGGCGTGGATTCTAGCATGCTAGAGTCTAATGCCATGGGGTCTGGATGATCGCCGTGAGAGAGGCGCATGGTCTGTGGGGGATCAAGCCACTTCACCACTTTTGGATGGACGTCGCCTTCTGATGGTTCTTGGTTGTCATTTGTAAAGACATCACTTCCAACCCATTCTTTAGAAATGCGCAAAGATGGGTAGCCTTCTTCACACTCGACCATCACTGTCCAGATCTTTTGCTGCTCGTCTGGCGTATGTACATTCGCACCTTGCGCCTGATCGACCGCCATTGCCTCAGAAGGGAGACCAGTCTTGGCGTCCAGCACTTTGGCCTGTTCAACCCAGTATTCCAGCCCAAGTCCGATACGTGTTCCCTTGTGCATACTGGGGCGTCCGATGATCCCTGCACAAAGATGCTCATATTCACCACCGTACTTCTCAGTTTTTCCTTCTGCGGACCAGATTCTTTGGAAATTCGTCTCGAGACCTTCCAGGGCTTCGAAACAGTTGACTTGTTGGCTGAATTTGTCGAGCTTCCTCAGCCAGTGAAGATTGTCGTGGAACGCCTGCAGTGACCTCCACCTACCATGCTCAACATCCTCAAGTGACTGCACGAGATTCCTTTTCAAGACCTCGGAAGCCTTGTCTCGTCTTTCTCCTTCCTGATAGTCGGGGGTCGCGTATCGCAAGCTGACATCCTTGACCACATCTTGACCAGGATAAAAGTCAATCTCGAGATCAACGAAATTACCCGCAATATTGAGATTGTTATCACCCCACAACGAGTCAAATCCCTCTAGTTGACTCAATCTCTCGATGCCCTCGCGAGACACTCCTCGGCCAGCGACTCGTACTTGCAGACATTGAACCACGTCCTGAATTCGTCGCCTTTGTTCCTCGTTGCTGTCGCGCACCGCTCTTTCCAGTTTCATTCCCTGTATTCCCATTGTTTGCATATCGCCGTCGGTCATGTTGTGGCCGGGGATGTTCTCTTGGATCATAGCTGCCGGGCTGATACCCGTGAAGCTGCCCAGGGCGAGCAGCGCCGAAGGTGAACTGAAGTTGACAGGGTCGTCGCCGGTGCCTGGCACTGCTAGAGGTGTCGCGTACTGATGAGCCTGAGAGGATATGCTGTTTTGTGCTGCGTAACCGGGGGCCGATGCTGCTGGCGTTCGTGTTGACGGTGATTTGTGTGCTATTGATCGAAGAGGCGCTGACGTTGGGTGGGGAGAAGAGGTCAGGTGGGTTGGCGTCGCGCCTGGTTTAGCTGAGGGAGTAGCCATGGTGAGAGGGGGAGGTAGTGTCTACGGTCGCAGAGCAAACAAAAATTGTGTGATCCGAAGTCGAATACACTGACCAACACCAGTTCGGGTCAACCTTGGGCTGCGCGAACTGTTGAATGCGCCCACTTCTAAAGAGCTCTGAAAAAATCTCAAGAATGCATTTGATGGACCACCAATTCGTTATACATTGATTGAGGGCGCCCAAAGTCACGCGATCATAGCTTCAATCTGCAATTGCAGGACTGTTTGCGCACAACTCTCGCTCCAGACGTAGACATCAACATCCTAGAACTGCTCTTCACGTGGATGGGCCTTGGATATTCTGCTACACCGCCCATCAGACCGCCTCGATCAGCACGATGACCGCATGATAGGGCACGCTCGGAGATCGGAGATTCGAAGACATCGCTTGAACAATTTCCACTGGAATTGCTCATCACAGCTTTTCAAGATGTTTAAATCAAGCTTCACCACGGGGAGTCTAGCTCGGCATGCCATCACATCCTTCAGGTGGTCGCAGATACGCCCCCTGTCTTCACTCGAGAGCAATCCTCACATTGTAAGGGAACAGCGACAAAGTACCATTCATTACCTCATATTAATGTTGGCTAACATTTGCACAGTATGTCTTTCCCAGTAAAACCAATGGCGATTCAAATATACTTTCTCTTCTATCGACCGAGCCTGTTAATACAGATCTCGCCATTGGAGTCACCAACAAGCTACCACCTACCCTGGATTCAGTGAGAGAGAATCCTAAATTCCTCAGCATTCTTCATGAGGTCTTCGCCAAGCACGCCCACGAAGATCCGGAGGCACAGTCTCAAGCACAAGTCATGATATCCCAATCCGGTGCAAATCTCTACAGTGGTGGCGTTCTCGTGTCCAGCAAACGATCTACCAGAAAGCATGTCGAGGCTGAGGATTCCAGTGGGGGAGCAAGCGGCCAAGGTGGTGCCGGTGGTGGTGGACATGGTGGTTGGATCCATCTCTCTGATAGGAGGCGAGCTCCTGAATTCGGCAGAACTGCATGGTGCGATGGTCATTCGGTCGAGATGAACAGGGACAAGGCTAATTGTCCAATAGGCCAGAGGATATTTTCGGCAGTCTCGAAGTTGATGGGAATGGTCAATTTGTTGGTGGAAATGGCAAATATCAAGCAAGCGGTAAGTCTGCAATTGAACACGTCCCTCACCTTCCGACCTAACCCATGGTTTTTCTTTGGCAGGCACATACCGATTGGTCACTCGCGACGGCATGTAAGTTGTGTCTAGGAGAGGTTCTATTAATCTCCCTAAGATTCGAGGTGCTAATGATTGTTCTTGTTTGCAAACAGTCTGGGCTTGACACCCTTCATGCGAGAGAAGCTCGTGCAACGTCTGCGGGAATTAGACCAGCAGTGAGTTTTTACGAGCATGGTAGAATTTGACTAACTCTTGAGGTTTTTGTACGATAATGGAGGATAGAATTTCACTCCGTGTGGTGATCTGGAAAATGTCGGTCCTTGTCAGTCGACTGTCTACTGCAGCGAAGGACTTCCTAAAAATTGAAAGCCACCCTAATTTCCAAGTGGGCATTGCCTCGTTGCTATTTCAACCCATGAGATACTTATAGTACATCTGAAGCCGCTGTTGGAAGGCCACCATGGCCTTCGAGAAATACAGTTGGTTTGATTTACGATCCAGGACATCTCTGTCCAGTGTGTTACGACTTTGCTAGAGAACAACGTTGATTGCTAAACTTAAGATCCTATTTCTTGAAAAACCTCGTTATTCTCTGAGATCCATCTGCGGGCTTCGATCCGCTCGACTTTTTCCATGGCGTATTATGGGTGGCACTCCTCGCCCGGCCTTTCTGTGGCGAGGGAGAAATGGTATCTTGGTGGATCTTCTTTTTTTGTTCTCGTTGCCTTCATCAGGATTGAGACCTTCGAGTGAGAGCTCCCTCTTGATGCCATGCGGAGCATCTCGTTGTTCAGCCTTGACGTCCTCGACCTTAATATCAGTATGTTTCTTCGGTGAAGCGTCTTTGCTCTTGGAATTGGCGAAGAAATTGGCGATATTGCTTTTATTTTCTTTACTGTCGACTGGGATAATAAAATCGGGTGAGTTATTTCCGACTTTGCCCACTTCTTTGGACACAGGGAAGCATTCGAGTTCACCCTCGTAAGGCTTCAAGATGGACTGTAGTTCACTGGACCAAGTCTTTCGCGAGGGATCGAGCCATTTTCGCATTGCATCACTGCCGTAATCGAGGATCACGGGCATCCTGTCATGCAGGAAGTTCAGGTACGAGTTGGAAGATGTTGTGATCACTGTGTATGTGTAGAGCTTCTGGTCGGATCCTGTAGACTCGAGCGTGAGTAATGATTTTTCCTTCATTTTCGGCAGCATGGAGAGGCATCATAGTACTCGTGACCCGAAAGACATTTGGCCTCGTGCAGTACTGACCTTCATATTGGACGCAATCCCACAACCCAGCGAAACACATCAAATCACCATCCTTTCGCCGAACGAAATGCGGAACTTTCTCCTTACCACCCGGTCCCTTCTTCAGCCATTCATAGAAGCCTTGACATATCACCAGGCATCTTTTGCGCTGCTTCATAGTCGTCCACATGCCTCGATTCTCAGTAAGCGAGTCATCCCGACAATTGATGGTGCGCATCATGGAGCCGTAGTCAGGCTGTCGTTTCGTCCAGAAAGGAATCAACCCCCACTTCATGCCCTGAAGTTTGTATTTGGGATGTACTCCAGACGCCGAGCCATTTTTCCCGGTATCACCTTGGACTTCACTTGCTGGAGCAGTCTGTTGAGGCTCATTGCGCGCTTCGTTATCTTTTTCAGATGGCTCCTTGGCGCCGGTAGCCTCGGCGCGATACACCACACCAATATTCCCGGGTGCAAAATTGTATGTTTCACGGACTTCATCATCATCTGGTGCTTCATCGACTTGCAGCCCTCGTTCTTGAAGCTGCTGTTGGATGAAGGCTAAGCGCTGTCGTTCCTTGTTGGTTAGATCATATGTGTATATAAGAGGTGGGGACAGGCGTATCAGGCTCACCACGCCAAGCGCGTATCTTCCACACATCTCTGGATAGAATGCAAACCTCGAAGATTATGTAGCAGGTTTCAGTCTGTCCTTCAGAGAAATGTCGCCAAGAAGTAGGTGTCCGGTTGTGTGACAATAATTATTCAAAGCAAAGCTGAAGCGAGAGACAAGAACATACATCCCTCCTAGCGACGTCATTCGATCGAGATGATTGCGGCGGAAAAGCGGAGTGCGGCGGAATTCCACCTTACAACTTTGCTTCCTCCGCTCCCGCACGGCTTGCTTTGCAGACATCTTCGTCGCCAACCTTGTGGCCCATGATCTCGCACGGCACTTCCCTTCTGAAACATAAACAATTGAGTCATTCTGCTAAAATCCATCTCCCAAGCAACGCCGATGTATCACGCAGCCTCGCGGCGCGTCTGCGCCCAAGCTACGAAGCTTCTACGAGCGCAGCGACAGCCATTGACACGATCAATACAGACTCATAGCGCTCGCCCAACACCATGTTCGAAATCCCCAAGACGCACTCTCAACTATATATCATCACTCCACACTCGCCACCTCACCACTGCCCAGAAGATTCGCATGAAATACCGCGAGGCCTCAAAGGGAGTCTTCCGCAAAAATCCAATCTTGCTTCCTCTGGCCATTTTCTCCGTGGTCGGTGGTATCGCGGTTTTCGCCTACGTCTCCTACGTGGAGGTGACTCGTGTTCAGCCACAATACCACAAATTTCCGCCGCCAGTCACCGAGAAGCTGCGGACTGCGGTGTACTACACTGAGATCAGCCTCAACCCACCGAAAGCATTGAGTGCCTACAAGGAGGCCCTGAAAATCGGCTTGGAAATGGGCATGCACCCTTTCTCTGATGAGATCTTGGGTATCAAACTTCAAGTTGCCATGATGTTGGAAAAGTCTGGACTAGTGAAGCCCGCGGTTGAGGTGCTTGAACGAACAAAAATGGAAGCATTGAAATGGATCGAGGAGGGTCGCAAGTCAGAGATAGCTGCCTCGGACACGAAGACTCTCGAGAAAGAGGCTTTGAAAGCGCTGAACGCACCACCAAATGTCCCAATCAACGACCAGGAGCTGCAGACAACCCTACAGCAAATGAGGGAGACCCAAGAATTCGAGACGAGGCAGCGCGATCGAGCCCTCAAGAAAGTGATTGGCATCGAGATGAAACTCGCCGAGCTGTACGCAAGTGACTACATGCAAGATGAGAAGAAAGCCGAAGAGGCTCAGGTCGCCGCCGTAGAGTTAAGTCTGAAAGAACTCAACAGGCGGCAGAAACTCGGCCTTCCAATTGGGGGAGGAACCTCGGACGACGGTAACAGCGAGTCATGGCTGAGTATGACCGAGATTGCGACCGCTCTGTCAGAGCTCGCGGATACATATATAGCGAAGGACCGCGCCGAGCTCGCAATGCCCCTCTACCTGCGCGCATTGGACTTGATTCGAACCGCAGAGGGCAACGCACCCTCATGTAAGCAGGTTGTGCTTTTGAACAGCGTCGCCAGCGCGATGGTCGGCCAGGTCCAGCTCCCGGCCAGACCTCGTTCTCAGGAGAAACAAGCAGTCTCGAAAGAGCAGACCATTGACGCTGCTCGTCAATGGGCCCAAAGGCCATTGATGTTGCTGCGTATATCATGCCGCCTGTCCGAGACGAGGAGTGTGATATTACATGCGTGGCTGCAACATATAACCTTGGCGAGATCGCCGAGCTTCAGAAGAGGCCGGAGGTAGCGCTGCAGCGATATAGGGAGGCCAAATCGCTGGCTCAGGGACTGGGCTACGAGGATGGCATCGCCATGGCCGACGAGGCATTGAAGCGCTTGAAGATATAAAGAACTGTATCTAGCAGTGTGTACAACTTCGCAGAAGGAAGGTGGACCAGTGCTTGTCATAACTTTTGTACAATACCAATAGAACTCCAAAGTTCCAGTCCGAATCAAATGAAAGATATCCGTCGATGACACCTCAATATTTACTCCATGTGAGGATTGAATTAATGAATTAATTGTGATTTTCCCTTCAGTAGCCAGGTGCTTTTTCTCAACTTCTAGTACTAGGATTCCGCTCCGCTATGAATCAACTGCGGCAGGCACTATCAGGACACCAGATGGAGGAGGTTCCAGACTTCCAGGAGCACGAAGCCGTCCAGTACCACATGTAGTTTCATTCGAAAAAACGGAATCATTCCACCAGAGGCAAGAAAAAGCGCATAGCCAGTTTGAATCTTGATTAGGAACAACACTAGTCACGACACAGACCAGTACAAGTTGCCATATCTTCCGACAAAACGATGTGCTGCACGTCTAAATATCGAATTCACCTCCAGTTTACGGTGGTATTATGAGTGGACCATATGGAGAAAAAAAAGGAAAACATTTTGATGCCTTATGTGGTATTAGAACATCACACGCCCTGCTTACATTCCAGACATTGGATTTTAATGGTGAATCAAGTAAGCTAAGGCGTGTCAGAAAACCTTCTCACTCGTGGGTGAGAAGCGCTTAATTGCTCGTGGCTCATACATCCCAAACCAAATCAATGCCCATCTTGCTCTGGTTTTGAACTTTTTTTTGATTCCCTTGACGATAGATCAAAAAGAGGCCTCCTCCTTTCTTTGAGTTCGCTCACACCCAATCAAACAACCCATTTATGCGCGAGACATGACACCCCAGGCACGGATCTTGTTATCAGTGTAACCAGCGAAGAGAGTCTGACCGTCGGCGGACCAGGCGAGGGAGATACACTCGGGGTCACGGCTCTTCTTGCCCTTCTCGACGTACTCGGGCTTGAGCTCATCAACCTTGCTCTTCTTCTCGAGGTCGAAGATGGTGATGGAGCTGCTGGTGGCAGCGCACAGCCAGTAGCGGTTGGGGGAGAAGACAAGGGCGTGGATCTCGTCACCGGCGTGGAGGGAGTAGAGGTGCTTGGACTCGTTGAGGTCCCACAGCATGGTGGTACCGTCCTTGCCACCGGAGGCGCAAAGAGATCCATCGGGGGAGATGGTAACGGTGTTGATGTAACCGGTGTGACCGATGTGGTCGGTCTGCAGGCGGCAGGAAGCGAGCTCCCAGACCTAATACACCCGAGAAAGAAACCTTGTTAGCACAATTGCGATCCTTCAACGTGGTGAAAGCAGGTTCAAGCCAAGAAAGTCATTTCTCGTTGTCTTCCTCAAAATCATTGCCAAATAAAGCATTGATTCCGGGATTTCCATCAGGCATTGGGTGATTGGTTGTCTCATAGCCACCGGGGGCTCTGAAGTAGCAAATACGTAGAATATGCAAACATCATGTGGGATCGGAAAGATAAAGAGAGGCATTGCAAAGCAATCGGCAATCGAGGGGGCGACCGGGAATAGAAGCGTACCTTGACGAGCTTGTCCCAGCCAGCGGAGACAATGACGGGGTTCTGGGGGTTGGGGCTGAAGCGGACGCAGGAAACCCACTCGGTGTGGCCCTTGTCGGTGATGGTGAACTTGCAGTCACCGAGGGTGTTCCACAGCTTGATGGTGCGGTCACGGGAACCGGAGACGATCTGACGGTTGTCGGCGGAGAAGGAGACGGACAGAACATCGCTGGTGTGGCCGACGAAAGTGCGGGTGGTGTTACCGGTGGCGAGCTCCCACAGACGGAGAGACTTGTCCCAAGACGCAGACAGGGCGTAGGCACCGTCGGAGGAGATCACCTATACGAAAGAAAACATCGCGCGCGGTCAGCCATTGCCCAATTCCAGTTGCTTCCACTGAGTCCAATATCCGCAGTCTTTCTTCGACTCGATTCCATCACTCAATCGGCGTTTTCGTGGCGGTATTGGACTAGAAGAGATGGAAAATTCAGGTCACATACACAGTCGGAGACGATGTGAGAGTGGCCCTCCAGGCTGCGCTTGGGGTAGCCATAGGCCTGCTCATCGCGGGTAAGGTTCCAGATGATCAGGGTCTTGTCGCGAGAAGCGGAGAGCAGCATGTTGGGGCTAGAAGCCGAATTTCAAGTCAGACATATTCTCTCGTTGCGCGGTCTTTTGAAGCGATCCAACTCTTACTTCTCCAGAGAGGTGGCAAGGGAGGTAACCCAGCCATTGTGGCCCTCGAGGGTGCCGCGAAGAACCAACTGCTCAGCCATGATTGGAGTGAGACGATGAAGGAGAGAGGTATGGCGGAGTAGGTCGTTGACGCTGGTGAGATAAAATCGCAGAGGGAGGGAGGAGGTTTGCTGCGTGCCGGCTCGAGCCCTAACCCGGTTGGTTCCCGCCTTGTGTGGTTCCGCCGTGCCCTACATTTAAGCGAAGACCACGTGATACGAGAGCGGTTGTATCAAGGTCGAAGTATATCGACTTGCGGTTTAGATACAAATGAACGAGCTTGCCGCATCGATGATCAGCAGGTCCTTCAATTCCATAATCATAGTCGAACAAGTTGGTGCACCATAATATTATCTTTGTCGACCTTCTACCTCGGAGTTTGGTGAACACAGTCTCTGGCGAGGAATATTAAGCCACGAGGACCGAATGGACTGAACAGGCAATTTTAAACCTTATCTTGATCTGATACGGCTCAGTACGTAGTAAATATATGCCATGTTTATTCAGAGATTAGGCATCCCTCACCAGCAACCACCTTCGTTTACTTTCTGAACATCCCATCAGGAACAAGATTGGCATTGTTTCAGGCTGAAGTCGAGGTGATACCTCGTCCTCGTCGGGTTCAAGGTTCTAAGGTTGCCCGGGTCCGGGCCGTCAATTCGAGTTTACATAATCATCTCTCCGCCGCCCGGTCTAATTGAGAGAGTATATAGCATGTATGGGCTGCACGTCTCGTCACCTATTGTATGACTTGAAAGAAGCTCAAATGATATACATATAGCCGCTTGAGAAAAAGCTGGCGTCATCGTGATTCGGAGATGTTCATTTTGAGTAAATCGAGACAACTCAAGCGCCAAAAAATATACAGCATGGGTCATAAAAACAGACCTCCATAACACTTAATCGTACATGGTGCATATAGCAGGCCAATCTCACTCCATCGAGGGCCATAATCTCTTAGTTGTTAAAGACCTGCACATCAGGCATCCGACCCAAGCCACTGCCCGCCTCGGTCTTCTTCTTCTTGGCAGATTCAAAGCCGGTGGCGCTCTTATCCTGCACATGCGCCCGCAACAACTGCAAGATCTCCGAGTCCGCCCAACGTGAGGGCACAGGTCGGTACGCCGCCTTGAATGCACCAACGGTTTGCGCCCACTCGCCACTCTTAGCACCCGTGTTCATCCACGTCTCTGTGACGGTGTCCTCCTTGGGCGGCTTCGCGCTGTCAGGCAACTCGGAGGGATGGTCCTGCGTGGCCCAGTAATAGATGTCCCAGTCGTTCTCGTCCAAGAAGCGATCGTATTCTTGCAGCTGGGCATGAGACATTTTACCCAGGTTCACGTCGGCAAAGGTTGAGAGAAGAAGGTCGGACTCGAGGATACCGCGCTTACGGCTTTGATCTGTGTGGGGTCTCTGGTTAGCCGGTAATGTTCTTACTCATGCCGAATCGCGCAAATGAGATGCGCAGAGAGAGGATGAGTTGTGGATCAACGTACATAGTAAACGGGCCCGCATTGTCGCCTTATCTTCGTTCTTCCTCTTCAAAGGCTCGACCTTGAATGTGATGCCTTCCATTTCTCCAACCTCTAACTCGGGTTTCGCAGGCCCCTGATCCTGGCGGCCTCCTGTGAAGTGCTCGAGCTTGCCCATGTATCCATCTTGTTCGTTCTTGAAGCGTAGTCCGGAGGTGCCGAAGGAACGCTGAAGACCCGAGATGTGGCGAGCATTCAATACTCCTGTCGAGGGTCGCAGGAAGCGAGTCATGATTCTGGGTGCAGACATGATCTTCCTGATAAGCTGGAGGAGAGATCAGATAATTGAGTTCAGTTGCCTTTAGAAAACGACGTAGGCGGACTCTGATGGACTTAAGATGCGTTCTGTTGTTAAAGCGGATTTGACATCATATCGGGGGAGGAGCCGAAAAAAGATACCCGAGGCATGCATGCTCCCCGGTGTTTGCAGCATTTGCAGATCGGTGGGGATCCACCGGATCTCTGGGCGAGCGGCAATTACACACCCAATTTCCATGGATGGATGGGTCCCATGCTGGATACGCATATCGTCTACAGATCAGCCCTTCTGTACATTGGAGGACTTCAAGCAACCCTCATAATGCTATACATTCTTGAACAAGGCAAAAGGGCCTGGAAACCTCCATTAGCCGGGGATTGACCAACTGTCAAAAACATCTTCAGCCCAGTCTTACACGTGCCATAGAGTGCCTACTTCAACACGCAGCGGTGGTAGACTTTCCCTGATGGGATATGTAGCTCGTGTACGATTGGATATAGCTATTGGAGGCTACTGGGAGAACGTAGCAGACCTAAAAGAGGGGAGAAAGGAATGGTGAGATTGTATCTGGTGAGAGGTGCCTATCTAAGCTACGAAGGTGGTGTGCGTAGGCGCGCACCACGCTGGTAAGACGCGCTAAACCACTAAGCTATCTCAACACCCCCCTAGACCTCGATCCACCAATCTCACTCAAAACACGAAAAACATGAAAAGTGATCATATAAATATATTAATAACGCCTTAATATAGCTTTTTGAGCTTAAAAAGGTGTTTAAACCCTTAGAATTAAGCTCGCTATAAAGGCTGTTAAAAAACTATTAAATAGCCGTTAAATCAGAGCTTTTTTATGCCTAAAAGGTATAGAAACCTCTCGAATTAGACTCGCTATAGCGGCTTAGTAAAGCTATCTACGGCCTACTCTATAGTAGAGATTTTAACGAATTTATATACCCCCCTAGAGACTTAGTCTCTAATATAATAGTATTTAATGTTGATATACTTCGTTCGTTAGTATAAATTATAGCTTTTAGTAAGGTAAATAGCGCCTTAGTTATCCTTATAGATTATAGTAGGAAGTTATAAAAGGGACTCTATATCGAGTTCCTTAAGGAAAAGCTATAGCTATAATACCTCTTAGATAGCTAAAGATATAGCTATATACTTACTTTCTGTAGAGGAAAGAGTAACGTATATTTACTTTTTGTAAGCCTAAGTAATTATACTATTCGTAAGCTTAAAAAGGAAGCCGGAGATTAATATACTACTATCTATATATTTACCGGCCTAATCTGTATTAACGAATCTAAAGAGGGGGTCTAGTAAGTAAGAATACGTAATAGTAAGCGTTTTAGAACCCTTAAGATATCGAAAGATATACTTTAATATAGTTATATACTTCGCGGAGGGGTTATACGTATATCTTATAAGCTTTATAACTACGAATATAATATCTAGTTATATATTAACTATTAGCTAAATAAGTAAGCCTACTATCTTATAGTAAGCTTTAACTTCCGCCGGAGTTATAGTATCCTTACGCGGTTATAGGATCTTCTTATTATAAAATAGCGTAGGGACTATATATATATCTTGTAGATTGAATTTCGCGAGGACCTTTCGAATATAGATAAGCTAAGAGAGCTTTATCTTACTATCTATATAAATAATATTAATTATAAGGAATCGCGTAGTAGTACTATTATTAGTAATATCGAAGGATTTTCGAATATAGTCCTTAAGCTATATAAGAGATATATCTAAAGGCGTAATAATTAGTATATTATTAATATATATAAGAAGATAGAGCTTATATTTAATATATATAAATACCGAATAGTCCGCTTATAAGCGAATAAATCTAATTACTATTAGAGCCCTATAGATAGTATTATACTATTCGCGAGGACTCTGTTTTAGACTATATAAAGTCTTTAAAAGAAGGCTATATTTTCTAGGCTCTTTAAAACTATTAGGAAGTTAAATATAGATTTCTTTAAGAAGCTCTATATTAAGAAACGCTATAATAAAGTTAATATAATATATCTACTAGCCGAAATACGTAGCGATTATATAGAATATTTTAAAGCTTAAAGCTTTAGCTATACTTATATAAATATTAAGATAATCGATTCCTTTATATTACTTAAACCCTTTTATAACGAGACGCGCTTTATAGGTCCTATTATCCTTAATACAAAAGACCTATCGAAGCGGAAGAAGTATCTTTTTAGTATCCTTAGTAGGAAGATTATATATATACTAAGTACTATTTATTAGCTACTTCTGTATTTCTTTATCTATAGCTTTAATCTATTTAGTCTATTTATCCTTACTATAATTTTATATTATATCCTACTAGCTATCTAGTTTATATAGCGTTAACTAAGCTAAAGCTTAATATAAAAGCTTTAGAAGTAGTTATAAGTCTATAGTTATACTACGAATTAAAAAAGTAGCGTATTTAATATAATTAGCTAGAGCTATATTTAAAAGCTTAAGAGAATATAAATATTCCTCTAACTCTATAGCTACTTAAGTCTTCTTATAGACTTATAAGGAATACTAAAGATCTATCTTAGGTATAGTTTAAGAACTACTCTCGATAGTTTTAGGATTAGCCTCGATAGTTTTAGAACTACCCTCTATAGCTTAAAGATTATCGTTAATATTTCTAGGACTACCCTCGATAGTTTCGGAACTATCCTCTATAGTTTAAGGGCTATCGTCGATATATTTATTCTATTTATAGGCGAATCTCCGCTTAATCTATTCACGAAGCTTTTTAAGTTAGACTTCGTGTTTAAATAAAGAAAGTAGTATATTAGACCGCTTAGATAATAGTAGGTCTCCTATTAGAATATAAGGAGATAGAGTTACTAGCTATACTAGCTTATTAAGGCTATTAGCTAAATCTAGCTAAATTAGTTAATTACTATTAGCCGGTAGGAAATCCGATAGTATATAACGGTATTAATTAGCTATAGATTACGTAGGAACTAACTTTAGCTCTATATCAAGATTATACGTAGGCTTAGGTAGATCCTTCGTTATATTCTTATTAAAGACTATATTATAAGAGACTACGATCTTCTTTAAATAAATATTATAGAGTTAATATCTATTAGTACTATAGTCTACTAGCCTTACTTCGGCTATATACAGAGAAAGCTTATCTACCCTACGTTCCTTTAGAATTAGATACTAAGCTTAGTAGCTAAGTATATATAGATTTAAAATATCTAGCTTTTTACTATAGAAAGCTTTATATAGAGTTATATTAATAGTAGACTACTAGAGATAGTTTATTATATAATTAATACCTAAAAGTAGCTCGCCCTATAGATATTTAGGAAGCTAATTTTTAGCTAATATAGCGATTAGTAGCTTAATAAGCTAACGATTCCTAATCTCTATAATACCGTTAAGCTAAGGTATATAGGAGGGAATAGGATCCTAAATAATACCGTTTTCTTCGTAAAAAGTAGCGATTTTAATATATTCTTACGTATTATCGCCTAAAATTATCTTAACTTTATAGTTAAATTATATTAAAAAATAGGTTACTAATATACGAATTTTATTAGTAATTTCGCTCTTCGCCTTTAATAGGAAGACCTAATAGAAGTAAGTAGTATTATTAGTAACTATTATAAAATAACGATTACCTCTAACGCCTATAATAGAGATAGGATCCTAAATATTAATATAAAGCTTCTACGCTAGTATAGTCTTAATATACTTACTTCGTCTAAAGAGTAAGGTATAGCTTTTACTAAGAATATAAGGAGGATAAGGGTACTTAATACTAGATCCCTTTTTAATATTAATTCCTTCGGTATATTTAGGTATATACTTTACCTTCTACTTACCTATATAATAGGCTCTGCGATAAGCTAGGTCTATTAAAATAGGTTAAATCTTACCGATTTAAGAAGCTATAGCTAAATCTATAGCAGGTACGTAGCTATTACTAAATATATAGAATAGTTAAATAGATAGAGCTCTAAGTATATTAATAAGGCTATTACTATTATAGATACGAACCTAATATTAACCGTTCTCCTACTTTATCGTAATAATAAGCTCTTCCTCCCTATATAGGGAGCCGTATATCTTATTAAATCGAGTCTTAATACTAGAATCCTTCGTAAGTTATTATAAGAAAATAAGGTTTATATTAAAAGAAGGAATATACTAGACTCTAAGTAGCTTAAGCTTAGAAATATTATTTCTATTTAAAAAGTTTAGGATAATATTACTATATCCTTTAGTCTATACTTAATAACTATTTAGGAGCTTTATATTAGTAATAAGTAGCGTGAAATTAATGAAATTTATATAATAAGGTATTATATACGCTAATACGCTAGAGTCTACTATCTAAGTATACTATTTATTATTATCTATTAATATAGCTATAATATTAACGGCTAATAAGCTTATTTCGGCGAAGCTTATTAAAATCTTATTTTCGGATTTCTCCTTCGAATTTAAGTCCTTTTTTGAATTAGAAGTACTAGCTATAGCTATATTAACTCTATCTTAAGAGGTACTCTTAGATTTAGGGTTAAAGAAGTACTACTTACTAGTATAAGCTATTAAACGCTTATAGTAGATATAATAATACGATAGCTAATTATTATTATCCTAGTTATTTTAACTTTAGCTACAATCTCGTCCGGAGCCTCTACTACGGCCTCTACCTCTACCTCTACCTCGATTATTATTTTACGTAGATTTTGTATCTTTTAAGATAGAAACGGCTACGATTACTATATTTATAGACTTTTTATTCGACTTATATTTAATAAATTTACCGAAAATATAGTTAAGTATACTATCCGGATTAGTTAGAGGTTTATATATATTTAAGAAACCTTTTACGCTTTAGTAGCTATTAATTATAAGCTTAAAATAAGCTAGAGCCTATTTAGGTAGTAATAGGGTATTTAGAACGGCTAAATTTATAAGGTCTAAAGTAGCTTACTATTTAGTAACGAAATTATACAGATTACTACTAGTATATATAAGCTTAATTAAAGATAATAGCCTATAGCTTAAAGTAGTATAGTTACTAGTACTATATATATTACTAATACAAAGGAAGATTTTATAAGAATCTTTATAATCGCGTATAAAGCTATAAGCTAAATCGCTAAGTATATAATAGATAAGGTATTTCGTAAGTATATATTTCCGGCGAAACTAGTGAAATCGGTTATTTAGTTAAGTTATATTCTTATTAATCTACTTATTAAATTCCTCTTCGGTAGGTTCTCGTCTAAGTTAAGCGAAAAGGACGTTTTAGATAGCTTCCTTTATAGGAGTATCACGAGGCTCTTAAATAGGGTATATTAGTTTACCTATAATAATAGACTATAGATCTTCGTCTAGGCTATCTATAATAAATTAAAGCTCCTATTTCTATTTCTCGAAGTTAGCTCTTCCCTTAAGTATAGGGACTGATTCGGCGAAGGTTTTAGCCGTCTTATAAGCCTCGAGATCGGAAACTATATTAAATATACGTAAATATATTAATCCTACTATAACGAAGTACTGCTATATAGGTAAGGAGCGTAAGAGCCGGAAGGTATAAGATCTATAGTAATAAAGATATATTATATAGTAAGCCTACTATAGCGAAGTACTACTATATAGGTATACCTACTACGGCGGTGTGCTGCTATATAGGTAAAGAGCGTTAGAGCTCTGAAAATAGCGTAGAAGCCGGAAGAAGGGACTTTAGCGACGATTCGATACGATGGCTTCGGTAGCTATATTCGATGTGTAGGGATCGTTAAGTCGTAAAGAGATACGAAGTCTATACTCTATAGAAGGCGTAAAACGCGCCGAAAAACGATAGAAAAAGAGGTTATTATACAAGTTATACCTAGGCAGTGAGGAAATGTGAATAACCTCACTTTTTGTACGCTAAGTAGGGCTCATAACCTATTAGAGGCTACTAGGAGAACGTAGCAGACCCAAAAGAGGGGAGAAAGGAATGGTGAGATTGCATCTAGTGAGAGGTGCCTATCTAAGCTACGAAGGTGGTGTGCGTAGGCGCGCACCACGCTGGTGAGACGCGCCAAACCACCAAGCTATCTCAACAATAGCTAATATTGAAAGCTATTGGCCAAAACCAATCCAATCGATGGGTCGTGTCGGGCTTGGTCGCCATCCTAAGGTAACGATAGCTATGCTCGTCACAGTCTTGTAGTTTTTGCCCTCCTTCCTGTCCGTCAGTCAACAAATAGATGCATGTTTCTGGGGAATTAAGATCTCCGCAGAGGCAGAGCATATATTTTATATCATTGAGGTCATGACAGGTATTGGAAACAGAAATGTGAAAAGACAAGGAAGAGAGCCCTTGAACCGGCCAAGCGGCGAGAGACACTTTTCAAATGCAACTAGCACCTCATCAACCTCATCCACAACCCCCCACCATGTGAGAAAAGCCGCGAACGACGAGTCCAAGAAGCAAAGATCAATATGCAAGAAAACTCAATCGCATGATGCAAGTCAACCAAAGCCGAATCTCCATGAAAACCCATCGCCTCGCGTGACTGGTGTCTGACGACTGGTTTGAATGGTTGAATCGCTTCGAATTTCTCTAGATAAGGTGCTTGGATCGGAAGTACGCCCGCAGGTACACGACTTGCCAGGCACCCAGACCGACCAGCATACCCATCGTGCCGAATGCGAACCATTTCACTCGCTCGTTGGTGCTCTCGTTGGTGTCGCGAAGGCGCTGCTCACGCATGCGAAGGTATTCCATCTCGGTGACAATGTCGGCGACCATCTCCTCAAGACGTCGGAGGTCGGTTTCAACGGGCTTGAGCTTCTCTTGCGCTTGGATGCTGGACCAGTCACGGGCGTCGGCGCCGATTTCAACGTCAAGATCGATTTCACGGAAGGGATTGGCAACATTGTCTGGCAGAATACATGCAACGTCAGAATCAAACCTAGCTCATGAACTCAAAATGACAGTCGCGAAGAGCACGGTAAGGGAGAGGGGTTCTGGCCCATGTAGGATCGACGGGAACTTACTGCGACCAACAAGCTGGTTGTCGAGACACACATCAAAGGCAGTGTCTGCAGGCGCAGTAAAGGCCTGGCGGACTTCACCAACGATGTCCTTGGGACGACCGTGGTCGTTGCCTATAGCATCCTTGATCTGTATTCCGCGCGATCTGTCAGCATCGCCCGATAGAATTGCATGAGAGCGAGGAGCAAGAAACAATCTCTGACTCCTCAGGTTCTTCTGACAAGCTCAGCGACGACGACAACGTACATGCATATTCACCCGCTGACCATCACCCTTCTGGCCGCTAACAATCGCCGTCACAACGACCAACTGGTCCTTGGACACAAAGTTGCGAATGCATCGCTCGGTTTTACCAGATGTGGCGTGCAGATCAAATTTCAGGGCAGAAGCCAGCTGCAGAACCAGCAGAAGAAGCGCGAGGATTGACCTCATGGAGAATGGTGAGGAACCCATTGTTGTGTTGCGGCACTCTGGTCGATTCGTTGGTAAACATGAACACCTGTTGATGCCAGCTGGTAAGGGGACCCAGCTTGGTCGGGATTAATGATGTTCCGGGCTCAGGCGCGCCCGCTTTTGAAGGTTAAAGTATACATTGCATGGCGTCTTCATTACTAACTTTTCGCCGGCCAGGGCTGACTTGCATGTGATCAAAATTACTCGTAATGAGAATGCATAGAGGGCATAGCGGAGCTTCTTAATTGTCCACTCAAACACCTGTGTTTACTGAAAGAATTTGTTTGTATTGAAAAGGGCCTCAAGCTTGATTGATAGAGCCTGGTCCCGTCTCCCTATCATGGAGAAAGATGTTAGTAGACCCCCATCTTCCGCTGGAGATCCGCCAAGACCAAGGGCAGTGAGAATATTCACTCCAGAAGGGAAACTTCTACAGACTGTCATCAACGGATGATCGTAGAACCCAATGTTGACGTCTCTGGAGGTCACAAAGGGGTGGCAAGCTCGAGCGAAGAAGGTCATATTCCAATACATGTACATAATATCTCTGAGTGTGGTATCTTTGCTGGACAAGTCACAAGAACAAAAGAGAACGAGATGACAGGTAAAAATTGCAAGATCAGGGATGGCATTGCAATCCAAGTGTGAGAAATCAATCCAGGAAATAGCGACGTGATTGTCGGATAGGGCAAGACCTTTGGGTTCTCAAGAGGGGCAAGTCCAATGTCGCGCAAGTACTGCGATATTCTGGAGGGGAAAAAAACGGTAAAGACGATGAGGTGAGACGCGCAAGGTAGCAGAGCAGAAACGAAGAGATGAATGGATATCGTTAGAAAGGGAAAGCGCTCAAAAGAACTGTTTTCATCATGCGAGGCGGCTCGAATGTTATGAACATCGGGTCCAAATGTCAAATCAAATGATCAAAACCGGCCGACGCTTTCATGCCTCGACCTTCTTGCGGCGGGCGAAGAAGCGCGAAAAACCGGTTTCCTTCTCTTTCACACCCATGTCACGCCCGACTGGTGGCTCAGCGGGACCTGTGTTGCGAAGAAAGTCCGCGAGTGCAGATGTGTCTGTTTGACGGGAAGCCGAAGATGGGACAACGCCCGGGTTGCGTGCCATGCCAACCTTGTACGAGTAGTTTGATTGCTGTCCCTGTTGGGAGCTAAGGGACATCTGCGAACGAAGAGAGCTGATTGACATCTTAGAAGAGGGGGCGCGTTCGCCAGATGAAGAGCCTCGCATGAGTCGCGATCTCATTCCCATGCCACTGGCCTTGGGAGGTGGGGCAACGTTGTGGGAGGGCTGAGGCTGAGGCTGAGCCTGTTGCTGCGAAAAGTCGGGGGGTGGTTCGCTGCGCAAGAAGTCAAGCAAACTTTCTTCCTCGCGTTGAGGTGGCTTCTCATTGAGTAGCTCTTCCAGGTACTCATCGTCGTCATCATCATCAATCGCATACGGATCCGGAGCCCGGCCAGGAATGCGCTTTTGCCTGCGTACCGGCACAGGGCGATCGTCATCTTGCATTGAGAACTTCGCAGGCGCGTCTTTGTTGTGATCGTCCGGGGGATTGCTCGAGTCTAGCAACCTGGTCCGGGAGCCCAGAGAAGTCAACGACTTGTTGGGATCGGACTCGTCCCGGGTACTGGCAAAAGAGCTGGTCTGGTCCTTTTCCGGCGAGTGATCGTAGTGAAGGTCTTCCGAGTCAATGGTGTTGCGGAATGGTGCCACAGTACGCGGAATCCGATGCGCGCCCGGCAATGGTGGACCTTCACGAATGAAATCAATGAGATCCGAAGTTTGCGAACCTCCGGTTTCCGCAGGACGAGCCTGCAAACGGGGCCGATTAGGATTGGAGCGAGCGGTGTTTGTGGTGTTGGTGGAGAAGCCAGACGAAGGGCGAACCGGAGACGTTGGCTGCTGCGTATGCGCGCTCGTAGCGCCATCTGTCGTCCGCGAATCCGCAAAGTCGGTCACGACGGTTGGACTACTCGCCGTACGCGCAATCTCCCGTGCGGGAGATTTGGGCGGCAGGACCATTCGGGAAGCGATTGGAATATGCCTCGGCGATTCAAGCGCTTTTGAGGACCCAGAAGAGGTGGTCTCGGTGGCATGTCGTGAAGAAATCGAACCTCGCGTTCGTGACCTCTCGTGATTTGGCCCCGTGTTCCTGATCACATCCGCAAGGCCGGCAGTGTTTGACAAGGAGGAACGGGGAATATGACGGGAAGGCTCCGGGAAACTCATCTCTCGAACACTTCGCGGTGTGAGAGTGAAGTGAATTGTTTCGTCGCTATTAATCAGCTTGTCGAGGTCGCTGGAGTCGTTCTCCAAAGAACCGGCACTGCCGGATGCGCGACTTGTTTCAGACGAACTACGGACGCGAAGTGATGGCGAGTCGCTCTGAGGACGAGTGACCAGGCCCTTGAGTTTGCTAGAAACCTGAGAAGTTGGCGAAGTGGATGCGCCTGGGCGCTTCTCACGGGCGCTGCTGACACTGCCAGAGCGACTCGAGGACGACTTGATCGAAGTGGCGATAGACGGCGTTGGTCGAGGCATTCGCTGTACAGCAGCACGCTGCTCGATTTGCGTCGATGTGCGATTGCTTGAATTGCCTAGGAGCGTGCTTGCCTGGTGCCGTGCAGACCGCTGTGAACGCTCGCTATCGGCTGCTGATGCAGGACGGGAAATTTCATGAACGATTGGCAATTCATTCACGATGGACTCGTGAGACTGGCGGTCGGTTTGAGAAAAGTCAAAAGACTGTTCTTGAATCGGCTGGCGGGGCATGTGCCGTGTTGCATCGTCACTTGTCACCGCGTCGGGGACCTCAGAAGATACGACAGATATATTGCGACCGGCGTGCTCCGAGGCCTGTGCCCCGCGGTCAGAGTCGATAATTTCGATGGTGGCGCCGGGAGAGGCTGGACCCCCTTGCGCTTCGATCGCCCGATTGATGGTTAGTGGCATTTCACCCTCACTCGTCTCTTCAATGATCGTCGGTGCATTGATAGCGGACGATCTTCGGCTGGGGACTCGTCGTGGTTGGTGCATTGTGGATGCCGATTCATGACACTCAAGTTTTCCGTCGAGCACATCTACATTGTCGGAAGATGAATTGTTGAGAGATGTCGCCAGAAGGCGCGCACCGTGCTCACTTGCAAGGTCTTTGCCTTCCAGAGAGCGCAAGGATGCAGCGATCTGATCACTAGAGTTGTCGAGAGCGCGTACCATGCTCGTCGCCTGGGCATTTTCGTCCTCCTCTCGAAGCATTGACATTGTGCCAGTTGTAGGAGATGGCGCGCTAGGTGGATCCAAAGCGTCTTCTTGATGTGATGTGGTGATTGCAGTTCCAGGCGGAACCTCAGTAGCATCCACATATTCCATCGATTCGTCGTCCTCATACATAGTCTCGAGCCATGTCTTGTCCTCCGATAATGGAGGTGAAGGCTGACACACCGCGGCCTCGTCCTGCTCCGCAGGCTGGCGTAGAGGAGCTGCCGCTGCGCTGGGTAATGATTTGCAACGAATCTGACGGAATTGCATGTTATCGATAGCACCGGCACTGCGAGGTGTGTCCCCGAATTTGGATGCCAAAGACGGAGACGACAGAAGCATTAAACTTCGCGGTCGGACCTTGTGCGCCACCACGGCCTGCATGGTTTGCACTTCGCCTTCCATTTCCGAGGACAACTCGGGCACTTCGATCTCAAGGATATCCCGATCATCATTGGTTGGGAGAGGAATGCGCGTTGGATCAACGGGCGCCGGGAGGTCCTTAGCTGGGCGCTCCCGAGGACTGATGCAGTCGTCTGTAACCACAGAGCTGCTTTTCTGGCTTCCCGATAGCACAGGCGTTGGGCCACGGCGGGCGAATGATTCACGCGAAACGGTTCGAGAGCGTGAAAGGGTTACGTTGCGTCTGCGCTTTCTCCACGTCCGCCACAGGCGCCCAAGAGTGGCGTTCAATGCCATCTTCTCCATGTCTAGATCTTCCACCACGAGGCGGTCGATACGCTTGCGGTTCTGATCAGACTCGGCATCACCATCCGCTTCAGGACTCAGATCCGTAGCGTCGCGAGCCCGATTATTCAATTTAGACGACAGGCGTGATCGGGCCGTCTCACCCGCAATGACAAGGGCCCGCTCGCCAATGTGCTCAATTATTGAGGTGAGGAAGATGGCTGCTGCCGGTGTGATTTTGTCGACATGGCTTGTAAATCTGCGGCCCACACCATTACTCTCCCCCAATCCTTCCTGCTCGATGAATTCATCCTCATCCTCCTCTTCCAGGTCGCCTAGTCGCGTATACACCATACAGCGCAAGCGAGTCAACTTCCACGCATGGATCAGGTCAAAGTCGCTCTCTAGATCAGTTGCGCCTCGGTAGTCGGATGGATCGTCTTCCGTCCCTCCCATGTATTCGTACAATTCCTCGTCCGCTGTAGCAACCACCTCCGATGCCAACCGCGGTTTGAGTACCTCCGCGATCGCCGGCCGGATACTGGCCAACTGTGTTGATTGGGAGGTGGCCAAGATGTTGAACAGGAGGTCGTCCAGGAATCCATTCAGCAGGGACAGCGCATCGGGCGTGACCAGTGCATTGGCGCCCGCACCCGTCGCATCTTGCTCCGAGCCAAAGTCTGCCGTGTTGAATTCTTGATCCGAAGTAATAATCTCCGAGGCGGCCGACGAGGAAATAAAGGCGGGCGGTGGGCGAACAGCGGGAGGAGACATGAGGTTGACTCGCGGATGTTGGGAGTCGCTGGAGAAGCTGGTACTGCGAGAGCGGGACAGACTCCCAGCGTCCAGGAAATCAGCGCCTTTGTAAGATTGCATGTCGAAAGGGTGAGAATGTGGATCCCTGTGAGGAATGTGTCGGACGACCGAGCTCGTGTTCGTTCACTGGTCGGTAGATCTTTTCTTTCAGCCAAGCTGGGATCGTTGACCGGGATGCGAGGGATTGACGGGCCCTCGAGAAGGTCTCCCAAATGAGCTAGAAGCGGAGTCGCAAGAAGCACGACCAGGTTGGATCACAATTTCTGAATCATCCTGTTTTTTAATTGCTCCGCGCGTGGTCAGCCGAGATTTGTCATGTCAGTGCAGTGAGGCGTGAGAAAGGAGGAGCAGTCAAGAGTGGGAGAAGCGAAGGACAGGAGACAAGAAAACAAAGGACGGGGGGACAACAACAGGCGAGGACGATCATTTCGGGGGCATCTGGGGGGATATTCGGTCCAATTGGCGTAGATTTGCGCCTGTTGCAACCTCGACAAGTACTGTGCATCTCACATGGGCTAAGGTACGTGTCGACGCGCCATCGCATGGAGGAAGTCTCCAGTCACAAATGGATGGTATACAGCAACGCAGCACAGTGCAGAGACATCATGCTCTGACCATGGACAGGCCGGTCCTTTGCAGAATCGAGAGGGAAAAAAGAATCTTCTTGGTGCGTTTACGTACCCGAACAATAGTGTCAAATTCCTGGTCAATACTACCACTCTCTTCAAGTCGACCGAGACTGCAGGCTCATCCCACCGCCTCGGAACAATCTAGAGAGTTGACGGCGTAGAGCAACCGAGAGCGAACGTAATAGGCAGCGTGGCCGCAGGAAGGTTTATCTCGAGTCGCAGGTACTGTCTCCGCGGTGGGATTCTCCGTGAAGTCGAGGGAGAAAAAAGAGAGGAGAGAGCGAGATCGAAGGGTGAAGGAACTGGAGAGGAACCGGAGAAGCGACGATAGAATGGGAAAAAGGAACCTTTGTTCTTTTCACGACACGGGCTCGTGATAAGCGGTGGGCACCATGATCGAAGAAGAGTGGTAATAAAATCAATAATCACAATAATCAGAATCATCATACTCATCCGTCCCAGACCCCAGAAGAGATTGCGATCGGTTCCTTAGTTCAGACCTTCGGTTCCATCAGAATTTCGGTCTGGTTTCTCCTTTCCACATAAAACTGGGCCGAGTATGGAAAGAGGAATACATCGATCGTCGATTAGACCTGCTGGTGAGTCGTGACCCATGCGCGCGTGGCCTCCATTTACGGTAATTACGGGTACGGGGTGGACGCAAATGCAGCAGCGGGGGTTCTCAAGTGGGGCCACCGCCCGTCTGGTTCCACGCGCGGGCGAGTGTACCGAAAGAAGGTCAGGAACAGGCTAACAGCCCTGAGCCAGCGGATGTCTTGTACACTCCTGGCGTACCATCGAATGGATCGATGGACTAGCATCAGAACTCGGCCTTTCAGAGCCAGTGATGCACACGGAATGTACTCCTGTAATGGGCTTTGCTGGGAGCGATACATGAATAGGTTGATGCATGGTCTATCCTCTATAGTACTTGGTTTAGCCACAGGGTGAGCGCTTGGACCCGACTCGACGGCAGTCTAGTTCTACTATTTCGTATCTACTAATCCAGTATGTGCCAGTAGGCCCAGTATTGGTAGTGAAGTATGAGGTAGTCAGTTACTGTAAGTGTACAATCATACAATGTAGTTGTACTCGTACATATTCTCAACCAAGAGGTATCGCAGGTTTCCAGGTACAGCAGGGCTGTGACGAGAGAAAGTACATACTAGGATTGTTCATGTAAGATTTCCTGGACCAGACCTTGGAAGATCTATCCGACGTACGGAATCGTCCCAAGTCCATGAACAGAGGCATGAAACGTCGCCCTTGCAGTGATCCTCGTCCCCCGGTACTCTTGTCGTGTCGTCAAGTTTGGACTGAGACGGCATGCCTCAATGAGATAGGCCCAGAGACTGCAGTAGATCACCTTGCCCCCCCCCCCCCCCCCCCCCACAGGATGAGGATATGATGTATCATGAAACCCGCCTCCCTGGTTTTCCAAACCGCACCGGATTTGGGCAAGAAGAAAGAGGTCCCTTGAACCCTGATTACGCGGAGTTGTATGGCGGACATCACAGTAGTCCATATGGGGTGGTAGAATTAATGGTGCATGTGCCACACCACTACCTTACTTCTGTGTGCCGTCAATTCAAGACTCCAGGTTTTCTCCGTGCCGATCCTCGAAAATGACTCGCGTGTCTTTGACTTTGCGGTGGGAAGCCATGGGTGAGCAGACTCAGCAGAGTCACGAGTACTCTAGTCACATATTGGTACCGGGGTCTTTCAATATTGTGGTACACTGATAACTTATAAGTACTTACACTTTACAGTATATGATCTGGCTTTCTCGAAGTATGCTGCTGACCTGTGAAGACGTCAGGAACCCCGAGTAATCATAATAGGCTGATTCGCAGCTCCCTCACGTTGAGTGCTATCGCGTATCGACCTCTGGCTGCTACCTTACTTGTTTCTTGAGCGATGCGCCTCGCATTCTTGCCCACATTGCAATCTCCGGATTGCAGAGGCCAGAGTGGAGCTTCAATTTGTAGTATAACATACTGTACCAGTTCTAGTAGTGTTTCAGTATAAGTTACCTGTACTCTTGTAGTAGTACCACCCTTCTCCCTTGACCTTCACTTTGACCGTCTCCCTATTGTACCTCTTCAGAAAGTGTCCAATATTCAGAGCGGGGCGTCGTGTTCTTAGTGCAGCTGGCACGAGGGTGGCCACTGGACCCCACTCTCCAACGAGACTAGTGAACTTCTGACCACGTCCGGGCATTTTCCTCTCTTCCACCTACCCACCATTGAGCATTCAAGCAAGGAAGCTATCCCCCCCCCCCAGATGCAAGAATCATTCCGGATCGTCGTCGGTGACTACCAACACCATTATTGAGTCGGTTGACTCTCAATTAATTGATCAGCGCCTCGACTTGTGTAAGCGGGTACGCACCGATTTAGGACCGCATATGACAAGACGATGTTGCCTCGCATGGCGATGGAGTTTTGACGGGAGCCCACCTTGACCAGGTGGAGTGGAGCATCCAAGTACAAGTTCGAAGTGCGTACTGTATGTACATGAATTGTGGAGCCTCCCCCGACCGTCCGGCCTCACGACTGGTTCAATCGTTGCTGGCGACAGAATCTACATCCTGGTTGTTATTGTGAGAATGCTCCTTCTCAATACGTTCTGGTGTTTCGAAAGACTGATATGCACATAGTCCATTCGGGCGAGGAACTGGTCTTCCCTGACGAGCCGTGGTCTCTTCTGCTTGGTGGCAGGTGGTTCGACGAGGGGTCCAAAGCCATCGATCCACGGCGATCGAATGGAAGCGCACCCCCTTTTTTCAGTTGGATCCGCTCAGGAACGGCGCCAAAGTTTAGAACATCACCGCCCGTGGGCCAGTCCGAGAAGTGGATCCGGGCCCTGAAGAGCCTATGGTGATGAAGATTATGGGGGAAGTTTCTGCCTTCCATGGACTGGAAACACCAAGAACTGGTCAACCCCAGCTGAAAAAAGATTCACGCCATGCGAAGCATGTCTCCATTCTCGCAGACGACTGCTGGAATTGTCCAAGCGGCTTTATCGATGGGGTCTCCATACCACCAATGAAAGTCGTTTCCTCGGCGGATGGCTCAGATCTGGAGGCTCGACGACCACGATATCTCCTTTGGGAGGGACGTTGCCCGTTCACGACGCTTGATTGGGTCCGGATATTTTCTGTCTCTGAACAGGACGTACTTGCTTCTCTAGGAAACCGAGGTCACTCAGGCTAGTGCTACTGAAGCTCGTGTTCGTGCGATGAAATGATGGACCGGGGTGACCGGAAGCCGAGTGTGAATTTGGGACAGCTACAGTACAAAATTACAAGTTGTTCATGTGTTGCTTCATTTGTTCACTCGGATTTTCTTCAAGATACCTGGAGATGACGGTGATCGATTCCCTCATAGCATGTCGTTAGCTTTGCTTTAAAGTGCGACCCCCTGGCTTAAGTGGCGTCTCCCTTCCCTGCACTCCAAGTGAAGAACCGGCCCCCAAGAATAGGGGCCATCGTCACCCAGTATTTCGGTAAGTACAACAATGGGGCATGGGCAAACTACGCGACCGAATGAACGCTTGGGGTCCGTCAGGCTTCGGCAATGCTTCCATAGCTTCCATAGCTTCCATGGAAGCCCGCTGTGCAGCATGTCAGCTCTTGCGCACCGTACACGCGCGCCCTGTGCACAACTGCACATTTATCTTGGGCTGGGACCGGCCCTCGAAACTACCGCATCGGCCAACCTTGACACCTTGCGATGTGAAATGTCTTGTGCGCTACCTGAGATGGTTGCACTTCTTCCTCAATCATCGAACGTCAGGGGTCAATAGTCCACCGCCATGTGATCGTTTCTGCCCTTCGATAGTCATTCATCTTGCCTGTCCATTGCTCTAGTGATCGGAGTGGGGCGCAGTACCAATGAATTGAATGAACTCAAAATTCAGTCCGCCCTTGTTGTCCATCACGATGGTGTAGGTGTACAGCTGTACAAAACTACACACTACTACACATTACTATCCCTTGTTCCCCTTCGTCAAGCAAGAGCGGCGCCCCCGAAGAGGTCCCCCCATTGACCCGCTGACGGCGACAGAATTTGAGTTACGCCTGCCACGAGGGATAGTGACCCGTCGTTACACCGTTGAATGAATCAAAGAGATCAGCTTCAGTATGACTCAGGTTGGATATCAAATTCGCCGTCAGCATCAACCTCGCAGCATGACTGAGACCCAGTCAGTCGACAGTTTAACATATGTCATGAAATTGACTATGTATTCATGTATAGCCGCCCCCGACACTGACAGGCTAAAATCTCCCGATTGCGATATTTGCTCCGAGACGGCCGTGAACCAACGGTCCCAGCTCGTTCCATCATCTTCCGCCCCGCCAGCTTTGCGTGCCTACCATCTGATTATGGTCGGCCATTTATGCCCTCTTCTCCGACAGGAATGGGGACT